TGAGTCTACCCACTATCCTTCCAAACTGAGTTCGGTGCTCTGCAGCATCACCGCACGCTTTCATCTCCTCCTCTTCTTCATTTTCTCGCCGTTATACGATTCCACTGCTTGCCTAATCCACAGTCCACACGCGATCACTGTCAAGCCAAAGCGTGCTCACAACTGCCTTCAGCCAGAAAAGGCTCCTGTAAAACGCAGGAACAAAACAACTTACGCGCCCTGAGACGCTTTCATGGAACTATCTATGAACTAGGGTTATCGGTCCGAATGCCTTTAGAGTTTCCCTTGGGTCTCTTCGTCTCTCCTCTTCCTCTGGTTTACTCACCTCTCTGTCTCCAATAGCGCCGGAATTCCTCCTGTCTACTCTGAATAGTCATGATAGCTTGTTTAGCAGTTTCGTGAACAAGTCCTTGGCCGCCTAGCACCCCCCCCCCCCTCCCCCTAATTCCTCCAAGGTTAGGTAAGTCGCGCGGAATGCCAGCCAGACGGAATTCCGGTCTATTTTCTAAACAGTGATGCGCGTCTCCCGGCGGCGTCGTCGTCGTCTCAGTTCGGTCGGTTCCTCCCAGGAAGATACAAGCGGCCGAATGACAGCGTGTCGTCCCGAAAAAGCCGAGCCAGAAGGACTTCTCTCACCGACGGTAGTGTAGTTTCGCCGGCGAGGACAGAGTCGGCAGCCGTTGAGCTCCAAGCCCGTCCCCGCGGTGTGAAAGACGGGAGCCGGGGGACGCTCGTGCCAGCATGTCCCTGTTCCCGCACAGCCGCATCTTTCCATTGTTTTGTTGTTGTTGCGGGCGTGTTTTGTTTTTGTCGGTGTTGCTTGCCGCGCTGCCAAGTCTCTTACTTGTTTGCACTGGCCCTCAGGAACGCTGCGGGCTTTGGAACATACGCGTTCTCCGAACGCTCGCGGTCCTGCGTCCTGAGTCTGCCATTTTCAGATCGGTAGAGGTTTATAAAGAGAGTGATTAAAAAAAAATCGTAATCGCTTTTCGATTTTTTTTTTTTTTAATTCTTAAATTTGAGAGAACGGGCAGGTGTACTGGGTACAATCCCTATCCCTGCCCGTTTCGATCTGGATGAGCATCGTACCATCGTGCGTTCGTGTATCACTACGGCATGATGCATGTTCAAAACCTCCTGCTGGCAGTGGTACTGCATTAAACTTCTCATTCACAGCTCAGACATTAGACATGCATGCATTGGAGCTGACTAACCTCCCGCCACTGCAGTGGAAGCACGTCACCTCGCTCAAGGCAGCTATGGGCAAGAGAATATTCACTTTCTTGAGTTGACCACCTGAAAGCGCGTTCCAAATCACTAGTCGTTTACCATCACTTCTGTGTTTTTTTTCTTCTGCCTTTTGTCATTTTTGATTTGCGTGTTCTTTGTTATTACATGCTTGCGCGCGGTACTAATCTCGTGTTAGAGTCTGTACTTCTGAAAGTACCCTCTCTCAGCGGAATAGGCAATGGCCGCGTGCACGCAGAATCTCAGGCGAAGCTAAGTCAGATTCGCGACTACCTGCGCGAGGGGTTAATATTCCTAAACGCGCGTCTCTGTGCTCGGGTGATGCCACCCTTTGTAGTACCCGATGCCGACAGCACGCGCTCACGGGTAAAATACAAAGAAATCGACAAAAACAAAATGTCGCCGGAGCACAGTCAGCGCCACGAGCGCGTGCAGGGACACGTTCTTTCACGCGCTTCTGAACAAAAAGTAAAAATAAAAGTGTGAGACAAAATGGCCAGATGTCTCCACCCTAAGCAAAGCGCACATGAAGGCACCCTACTCTGTGCTAAACGCGCGTCTTTGTGTGAGTGTTTCAAGGCACTGGCACAGTAGAGTTAAAATTCACTGACAGGCATAGCTGTGTGCGCGAATTCTGAGTGCGTGCTGATAGCAAGTTTCCACAGTTCTTTTGCAACGTGCATTCCACACCATCTGGATTGCCGGTCTTAGCAGCCTATTAATGTGAGCTTGTTCCGAGCATGCGCTCGAAGCAGCGCCCTCAAATATGCTACCCAGTGAATGGCCTTATATTCTTTTGTAACAGACTGACGTTTCCTTATCGAAAAACCTTATCCAGAACAGGTTTTTCGATATCAAATATCGCACCCTGAAAGGTGTTAAAACACTGCAATGTTGGGGTACAACCAGAAGTGATACATACTAAGGTTCGCCGGGTAGTAATAAAAACATCACAATTGCATAAACTGAATTTTTTTTTTGTCTATACATTAACATCGTAAGACAGGCTACCGGATGGTTGCGAATAATAATCACGAATAATTTCGCTTACAATCACGCAGTCAGTATATAGTGTCAGATTTGTTCCTGGAATTATCTTGCTTTTCTTAAACATTGTATAGTCTGATGCTGGTTAAGAATAGCAGGAAAGGCCCCTCCCACAAGGATCTCTACTCGCCATAATTGGAGGTTTCCTCCTCTCCGCTCACCTTCTCTCCCGCGTTTGCTCTGCTAAGGTGCAAAAAGTGAAGGCCTTTCTGTGAGGAGCTTGTTATGTTATTGTTCTTCTTCTAACCTGTGACAAGCTGCGAATTTTTATTTTTTTATTTAATGTTGAAAATATGTGATTTGTCTATCGTCACGCGCGCAAGTTGGGGCCTGAAATGATGACTGGATTCTAATTACTGTTGCTGTAACAACGCGCGTACACTTTGTGGGTTGCCATTAAAGGTCGTTCACACTTCGATGCTTAGCGTACGCTGGGCCGGGTACAAATGTGTTTGGCCTGTTTACACTGACCAGACAAGCGTAAAAAAAATATAAGCTAAAAGTAGGATGTAATAATGTAAACGAAACATGTATGTGCACCCGTGCCTTTCGTTACTTTTTACCTGATGGCGACGGTGTTTTCTTATACGAGCTCGAAGCTCTTCCAGCTGCTGTTGAAGGATGACGACAATGAAGCTGCCTGGCTTTTGTCATGTTTAGTTTGTGCTTTGTTTTACCGCTCTCTCTTCGTCTTGGTTTGACAGCGTGAACGGGCCGTAGCGAATCCGACGTGACGGAGGATCAACGAGGAAACAAAAGCGCACGTAACAGTCCTTTCAGACGCCGCGGGGGAGAAAGGCGGACAAAAATACCGCGCACCGACCTTTGAAAAAGAAGCTGTTAAAAAGATACGTCTCTTGTGCGAAAAAGTGCATAATGTTTTTTTTTTTTGTTTTGTTTTTTTTTTTTCTTTTTTGGCGTGCCAAAGTTGATTTATTTAGCCTTGGAGTCAAGCTCTGAGCGCAAAAACAGTGAGTCATCATCATCACTCCTCAAGTTCGTGAGAATGTGAAGTTATTCTCTTAGAGCACTGAACTGGGCAAGCACTTCAAATACGTTATATTCGCACGCACCGAGACGTCGCTATTCGAATGAGGTACACGTAAGGGCGTGCGAGAACGTAAAGGGACTGACACTTTTTCCGCTTATTTAACGTATTCTCATCGTCAATTATCCAGCATAAAGTGCACACCGAATCCTCGGCGTTAGCACATTCGGTTTCTTTTCAACAAAAATTTTAAACTTGTCCCTCTGGGGTTTCATTGAATAAACATATGCAGTATATCATTCTCCTGATATAAACGGGATTTTACATGCCAAACCAACAAGGAGCGCCTGGCCAGTTTGGTTCGCTCAGATGGAAGACTGAAGACTGATTTCGACCGCCTGGGAATCTTCTGACGTGGGACCTAAAGGCTAAAGCCACAGTCACGTCGTTCACAAACTTGACGGTGTTCGCTTCAAACATGACAGAATTGACTGCGGAAACGCCTCACTCATCTCGGCAACACGTTTGTTTCATACTTACGCATGCTTTAAACATGTCCGCAGACAGTGTTTGTGTGAGGAATGTGTGGGGACCGTCATATACACGGAATGAGCACGTCTCAGACGACAGTGTCTTGGTCTCTTGTATGATGTATCAGCACTAACAGTCTGACTGTGACTCAAATCTCAGTTTCTCTGTCTTCTCTGCAATAACCCTCCGTCAAACCGCAGGCGCGCAAACCGGGTATAAAGCCCGCTCTCCTCCAAGCAGAGTAGAATATCTTGGTGTAAGTTTTTTTGCGTCATCGGGTTTCATTTCCGATAGCGTTTGCAATCTACAAACAGTGCTCGAGAAACTTTCGCAAATTGAAATCGGACAGAGTAGCCTAGAGCCGCAGTTCTTCAGTTGGAATCAAAATGGCCTACGGGACGGCCGTCTTTGAGAACGTATACGTCCAAACGAGGGTGCACTGCGTGTCTGTCAGATGAGCGAGAAACCAGCGAAGTAAGTACCCTGGTGTGGCTGTCAGGGCCATCAGTTCTTCCGTGGTCTCTCAAGTCACCCGCTGAGCTCGGAGGCGCCGGCGCGGGCGCGGTGGAACGCGACGTGCGTCAGCGAAGACCTCGAGCAGCGGTGGGGGAGCCTCCTCCCAGAAAGTTTATTTTCGTGCTAAGGACCCCAAAAGCAGGAAGGAGGCGGGCCTATTCGCTTGCGTTCCGGGGAACCATACAAGGGTGCGCCACACCACCAGCCAGGCCCACCAGCAGTGTCCGTGTCCAGACGGTCATCCTTCCGCGGACACTCGTCAAAGCCCCATTCCACAAACGTCAGTCCATGCCGCGGGTGCTTGTATGGTTATACGGACTTTCATGCTCTGTCGACAAGACAACGTGGTCTTCTGGAGGCATTAGGAGCACGCGTGCGTTCGCCTCGGGGACCGCGTTGTCTTCTGGCGTGCGCAAAGCCGTGTCCGGAGTTCCGCACGGCCGGCGCGGCGGCGACGTCCTTCGCTGGCCCGAATCCAGATTCCCACAGAGATCGTGCGCGTTTTGCGTTCGCCGGGGGGAACCTGGCTGGGCGCGGCACCTCCGGCCAAAAGCGGCGGGGGCGTCCCGAAATAGCGGGGCTGTCCCCCCGGCCCGGCTCCGGTGTCGGCCGCCGCAAGGGCGCGCCAAGGGCGGAGCTCTGAGCGCGGACACCCTCTTTCCTTCCGCAGGCCGTCACCGAGCAGATCCGACAGAAGACAGTGGTCGAGCGCCGCTTCCGTAGCGCACCGCCTCCCCAGGGAAAGTTCCGGCCGGTCCAACTCTTTGACATCCCCCTGCAGCAGGCCGCCGGAGGACAGCTCTCCGGTGGGTCCCACGTCCACTGTGCCCGATGTCGCGTGTGCGTGCCTTACTCCCCGCAGTCATCCGGCCTCCGGGAATGCGGCCTAGTTCGGACGTGTCCTATTCCGGAGTCCAACAGGAGGAAGGACAGTCCGTGATGGCTACCACTGCTATGGCATCCTTCCTCCTGGATGACATATGGATGTGCACCATTCGCACGTTACATCGGGCACGACGTGGATATATATCTACGATGTTATGGCAGTCTCAAGATGTTTTGCTGACGCCGTTTTTGTGCCCGCGCAGCGGAGGTGAAGATGCCGTCGGGACGAGTGGACAAGCCGGTCATCATCGACAACCAGAACGGCACCGTCAGCATTCAGTACGAGCCGCGGGAGGAAGGGCAGCATGAACTGCACATCAAGTTTAACCAGGAGCACATCCAGGGTTCGTGGTTCATGGGCCCTGGTGGACGCAGGATTTGGACGCGTACGTGACGGATGATCGTGTGTGGTGCATTCGCAGGGAGCCCCTTCAGGTTCCACGTGGACACCATCCAGAGTGGCTACGTGACCGCGTACGGACCGGGACTCACGCATGGCGTTGCTGGAGAGCCCAGCAACTTCTCTATTAGCACCAAGGATGCTGGAGCCGGTAAGCTCCGACTTCATCGACGCTTTTCCTAAAGGCAAATCATGGGGTGACATGTTTTTCATTCCCTTTTTTCACTTTGCTGCGTGTTCCTAACAACTGCAAGCTTTTGGACTGCGCCGGTTATAGTCTCGTACGGTACCAGAACTGGAGGACCATAACTATGTTCTTCGCTCTCTGAAATTGAATGCAGGAAACATATGGCTTTTGCAATTGAGTTGATGAAATCTGCAAGCTTGCATAGAAATATTCTTTTCTTGTTTAACAATGTACAAAAGACCGACGCACTTACTTTCCCGCAGGGTACTCGGAGAACCAATCACAATTATATATGTAAGGAATCAGCAAATGACGAGGGTGAAAATGTGCTTTGATAGAAAAATGAAGTTCATAACGTGACACTGAGATTGACGTGCAATTTTAAGACGCCATGCTTAGTGTCACATAGCAGACTTTGTTTTTATTTCTAAGCATATTTTCGACTTTTCACTGACTTTCTGTCTTTGTAAGTTGCAGGGATTGGCTCTCCGATTGCTCTGCAGGGGAGTCTTTTAAGAGTGTACCAGTAAATGTTGAAACTTTAAGGTAGCTTTTGACAACCAAGCTTACCGTTCAGATATACCTTAGTTGATCATAACGTGCAATTTATATCTCGTCAAGTCGCTATTGTTATAGTTCAGGAGGCATTAAAGTTCAGTGTAGGTATACAAAACACGAGACCTTGGACGTTCCCTCAAAATAAGCTTTCTGTGCCGTGTGCAAGATTTGTGTTCAACAAGACTGATGAGAGACACAAAAATACTTGGTTGAAGTCTTGAAGGCCGGAAGAAGGAGCGGTCCTAATCCTCGGCGTCGTTGGCCTTGGCACCGTCGCGTGCCAAGACCCTTGCCAAGTAGTTACTTTCCACCTGTTCCCGGCACTTGCCCAAACTTTCCATCGTCCTCTCTACGCACGCACCCCCCTATCCACTGTACAAATACAAGGCCAATATGATGTCTATCTGAATCTCAAGATGAAGCTTGAGTTGCTCGATGTCAGGAACTTTTTATCAAACCCTTACCGTGTTCCACGTGCCGCACTACTGGTGCCTTTAAAGGGATACTACAACAAAATTTCGGCGCTCATTTTTTGGTCTTTATGTGTTCAAAGGAGCAGTATCACATCGAACATACCAATATCTTGTTAAAAAAAGTCTCGAAAAGGAATTTTAAAACGAATTAAACGATTAGCAAAGAGCACCTGGTGGATGTCGCTAACGCCTCGTTTGTAATGCTCGTCTAGGAACTTTGACAGCTAGTGAAGGAGGTTGTCTCGCCTCCGGCCACGAGGAAAGAAGAGGGGAAGGAGGAACATCCCTCTTCCCGAGAATGCCTTTTGTGTGTCGTAGAAGACGCTATTGTCCCCCTACAAGATTATAAAAGATTAACCCGTCACTCAAAATTCGTACAAAAGCAGCCGCTTCGGTGGCTGGAACGACTAGGCCATCCTCTCGATGTCAGCCTCGCCATAGCTTTGCTCGTCCCGAGACGACCTACGTCACGATTGCGCTGGATGTCACGTGGTCTCCGCTGGGCCTTCTCCGATCGCTTGCCCGAGTGGGCCATTTATAACGAAAAATACAGCCACCAGGCTCAAAATACAAACGTGCGATTGTCTTTTACGGATATTGTGGATCATATTCAACCTATTTTTGAACACGACGGGAATATTGCAAATTTCGTTGAAGTATCCCTTTAAAGCTTGCTTTTAAGAGGGTGCCCGGAGCAGACTTGTGCCTATCTCAAAGACTCTAGTCAAGAAACTGTATTTCAAATACTTTTTGAAGTATCTTGGTATCTTGCAAATACTTTCGATAAAGAGTATTTGATACTGTATTTTATTTACATTTCTGAGTATCTTGTACTCATTATCTCAAATATATTTTTTACATTCCGCCCTTTTCCGAATTTTTCGGTATGAAGTGGCGTGGGCGTGGCACGAGCAAACGTGAGCACTGTTTCGAGTAACCAAATCCTGTTGGTAGCTACGATAAGCTAAGGTGACCTAGACTGAGCTCGTGAAAAGGTCGCTCTTGTGCAGATTTTGTCTCATATTTCAGCTCAAAGTTCGTACAATGAAGGTTTTCCCCTCGCCTTTCCAAAGACGCCTTTTGTTTCCCGGTGTTTCTTCCAAAAAAATTCTCAAACAAAAGGGGTGGCTTTACAGAAGTAAAAATTGCCACACTGAGCCGCAACGCAAAACTGGAAACAACCCACGACAGCAATGCAGACTTCAGTGCCAAGAAAACAACAAATAGAAAGAAAATAAAAAGTGGACACAAAAATAAGACTTTTTTTGCTTGTTGTATATTTGATCCGCTACGGCAAAACGTCGAGGTGTTTTTTTTTTTCGTTTTGTCGTTAGTCCGGCACTTATTGCTCTTGCGAACACTGTCTGTAAGCAAACATTGATAAGCAGAGAACAGTACAGGAAACAAACTACAAGCAGGAAGACCTATCAAAATTCCAACAAAGCGTCCCCCAACGTTGAGTGCCTCTCTGAACGCAACCTACTTGAAGGTGCGACCGGTGCTGTGGCTAGTATGCAGAGCTGGCAGTAATGTAATTACTGTAATGAAATTACAGTAATTTAATTACTTGTTCCAGTAATTAGTAATGTAATTCATTACTTTTTGTAGCAGGTAATTTAGTAATGTAATGAATTACTCCAGCGACGGTAATTGTAATTAAATTACCTAATTACTTTTTCGCACCGGGCATATTTTTTGTGTCCACAATACACAAGAGCGCCTTTCTTTTTATTTTACTGTTTCTTTTTCCTCTACACCTTTCCAAAAAACGCTCTTAGGCCGCCGCTATGTTGCTGATGCTAATGCGGCTGGTGCGACTCTCGCGCCCGCTATCAGCTAGACATTTTCTGCCACTCTCCTGAACTGTAAAAACCCGCTCAGCACGATTCTCTACCTATGTTTTGCGGTTTTACATTCGACGTTTTCTGGCCCCTCTTAAAAGTGTCCGCTTACTTTTCCTGATGCATGCTGCGTACCCTCTCTGTGTTATCTTCCACTGTGAGAAATAGGGCTGGTAAGTTTCTGCCATTCGAGCTTTTCTGCTCGACATTCTCGGGAAACGAAGAAGGGGAAGTAGGCCGAACTAAGGCCCCTGGTGGAACGGTCCTCGACGCGATTTTGCGAACAATGACAATAGTTCTCCCCCCTCCCAGAGATAATCCGCGTAAGGTCCTCAGTCATCTCCAAAAATAGTTGTCCGGGTTGGGGTGAGAAACGGATCAGTCGCGTGCGTTCCTCTGTCTCTCGGTAAGCATGTTATTTGTGAGCGTGAAAAATGCATGCCTTTCGGCTATCTTCTGTTGTTAATTAATTTCGACAGCTAAACGCTTTGTCGTTTGACACGCGGCTAATCGAACGGCGCCGAAAAAGCTTACCGTAGAAAACAAAAAAAACAACAACTAACATTCCAGTCGCATTCGTTCTGTCACGCGCGTACCCAACAAAAATAGTTTACTGTTTAGTTTTTTTTTCAAATGTAGTAGAATGCTTCCCAATGTCTTCGGAAAAATACATGCACGATGAAACACAAAATGCAGTGGGAAAACACGAGAATTTAGCCGCCAGCAGTGTTTGAAACTGCGCCTACACAGGCTGTGCCTGTGTAGGCGCAGCCTGTAAAAGTATACAAAAGTAATGCGAAAGTAATGTCATTACTTTTAAAAGTAATTTGTAATGGTAATTAATTACTTTCTGGTTGTGGTAATTTGTAATGTAATTTAATTACATTTCAGAAATTTTCAGCAAAGTAATTAGTAATGTAATTTAATTACACAATATGAGTAATTTGGCCAGCTCTGCTAGTATGTGAGCTCTCTGTTATCCATTTACTCATTTCCCTATCCCAAGTTCGTTTCTCGTGAAGGGAATATGAATTGTAGTTAAACGATTCGTCTAAGGTGCGCCGCAGGACGTGATATTTCAACGATGCCGTTATAACTGAAATTCATTTTTTTGTCCCAAAAATGTTTTCTAACATGTATCAGTGATATCCTGCTCCTTATAGTTGGACTGCATAAAATAATCTTGCATCTTTTTTTTTCAATTTTGTGCTGTTGAGGGTTAATAAACCATTCTAGTAAACCAGATTTGCGCGACTGTATAATTGAGTGTGTCACTCACATTGATAAAAGTTACGCAATGCGGAAGTATGTTCAAAAGTATTTGAATTACATTTCTAAGTATTTTACCCTACTTAGGATATTTTACAGTGAAAGTTACTTCAGTAGTATTTTAAATACTTTGTAAAGCAGGTATTTAGTAACTTAACTTAAATACTTTTATCAAGTATTTTTTCCAACACTGGCCCGGAGTGATGCCTTGACCCCGGGGCGCGCGCTTAAAAGCATGCTTCCAAGACTGCAGTAGTGCGGTACACGGAACACGGTAACGGTTTGCTAAAAGTCACTGTCTATTAAAAGCATGCTTCAAAGGCTGTGGCAATGCGGTACGCGGAACACTGTAATGGTTTGCCAAAAACCTCCATTGTTTTGTGTATTTTAAACGCACAAGTGTGAAGTATTCTCTCCGCACCTAAACGCCAGAGTTTCAACCATCACCATAGACAAATGCCCCATGGAAGACGCTCACCACCGCTTGGTATGGCTATCGACAAAGTAAGTAAATGTTCGAGCGTTCACTCTAGGGTGATAATTTGATAAATGTTCGTAATCGTTAGCACTTATTGTTCATTACTCACTTTATCCCTTGTGTGTACGTGTGTGTGTGTGGCAATTTTTCAAAATGCGGTTAATTTTTTTTTGTATATCCAAGATTGAGGATTGGCAGTATAAATACACTGCATATATCTTTATAAATATAATTAAACACATTCGTTCATAGATACGGCAAGTATTTGAAGAAAAAAAAATCCACTCGTTTACAAGTTTTATCAGTCAATATTTTGGACCAATTATCGTTTTCTTCATTAAGCAATCCAAATTCATTATCGATCACTGTCTTTGCTTGAGCAATGAAATATCTTGGTCTCGTGCACTTGAGTTTAAGCTTGGTATTTAGAAGGATGTTAGAGATTGCTGCGTGAGGTTCACGTTATTAGGGCATGGGCAGTTACTTTACAGGTTATTATCCGACAGCGCCATCCAGTAAGCCAACCTTGCAGTTGCAGTGCATATATGCGTTCATGGGGCGACACAATCTTTTTCGAGCAATTGTCACCTGTACAGTTTCCAAGCGTAGTCTGCGTATTCGTTGCGCTGAGGGGCGGTCGGTTTGTCTCTGGTGGGCGCAGGCGGTCTCAACGTGGCCGTCGAGGGCCCGTCCAAAGCCGAGATCAGCGTGCACGACAACAAGGACGGCACGGTGGCCGTTTCCTACCTTCCGGCGGCGCCCGGAGAGTACAAAATCTCGGTGAAGTTCGCCGACAAGCCCATCAAGGGAAGCCCCTTCACGGCCAAGATCACCGGTGAGAAACCTGTGCCCACGCCCACAGGAGGGCGAGAAAGAAAGCCTTTTTGCATGATCATCAAGATGCACATTCCAAAAAAGTATTTTCTGGAAATATTTTTTTTTTTATGAATATGATGCAAATTTTAGCTATAGTGCGAGCTTTTTCGTAGTGGATCGTTCCATTATTTTGAAATCGGCAGCAAGCTAAGACGTTAAAAAATATTATTTCTTATTTTCGTGGTTCATACAAAAAAAAAAACAATTTCAGGCAGTAATTAGATTATACCTGACAAAACCGTCATATCTATAAATTGGCATACATTTTGGGGTTGTTAAATATCGATTCAATTGTTAATGTATACTTACCGACAATCATACATGACGTCCAACGGCAATACGTATTGCATATGTATGTCTATATTGTCTGTATATTATTTTCTCGTTCGTAACCACCTTGTGTGTCCTTTTGCGTCTTGCATTTTCACGTACTCTCAAAGAACGCATCCTACGTTCAGACACAGGTGAACACCAAACAACCACCGCTGTCTTTACAAAATAATACGCAGTTTGGCTGCTATAAAGGTATAAACTAAACTGTCAGAAAATCCTAGGACATCACAATTTATTGGTGTTATTGCTTAAATAATAATAACGGCATTAACAATTAAGCAGTACGTGTCTTCAACCCACTTCTACAATCAAATGTTTGTCCTCGGAGGAAATATTAAGAGGCTTCTATTTTTATTTTTATTTGGTGCAAAAAGGGGAAAACCAGGAGGTGCCATCCTTATAACACATTCTGTGTTAAAAGCTGCTGTTGCAGCGTGACAAGGTTCTGACTCCCTTGCACACTTTGGCTGGAACGCATCATCGTAAACGAAGATACTCAAACAATTTTAAACAAAAATCTGAAACTCATACGAGCAAACAAAAAAATCAAACTGAAGCAAATTTAAACAATTGACTTTTCTTTACCACACTTTGTGAATACCTGATCCGTAACGTAACCATCAAGATTTCAGTGATATTCATGTGTGTGCATTGCATTCTTCGGCGTTTTGTTGTGTAATAAAATATTAAAAAGCTGTTGGACCAACCAACAATTCTTCCTTTTGTTTTTGCTATTGTGTCGCAATAACTGAGGTCCATGACGGGTCTTTATTCCGCGTTCCTTCCCAATCAGGCGAAGGCCGCAAGCGCAACCAGATCTCTGTGGGCCACTCAAGCGAGGTGTCTCTCAAGGTCCAGGAGAAGGACGTGAAGAACCTCAACGCCAGCATCGTGGCGCCCTCCGGCCTGGAGGAACCTTGCTTCCTCAAGAAGCTACCCAACGGTCACTTGGGTATCTCGTTCACGCCCCGTGAGACCGGCGAGCACCTGATCAACGTGAAGCGCGTTGGCACCCACATCACGGGCAGCCCCTTCAAGATCAACGTGCTGCCGCAGGAGATCGGCGACGCGTCTAAGGTCAAGGTGACCGGCAAGGCCCTATCCGAAGGCGCCACCCAAGTGCGCAACGAATTCTCCATCGACACCCGCGAGGCCGGTAAGAGGCATCTTCTTTCTCTGAATCTACGTCATTTCGCGTCGGTATAATCAAATACTTTACTATTGATACTGACAAGGTGAGAGCAGCAGGGAGGAGCTTAGGTTATTCCGCCACCAGCGCGTGCTTTCTACCTTCGGCAACGTTTAGGCGTCTTGTGCTCCTGGGCGCTCCGCCAAAGCACGGCGGAAGGCATGGAGCGCGTGTAAGAGGTTGGGCTTTGGAAAGGCACGCCCTACCGTTCTCATTCTTTTAGTGACTATATAAGTATATGTTCGACTTCGCACATTTGCATTAGACAGTGCGCCTTCAGTGTAAAGTCCACCCCAAGGGGTTTGAAATCCCGCAGTCCGAGAGAACGCATTTGCGACACGCTGTCCACGCTGTCTCGCCTTCGCTCTGCGTTGAAGGAAAGGGCTGCTGCCGACGCACCGAGATACCGGACTCGCCAAGACAGGAGGGACGGCTGTCTCCACTATCTCGACGGGTTTTCCCGGCGATAGATGGTGGCGGCCACCCCTCTCATTTCAAAAGGGAAAACCCCAAGGCTGCACGCGTCCAGCCGTTCTAACTACGCAAAAGCTGTCGGCTCCAAGGCCATTGGATTTCGGCGGATTAAGATGAATTCAAGAGCAAAGTATTTAGTGTAGAATTCTACGACTTAAGAAATTTGTAGCGTCTACTTTCCCGCAAAACACTTCAGAGAGCCAATCGCTGCAATCTACGAGGGAGTTCGACAAAAAAAAAAGAAATCAGTTTTCACTGTGACACTGAGCATGATGTTTCACCCTGCTCAGTGTCACAAGTCTGACTATTTTCGGAGTCTAAAGACATTATCAGCGCCGCCATTCGTCGAACTATTTCGCATAGATTGCAGTGATTGGTTCTCCCGGCTTCTTTGTGGGAAAGTAGACGCTCCAGATTTCTTAGAGTACAGTAATGCGGTCGATCCTCAGCATTAAGGCGAAATCGATATATCCTTGTGCAGGCTACGGAGGCCTGAGCCTTTCAGTGGAAGGCCCCAGCAAGGCGGACATCCAGTGCAAGGACAACGAGGATGGCACGCTCAAAGTGAGCTACATGCCCACGGAGCCCGGCTACTACATCGTCAACCTCAAGTTCGCCGACCACCACGTCAAGGGCTCTCCGTTCACGGTCAAAGTGACGGGCAAGGGCTCCAACATCCAGCGCGAGAATATCAAGAAGCAGCGGGAAGCCGCCCCGACGGCCGAGGTCGGCTCCAAGTGTCAGTTCACCTTCAAGATGCCCGGTAAGCCTACTTTTTCCTTTTGTGTGAACATTGACAGAGTTAGTGATAGTTTCATTATTGACCATGAAATCTGATCTTCACGTGAATTGCGATAAAGACCAGAGAGCTACGCTCTATTTCACCTAAGCTCGGTAAACGGTGGACGGAGTGTGAAAGCCTTGAGATTGGAAGGTTCGGCGTGCATGCTCATGCAGGTGGAGCACCTTTTATGGTAGAAAACCTCCACCCCTCTATTCTTTAAGGTTTAATACCCTAGTTACACGGACACCCTTAACCGCAGCTAAGTGTGACTAAAGTCAGACATAATTACCGCGGCCAAGGCCAAGGCCATTGCTGGCAGTGACTAGCGTAACTGTGGTTTAGGATACCCGTCGGGCGCCCTTAACCGCAGTTAAGCCTGACCTCAGTCACACTTAAATGCGGTTAAGGGTGCTCGTGTAACTAGGGTAATAAAGAATTAGGAAAACTTTGAAGCCGAAACTAAATGGCACGGGAAAGTGAAAGGTCTTCACACTCAGCTGCGGCGCTGATTTCCCTCACCCCTCAAATATCCGAGACCCCCCGAGACATGGTAAACCTACCCGTGTCTCGGGTAGGTTTATGTCGCGGTTAACTGTTTCACACTTAGCGTGGATCTCAGGCACCGTGACCTGACACGTACACCTTTCCAGGCACTAGCGGGTTTGACATGGCGGCGCGCGTGACGTCCCCGTCGGGCAGTTCTGAGGACGCCGAGATTGCGGACTTGGACGACTGCCAGTACGCCGTGCACTTTGTGCCCAAGGAGTCCGGCGTGCACACGGTCAGCGTTCGCCACAAGGACATCCACATCCCGGGTTCGCCGTTCCAGTTCACCGTGGGGCCCTTCCGAGACCACGGCGCGCACCGCGTCCACGCCGGCGGGCCCGGCCTCGAGCGCGGCATCGCCGGAGACTCCTGTGCGTACACATTCTTTTAGGGGACCCTATGCCTTAGCATACCATTCTCTTAGTATACCTTTGACATGCCTCAATATACCTCAGTTAGATAGACCCTCGTCATAGCCAAAACTTTGTTATAGGGTGCGTTTTACGAAATAGCTTTGTCATTGTATAGATTAGCTGTGAAATACTTTTGTTATGGTATTCGCGACTCCAGGGAACTATAGGGTGCGCGCTAGTCAGGCAAAATGGCGGACGAAAGGAGGTTGTTTTCGTCGTTCAGCACTTGGACCACCATAAATTTCTTGCACTGCAGAGTAAAATCGGTGTTACATATGAAAGCAAAGCGATTTTTCGACGGTAGAAACCTTCTTCAAGTCAGTACGTAAAAATGACACGGCGGAAGCATAAAAATAATCACTGGGAATGATGTTTGTTTCTATGCTGCCTACGAGAACCAAGGTACGATAGCAGACGACAGAGTCGAAACTACCTACTCTCTTGAGCTTCTCGGCGTTGCCGCTACGCGGCATCGATTTCTCTGGAGTCGCCCATAGATCAGTGAGATAGATAAGTGCTATAGTATACCTTTGTTATAGTTTACCTTAGTTATGATAGATTTTTGCTGCAGAATCTTTCTTATAGCAAACCCCAATTATGGTAGGAATTGATACCTATTATATTTCTTTGTTATAACATATATTAGTCATGATAGACTTTTGTTATAATGTGCCTTTGTTATAGGATAGCTTAGCTATGAGGTAGCTTTGCTATAGTATGCATTAGCTGTGAAATGCCTTTGTTATGGTATACCTCAATTAGGTAGATAAGTGTTATAATATGTCTTTGTTGTGGTATACCTTAATTATGGTAGGCGTTTGTTATAAAATATTTCTTCCGTATAGCAAACTCCAGTTATGGTGAACATCTTATACGTATTATATATTTCTTTGTTACAGCATAACATAGTAATGATAGAGCTTTGTTATAGTGTACCCTTGTTACGGTAAACCAGTATAGATCTTGGTTACAGCATACCGTAGTCACGGCAGACATTTGTTATAGTGTACGTTATTCATGGGAGACCTTTGTTATAGTTCACACTTTCGTTATAGACCTTAGTTATGACATACCTCTGTTATAGTTTATTATAGCATAGCTTTTATAACTCTCTGCAGACTGTCACCGAGGTTTGTAATGCTATCTGCAAGAACGCACGCAGAGCCACACTTTTGATTCGCAGGGGTAGGAACGAGTCATTATTTGAGAGGGGATATTTTAACTGGAGAGGCTGAATATTTATCCATGAAAGGAAAAATCAAATAACATGCCGGACAAAAAATGAGTAATACAAGAGCTACTGATAGAAAATGCGAGTACTATCTGAGATGCAAGTTTTAAAACAGCGCATCGAGAGGAGCATTTTAAATGCACGAAAGAAGGGGCAGTTGTTTCAGAGAACTTAGGCAATTTTTATTGTTGGTAGGGGGCGGGGGGGGGGGGGGGGGGGGGGGCAATTGTCAGATACTATGCTTCGTCTCACCACGGCCACTCGATTAGGACTCAAGGGGATCGAGTGGCCGTGGTCTCACCGTACAATGGACTAACTGCGAAGGCTGTGCAAGCGCCGAGGCTTCATCCAAAGCAAGTAGTTTGCGCTTATTAGCGACGTGAGCGACCAAAAGCGTCGCTGTGATCGGCCTTTCAAGGTTGGCCGAATGCTGACTATGACCTCGGCAAAGGATTTCTCATCGACGGAAGTAAGAGTAATGGAAGAACTTCAATTTTGACGGTTTTGGCAGCGTTGGTTTCAGAGCGCTATAATTTCAAGCTTCCACCATACTCATTAAAAACGCCATCGAACTTGTTGTTCGCAAGGTAATGACGTCACGAGAGTAAATATACGAGGGCGCCACCAAAACATCTCGCCGCCAATATCATTTGCGGCTAACAATAGTCCATGATAAGGTGAGACGAGGTATAGGCGTTAACTGACGCATACAAAATTAATTAAATTTAAATTAATAACAGCAGCACTGATGTGGCGAGTCGATTACCGGGCCATTATTGTCAGTACCGCCAAATTAGTCTCTTCTATTTTCCCTGATGGCGAAAAACGCTTAAATCAACGATGCAAAAAAAAAAAAAAAATATGCAGGCGAGTTCAACGTTTGGACCCGGGAGGCTGGTGCCGGCAGCCTGTCCTTGTCAGTCGAAGGACCCTCCAAGGCACAGATCGACTTCAAGGACCGCAAAGACGGCTCCTGCTACGTGACTTACAAAGTCAAGGATCCCGGTGAGTAAACCCTAAGAACCGTTCATCGTTTGCTTCCCGTATTTCGAGCCTCTTAGTATTGTTCCACGGAGTGATGGCGGCGAGCGAATGACAGAGTTCTTCATTGTGACTGTTTTATATACATAGCATTTACAGGGCCAGCCTCAGTGATTTTGTGTCCCTGGCATATGCTTCGATAATGTCACATGACATCATGACGCCACGTAAAACTATGACGGCACTTGGCACTGGGACGTCACACGACGTCAGCGTTATGTGACACACTTCGATGGCTTTATGTATTCACAAAGCCCTCGCACTGTGCCCTTGAGTGGCCTCCTTACTGTGCCCGAAAAGTAGGAATGCGAAGAGGTCTTAGGATATAAACGTTACGCATTTAAAACGCCTTTGAAAACTGCCAAAGTGAGAGCCAATCTTTTCGAAAATTATTATATCTCAAAAGTCCCAAGAGCTGAATCTGTCAAATATAAACGGCCCCAAAGTACTCCTCCAAAATTTTTTTTTTTTTTTTTTTTTTTTGCAAAGCGTGCTTTACGTTGTCCTCAGAGCTTTTCTGCAAAGAACGCGAGCGAAAGATATCTCCTTGTCGTGTGGCAGGCGAGTACCGCGTGGGCATCAAGTTCAACGACCAGCACATCCCGGACAGCCCGTTCAAGGTGTACGTGATGCCCCAGGCGGGCGACGCCAGCAAGATCGAGCTGGGCAGCGTGGCGGAGAACATGCAGACCAACAAGCCGGTGGCCTTCACTATCTCCATGAACGGGGCCAGGGGTAACCTAGACGGCAAGGTGGTATCGCCCAGCGGTCACGAGGACGACTGCTTCGTGGCGCCACTGGACGACGGTAAGTGTCTCCGTTGCTCTCGAACGTTCCTCCGAATTCGGATGATCGTTCTAAAGCGACTACAAGTTTGAAAACAGGCTTGGAGCCATCTTGAAAATCCGAGACTTAGGAACAAAGAAGTGGACAACACACACAACTGTTGAGACCTGTTTGTGTTTGTCCACTTTTTGTTCCTAGGTCTTTGGTTTTCAAGTTGTTGAAAGTTCACCAGTTCGACCGCATTTTCTCTGTTATTTCTATTAGGCTTGGCAGATTTCAATATCGCTTGCTCGGCTGCCGCAAAACGGCTGGCAGTGAGGAGTTTTTCGTTTGAAAACAACGCGTAACCAACAACCCGTATAGACGCTTTTAGCGCGCACCAGATTGGCGCCGCCATAACTGCACCTTCGTCTTGCCTCGCCGAGATGTCCAGTTACTGAAATGGGCAACAACTAATTCACACAAAGCCTACTTTGGGGACATGTACAGTGTGGTGTTTAGAAGGTCGGTAACCTGCCCAGCGATCACAACGATGAAGTGACGCTAACGGAATGAAAGGAAGGCATTAAAAAGGTTACGGCTACGCCCATACCGGAGGCACCGTCACATTCCCATAGGAACCCTACCTAGGATGGTTCCTTGCTGCAAAGAGGACCCCCATTTGGCGAGACCATCTTTATGAGGCTATCAACTTTCGCTATTTTTTTAACATTCCCATCAAACAAAAGTTTGGACGTAAAAATAGCACGTTCGGTTGTCGACTCTTAAACTCCAATCTTTTTACACATGCTCGTGTGTCCGCGCATGTTCGCGAAAGTACAGGGTGAGTGAACCCACCTTGTACTTTGATAACCAGGAAGGGATAACAAAAGAGCTTTACAAGGGCTCTGGCTTTACTTACACTTCACTACGATACTATTATACTATTCTATACTATTACCATAGGAAAGTGTCACAGGGGAGTGAGGCCTGTTTTGCAGCCTGATTTAGTTTCCGCACTGCATGTCGATCACTACTCGTCACTGCAAGGCACATAACCGGCTGAAAGAGAACCTTGGTGAGTCCATGACGTGACTTCGGTTCCTCCCCTCGCAGACCAGTGGGCACTGCGCTTCGTGCCCCGCGAGAACGGCATCCACCAGATCCACATTCGCTTCAACGGCGTCCACATCCCGGCGAGTCCCTTCAGAGTCCGCATCGGCAAGGACGACGCCGACCCCGCCGCAGTCCACGCCTACGGACCGGGACTCAGAGACGCCAAGAGCGGTACGCCGTCACAACTGGAATATCATTCGTTGAAAAAGATAGAAAGAATACATTTTTCAAACGACTCTGATAATTTTAGAAAGTAAGAATGGATAAATACGCATGGTGCTCGCATATATTTCACTCATCAAAGCTATAGATGTATCGTGTCAGGACAAAACAGTAACAATGATTGTCGAAAACTATTTTTCTTCTTAAGCTCGATACGTTTATTTTACGTCAAATGTAGATTACAAAGTTCGAAAGTTTGATGGAATTGAATACTGTCTCTGATCCCGTTACTGTCTTTATTATAGCGGTTCGCCGCAACTATGTCTAAGTCAAGGAGCAACAGTAATGTCATTGGCAAACAGCGCCTTTGTAGGCTTAGGTACTGCGGTCATTGACCGGTCCCAATGAGATTACGCCACACGCTCGCTTCATGATTTGCACTCACTTGATATCTTGTGGCTTCTATCGGCAACGACTAGGAGTATAATTGAACTAAAATTCAGAGGTTGTATTTCAACTCAGTCTTGTACACGTTACTAAAAAAAAGTAATCGATTACAATTACTATTACCCTTGACTAAAAAGTATTCGATTAGATTACTTTATTACTCGACAGCAAAAGTAATCGGACATTACTTTAAGAAGTAACCGTTACTTTTCCGATTACTTTATTGTACGAAGACTTACATCTTTAGCGCTTGAACTGCTCCCAACCTAAATTTCACATTTTCACAAGTATTGAAGAAGAAAAAACGGTTCCTTCTTCGTGGTCGTTGCACCTTCACAATGCGGACACAAGCATAGAATTCGCTTGAAGAAGTTTAATGATTTGGGCGTTCGCCAGTGTGCGTGTGTGTGTGTGGGTAGGGGGGGGGGGGAGCTGTCGCTCAAAGTTTGCGTCGCTCATATTATTATTCACATGTGGATGAACTCGCATGTTAAACAAAAGAGCAGCAGCTCCAAGATTTGAAACGGAACATGTGTAGTATCCATTAGGGGAAGAGATTGCCCCGACAACTTCTCAACTCGAAACCTTGCTTGTCACAAAGGCCACGTAGGGGAAATAGGGAAATATTTGAACTTGCTTTGTTATATTTTACATCCGCTTTAGACATTCTTCGGTTCTGGTTCTCCTACGGGCTGCGAGTAGGTGCCGTAAACAGGATTGTTTTTATTTTTTTTATTTCTGTGTGTGTGCGTGAGAGGGCTAGTTTGGACGAAGGACTTACAAAGCTACATTCTGCTCCCTCAAACTTCGCCCTGAGTGGCCTTTGTCACACGCACTGGGGCTTCCCAATCACAATCCCAGCTCGAAAAAAAAAACGGACATTTTACAGAAATTTTACATACAAAGGGGTTGACCTCGTTTTTTTTTTTTTTCGTTCGAAAAAAGAAGCAAATTTTATTTTTGTCATTTCAAGAAAAAAAAAAAGGTGTGTGCAGGGGGGGGGGGGGGGGGGGGCGTGGAAAAATAGTAACGGTTAGAAGTAATTTTTATTACTTCAGAAAGTAATCAGATTACTCTTGTGATTACTGCCTAATAAAAGTAATCAACTGATTACAAAATTACTCCAAAAAAGTAATCGATTACAAGTAATTTGATTACTTGTAATGCGTACGGTACAAGTCAGATTTCAATAGGACATCAATTACTGTTCTAAGGATTTTTTTTTTTTTTGCGATGTCTGCCAAACTATTTAACTTAGTAGGAACGTTCCCTTGAAGAGAGGGCGAGCAATGCTATTTTCTTACTTCAGGTTTATGAAGTAGAAATCTTTTAGCAGATCATCTTCGCGTTTCCGCGAGCCCAGTGGCTCCGAGGCCACGCTCCTCGAAGTATAGTTAGCAATGGAAGTATGAGCTATCGATACCAGTACAGTTCTAAGGCAAAAATAAATCTTCTAAAATTTTGTAATTCAGATTAGAAAAAGGCTAACGTCATTGATATTTTTCTATTATAAAACTTATAAGTAAGTAACCACCGGCACATGGATCGCTGTGTTGACGATGCTTCCGGGTCGACAGGCACCAAGACGGACTTCATCGTAGACACGTGCAACGCGGGCGCCGGCTCGTTGGCCGTCACCATTGACGGCCCGACCAAGGTGAACATGGACTGCACCGAGGTGGAAGAAGGCTACAAGGTGCGCTACACGCCCCTGGCACCCGGGGAGTACTTCGTCACCGTCAAGTTCAACGGCTACCACATCGCCGGCAGTCCATTCCGCGTCAACTGTACAGGTGCGTGAAAGAATCACCAACTGGCTTACAAACGAGGTGCATTCTAGGAATCTCAGACTTAATAAAGAGGTGAAGAAGTTCGTACTTGGTAATTGCCGCTTGTGTTGCCTCCTGGCAGTGTTCGTATGCTCTGTAGTGCTAAGTTTATTAGTCAGCCCGAAACATCTCAAGATTAATGTGTTTTTTAAACATCTCGTGAAACATAAAAGCCTGAAGCTTAAAAGAAAGAATTATTTGGTTTGGAATTACTTTCAGCCAAATATATTTTTTAAACTGAATCAGAGCCGCGTGGTCATTGGACTACGGTCGATCTGACATCTTACTGTGAAAGCGGATGTTGTTGTTGTTGTTGTTTTTTTTTTTTTTTTTTAAGAATGCACGCACCCATGTATCCCTATCCGGACTGGCCATTTGACAATAGGTTGCCTATAACAGTTCAACTAATCGATTTTTGAAAACTGGTCTACAGTATTACTTTCTAGGCATTTTTGTTTTTCTACGGCTCCCAGCTCATTTGCCGTCCACTTTATAGAAAGGCAAATGGTAAAGACCATAGAGGGTCGAGAAATGAAGACCATAAAATGGCGAATAGTAAAGACCTCGTGTTTAACTACATACCGATCGTCTTTGGAGACGTCATTGTCGAATCATTACCAACTTGCATAGATACTTCGCCAAAATGTTGTGCGTGTAGCCACTCGTACTGATATTCTTTTTTTTATCCCACAGGCAACGTCACTCGGACTGAAGGTGGAAAACGTGAGTGAACGATGGACTCGGTCCGTTTGGCCCAATTATCCGTCGCTTCGTGGTTGCGGACATTTCGGTTCACGTCCTCTTGCCATTGTCTACCGCCCCGCAGGGCTGTCCATCGCCCCTCCGACTGCGCCCGAGACGTCCTCGATGACGGTTGACACGGTGGTCAAGCAGGCCGTCCAGAAGGCCGACCACCTGCCCAAGTTCCGCTCCAACGCCGGCAAGGTTACCAGCAAGGGCCTGGGTCTAAAGCGGGCCGTGCTCAACAAGCAGAACACCTTCACGGTCAACTGTCTGGACGCCGGTGAGACTTATATAAGCATTGGCATCGTAACCTTTGGGTGCGCTGCCTGGAACGCGTCTCCGGCCGGTGTATTTAGCGTCCTGTTCCACCCATGCATCGAAGGTCGTACCGAACTGGCAACCAATGACGTTACCACAGCCGGAGTGTCGTGTTGTCGGATGTCGCGATAGTAACGATTGGGCGTATACGTAAAGAACAAAACAAAAAACAAGAAAAAAAGATATGAAACGCAAGTGTCGCTACCGTCGCGGCGTCCTCTCTTCTGGCTGTTGAAGCTTTGGAGCTGTGGATTGTCAAAATGAAGAACGATCCGCAACAGAACTGGCGTCTGCTACTTCCACCACCGCTGCTGTGGCACTGCCAGGGTCGCAGCCGGCGACAGCATGGCACTTTTATGACGTCAACAAGCGGAAATGGAGGGACCACTTTTTTGGACGCAGTAAATATACCAGTCGGAGTCGCATTCCGGGCACCATACATTTAAGTTGTATTCTCACCTAGAGCCACCAAACTAAGCTACCCTCAGAATATCGGCACTCCATTCCCCGATCTTTATTTATTTTTTTTCTTTTAATGGGCGCTTTTGTGTGTGTGTGTGTGTTTAGTGCAGAGTGGGAGCGATTTTCGACCGTTACGGTTCGAAAAGGCGCTGTCAGGAAGCTCGGGTCATATCGTATTGCTCTGACGAGGACTGTTTTAACGTTTTTGGAGGACGGAAAAGCGTTTCCTGCTATTTCAAACAAAGCTTGAAGCAATTGGCAATAATGATATTAAACACCAAGATGGCTGGAATGTTGTTACTCTGGAGCATGGCTTACTTAGTGTCTTTATTCGAAAAAAAAAACCCTCCCTCCCCTTCCCCCCCCCCCAAGCAAATTTTTTTTTTTTAATATTATTATAAGTTTGACGAAAGCTTGAGACTGAAATTTGACAATTATCAACATATGCGAAAAGGGGGAATGAGCTGACGCCACCGGGCGAGGGAGGGTAACCAACTAACTATATAATTAAAAGAACACACGTTCGCTTTTATATTGAGTAAATATTGATAATCCTTCTCCAAAATTTAAACTAAGCTTCTATATAGATCAGTTTTCCCGAAATTTGAATCTCTGCGTCGAAGTTCTGCAACACTTTTCGAAAGTCGAATTAGGTCGAATTTTGCCGAAAAGTTTGAAGAGTCGGCGAACCAGTCGAGTCTCAGGTTCGATCAAAGTTCGCGCCCTTCCTAGTTCTAAGAGGTATCGGCGACGTGCGCGACCAAAAGCGTTGCCGTGGTCGGCCATCCACGATCGGCCAAAAGCTAACTATGACGTCTCGAGTAGAATTAATTCTACTTTCATTAATTAAAATACGAAGAACGTCAGACCGTCAACTCTGACGATGTCGGTTTAAGGACGCAGTGACTACAAGCTTCCACCCTGAAACGCACGATGGAAGCTTGGAGTTTCCTCATTCTTAAGCTAACACCCTCGAACTTGACATTCTGGCATTGCTATTATTTCCGCCTATGAAAGCAAAATGAATCCCGTGAAGCCTCGGTCGGCTGCTAGTCAGAACGGCTGGTGGCCAAAAAGGGCAAATTTAGGAAGGCCATGTCACCGAGCGATTCTACACGAGCGCTGCGTCGCAGTTCGGAACGGCACTCGGAGATTCGAGCTCGAGGTCGGGTCCAACGATCGCGGCCGCGGGCCGTCTCAGAGTTGCAAAAATTCCCCATAAGATGGCGCCACTTGTCAAACTTCCAATCGGGAAAAGCAGATCAAGGCGAAGTCGCGAAGTTTTTGGCCGCGCACGCCGGTAACCATGCGGAGAGAAATCTTTGTAGTTCGCCCAGTTGGCAGCTCTGTGAAATCCTCTTCGTCTGGCCGCTGGCATTGTTACAGCCGTCAGTTCGACGGCTCGCCTCGTTTGTCGCTCAACGGTTGCCAGACGCTTGGCGCGCCCCCAAAATCGCTAAGTTACTGTCGACAACCGAAACCAAACCAATATATATAGTGTTTGCGGGGGTCGCTCCCGCGTCGAGTCGACTTCGACTCCGCCACCAAGCTGGTCAAATTAGTCTCTAGAAGCCACGCGACGATCCGAGTCGAGACGACGTGTGCTCCTCGCGTTCGGGGACCATCTGCGAGTTATTTTTGCGTCGGGCGATCGACGTCCCCGCAGCGCGTCGACACTGTTCCCGGAGGCGCATCTGTGTGGCTCGCTGTATTTTTAAACCGCGCTTCTCGCAAAATTTAGAGAGAACACGGTCGCGCCACACGCCTGTGCGCTTGTCTACGCCAGATGGTTGGGGGGGAGGGGGGGGGGGGGGGGGGAGGGGTTCGGCTGCTGAATATGACTTCAAAACAAGTGCGAGGTTGTTGTACATGATGCGTTTTTATTTATTAAAAAAAATTGACACTACAAAAAAAATTGTCGCGCCTTCTTGTTTACGCGTCTCGGTTGCCCCGCTATCCAAGGATCACACAGTAAGAGATTATCTTAAGAAATAACGTTTGCTCGATGACGGTCATTCGTAACTGACCCTTCTGAAACAACGAAACTTGCTACTTCTTGGTAGCCGTAAGACTGACGGCAACGACTGGTACTATACGTTATTATGCTCCAATAAAGTAACCGTGGGAGGTTCGAAAGTTTTAAATTTTTGCTTGCCACATACATCCCGGAATGTGACTGAAAAAAAGAAAAGAAGAGCACAGACATGGAGGAGGTCATTAATATTGTGTCGTCCGCGAGGCAAAAAAAAAATGTTTATGTTAATTTTAACTTTGTACGTACAAGCGACGTACGCTGCGGGCGACGTGCAAGAAACACATGGCCATAATACATTCTCCGCTTCCTACACCCATGCTCTCGAAGACGTTCTCTCTTGTTCTGGTGCGGAGAAGCTGTGTCTGCAAGCCGAAGTAACATTGCTAAAACATCTTCCAAAGTACAGTATTTTGTTTCTGTCGCGTTGGTCATACAAAATACAATGTCTGCAGAAGACATGTTGGCAGACATGTATGACGCAGCCATACCTCGAACCTTCTTGAGGCCTGCAAACAGATGATCATGTCATCCTGTCCGCCACGAACACCGTGTCTTTTCTGCATAATGGATGGGCAGCGGGACAGCGGCTTCAGTGTTTGACTCTGGACAGGCAGGATATACTGACTTCGAAAAAGGGTCTATTACGAAGAAACGTATGGCATCCAAACTGGAGGCCCACGCATGCAGGCGTCTGCGACATGGATGCAAAGGTTTCTTCTTATATATATATATATATATATTTTTTTTTTTTTTGCCAAAGTTTGCAATTGTTGCGTTCTGAACGGCCTAGTATAGAATGTCGCGATTCCAGCGCCATTCAATTGTCCATTCAGTCATTTTGTATCTTCCCCATGCCGGCTAGTTCAGAATTGAAACTGACAACTTTGACACCTGTGCATCCGAACTTGTGACCTCTAAAGATCAAACCCGCGCGCAAAACAAAAAAACAAAAAAAGTCAGTCATTTGTAGATTTTTTTTTTACCCAAACCGCTATCAAGTTTGTTTTGTTTTTCCTTGCAAGATTTTTAAAGCTTTTTATGGTAACTGTTAATAAAGTCTTCACGACCAGCGTGAAAAGTCGGTTATGTATTGTCTAGATCGGGGGCTCCTCGAAATCTGAATTGAACTTTAAATGTCAAGAAAAAATAAACTGAAATTTTGAGGGATACTTCACTTCAATATCAAAGGTCATACGAAACAAATTTCATATAGTACATTTGTTATATTAGAAACAGTTCATTGCGACACTTTCGCTCAATCTTCTTTCTTCAGCTGCCGGCTTCTACCTCTAGTCTTAGTGATTTTTTTTTTTTTTTTTGTCACCAGTTTTATTTTCAAAAACAGCTTTCTCGTTTATATGTGTTTTGTACTAATATTAAGTTTTTCATCGTGTAAACTGGATAAGACGGCGAACACCAAGAAACAGGTTGTCCGTCAACAGGAGTTGGATGGTCAACAAGAGTTGGAGACAATAGTGATCAAGGCGTGTTCGCCGAAGCGTACTTCCCCACTACGTAGAAGCGTTCGCGGGGAAGTCCGCCTGCCGATATGTCTCGGAACTGCGTAAATTTGTAACGCTTTCTATACTCACTTTTTTATTATTTTTCTTTTGTCCTTTGTCTCTCGTGGAGCGTGCGACAGAATTTGTCAAACTGACGATTGTACAAAACCACATCGCAGTGTTTATTTTTTCTCTTTATTATATTTTGTGTGTGTGTGTGTGTTACTGCATTACATGCATGCGACGCTGCATAACAACCACTGGGTTGCGACTAAAAAAAAGAAAGAAAAACAAACAAAAAAACAATGTTCTTTGCACAGGAAAAAAAAAAAGGATTGTCAGATTGCCGACAACTTTGACTCGACCCAAATGCAGTGGTAGCCAGTGGGACAAGGTGGCGAAGATTCAGAACTTTAAGTTACATGGTTCGAAAGCTAAAAGCGATAATTTTACATTTTAATGTAGAAATAAGCGTCCGTTTACGGCAGCTGACGCTATTCGTCTCCATGTCTATTTGCGGGTTCCATGGGCCATCATTTTGTTTTAACTGTATATTTCAGAAAAGTCCTTCTAACGTTCGAATAAGTTACCGTCAAGTTTCAAAACTTCAACATCTTATCTCAACCTCTAGCGCTATCTTTAGACAGAGTCTGTGTATTCGGCGATACGCTGTTCATTTTACGACGCAAAAAACGCAATTTGTCTTCAATTCTTTTTCACGTTAAACATTATTATTAAACTTTAGTTGTTGCGACGGAACCACGTCAATATGAAGCACTCCCCAGTTCCTCCTAAAACCCACTGCACTGTTTGTTTGGTTTTTGTATAATTTTTATGGAAACCCCCTTTTGACGTGTCCTTCGGCATTCTTTGGAAAACAGAGTACATTTCGCAAGAAACTACTGCGGGAAACCGCAACCCCCCCCCCCCCCCCTTCCCCTCAAGCTTTTCAAGCACTTCTCTTTTTTCCTTTGTCCTTTGTGCCACTGCTGTGCAAGTCGAGCGTGCCCTTCGTTGTTGGCCTCGCCTTCCCTTTTTGTGCTTGTGTGTGCTAGGCCGCGGTTACCGAGTCGAACAATGGATCTTTTTAACTTCCAGACGACACCAAGCGGTGAAAATTCAAAGTGCGATTGGCATTCGGCAGGAGACCTACGCTACCTCTCCTGCCTCCCCCGCAACCCAACTGAGTCGTCCGAATCGCAGAGGAGGCAGGAAAGGTGGTACAACTCCCCTTCCAAACGCCGACCGTAGTTTGAGTTTACGCCGCTGCGTAGAGGGACCCGCGCACGCGAAAAAATACTCTTTGAAAAGTCGATTGTTGCGAACTGAAACGGAAATGTTCAAAACGCGATATCTGCTTGGCACGAAACGCTACCGAGCGCTGCCCTGAAAAATTAGGTTCTGCGTGAGCGCTTGCATTCTATCAAGACGTTTCCGTGACTGACGTGACCGAGTGGTTATTATGATCCTTAAATTATTTTAGAGCTAACTGCTCGCGGAACTGCGATGTATAGCGAAATACTCTAGCCAGCCGGTTGCATATTGCTGAGGGATCCTTTGTTCGTTTAATTTAATTTTCTGTTATTCCGGTAACATTTCGGACTAAGCTTATCAAATTGAGTTTTTTTTTTTTAATTATAGTATATTTAAGCGCTCAAATTCTTTATCCCCCTTGCCGGTTGACGAGTATTAGCGTAGTTCCCTTTCTTTGTTTGTATTACCTTTTTTCACAATGCTTGCTTCGGCATGGATTTAGCTTCGGCATTTAGCTTCGCCATGTTGCAACAGATGTCACGCCGCAGGCAACTCCGTGAAGAGTTTCTGGGCAGGGAGCGTATTGTTATAAGTAAGGTCGGGTTCTAAACCGAGTACTGAAATGTCGAAACAGCGCCCCTACCTTCGATTCCAACTACAAGAAGAAAAACGCAACGCAAGCTTTTTCTTGTTTCGTGCACTCCCCGTTTATACGTATGCCATTTCCTTTCAAATTTTATATCACCGACAAGCTGCTGCAGCTGCGCAAGTATAATTGCTCTCCAAAGTACGAAAGAGTAAAACGACAACGTGCGAAGAGATTCGACCCGTGGCCTCCCCGCGCCGTCTCTGCTGCCTCGCTTTCATTTTTGTGTCGTATTGATGTTTCTTTTTTTATGAACATGCTTCCCTTACATGTGTCGTCACTACGTAGTTGGGTTCTCATAAATTTTGTTGAGGACAGTGTGGCAGCGTGCGCGCTTGGCAGGATCGAAGCTCGCGTGCCACGTATGCTGCCGAGCTCCTATCTTTAGTGAGCGCCTCCCAGCAGGTTGCGCAGAATACACGTGGCGCTGGGACGTGGCGCAGAGACAGGGGTGCCGACTCGCAGCCGACCAGTTCGTAATACGAAGGCTGTTCCCCCCCCCCCCCCCCCCCCCCCCAAGTTACAATAAACTAAACAAAAAAAAAAAAGAATGATGAAAAATCTTTGAAGGGGATGTAGATACATACTCCAGCTACTTCTCCGTAAAATCACCGCACATATTTAGACCGTTATTAAAACGTGGCACAATCATTTGAATGCTTTCCCCTAAGAAAAGGTTGCCGTCTGGGTCTTCGTCATTCCATTACGAGTTTAACAAGGCTGTCGGTCGCCACAGGCGTTCTTTCCCAGCCCCCATCACCAAGCAAGTATGTCCGTCCTTCCCACAGATCCGTGGCGGGTGTCTGTCTCGTTTACGCATGATGGAATGACAGAGAACACCGGCGGCATCCCTCTTCGGGGAGGGAATTTAAAGGCCTGTGCCACGGCATAATAACTGCCTTATTCTGCACGATATTTGTGTTAATAAGTACCTAGAGCATGTATATACATTTTGTGTATATTACAAAGATTTTTCATCATTTATAGACCCCTATCGAAATTTACGCGTCCATTGTTAAGAAGTCTGAAGCACTGCACAATGGCGGAAAAAGCGACACCACAGAATATGAGATTCTAACACTGCAGAAGCTAGAAATGAAATGCCATTAGTACGGTATGAGATGACATTAGTGTGGCTCCCCAAGCTGCTCGGAGTACACAAAGCCTTGAGGTCTCCTGTTCTAAAACTCTAATCCTGCATTAACGAGCGCCTAGGCGGAAACTATAGGCAAAGCAGACTGGGAACCCCGCTGACACACCACTTTTGGCAGGCGAAGAGAAACGTGTTTTTTAACGTCAAAATCGTAAGCAGCCATCAAAAGAAGAAAAAATGAGCCAATCAAACACATTTGGAGACAATATTCAATAAAATGCGGATTAAAGAAACTAAAGAAGAAGAAATACCCTTAAGGAGTTGAGAACATGAGTTGGTTTGCTTGTGAAACGTTTTTGAAGAGAAACGGAAGAAGCTGACGTTGCCCTGCAGCCGCCGGCTCCATAATCTACGTTGGTCTACAGATCGCCATCCAAAGACTGTTTCTATGTCTTCAACATTTTTTCACAGAAAAGAAAGAAAGAAAGAAAGAAAACCAGTATAAGAGTCTCCTTCCAAAACTTAAACGGAGTCGATATCATCATTGTCGTCGTCATGGTTATTTGTATTTACTTATCCATTCCTTTATTTATTTACTTATTTACGAGCGCCCCTTTGTGAGGGAAATAGCGTAGCAGGACAGGGCGTTTAATTACAGCGAGAAAACTAAAGATACTCCAATGGTGCTCATAACATTTATAGGAAGCCTAACGCCTTACGCATTCACCATGCGACACAGTTGTAAACACACTATTGATAGGCTCTTTTCCGCGTTTTGCTCACCCATCTTAGTGTCAAATATCACACTTCACCGCCTAAGTTAATACCCAATCTGAGGTGTCCCCCCACACTGCTGTAGTGGTTTTGACCTCAGTAATATACTCAAACAAAAATTAGGCCAGCCACATCTTGCTCGTGCTAAAACTATCGTTCACTGTACATGAAATTCAGCGCTGCAAAGTGTGAGCCTTGCGGATAAATTACTTCGTCTTTCCTCTTTATTTTCCTCTTCTTGGGCATGCGTAAGGTTCCTTGCCGAACCCTTTGATAAGCGAACGCGTTTTCGTTGGTCCGTCTCTCGGCAGGCAACAACCTGATCTACGCCAGCGTGTACGGACCTAAGGGACCCTGCGACGAGGTGTTCGTCAAACACCTGGGCCGCAACCTGTACCAGGTCAACTACGTGGTCAAGGACCGCGGAGACCACGTGGTCATCGTCAAGTGGGGAGACGACCACATCCCGGGCAGCCCGTTCAAGGTCGAGGTCGTCTAGCTCCACCAACCAGTGCTTTGCATCGGCTTCACACAACGACACCCTCCGCCGCACCCGCGTGGGGCGCCATCGTCGCCGCCGCGCCATCGCGCACCACTCGTGGCGCCCAAAGGGGGTAGGGAGGGGGGGAGGGTGCTGTCTCGCTCACTTTTCTTGACCCGCTCGTGCCGTTATTTTTTCCCCTCTGCAAGTGTACATTCAGAGTGTTTGCATATTAAAGATATTGTGATGATGATGATGCTTTCATCCGGACTCTGCTTGTCCTTGGCGTTGCTCCGCTATGCGGAGAGCAAGTCATCTGCTTCTTGGGCACAAGCTGCGATGACGTCAGAACTCCGCCGAGCTCATATGGGCTGATCGAAAGAGAATAGTAAGTAGATCTCAATGCTAAATGCTTTGAGGTCTACCCACTTTATTATTTTTTCAATCAGCCAATATGGCGTCGTTCTGACATCACCGCAACTCCAACGCAAGAAGCGGACGACTTGCTCTCTGCACAACGTATACTCCCTTTCACTAAGACCGACCACAGTCGGCGGTACACGACCTTATGGAGCCAATCAAGCGGCATCAAAAAGCGCGGGTCACTAGGTATTAATCCGTTTAGGATTGGTTCAGCGACGATAAAACACGTACAACAAAACCATGGCGAACGCCATGATGGTGCGCTTTTGACGCTGCCCGATTGGTCTCACCAGCTCGTAGCGTCGGCCACGTAAGTATATATAGCGGTAAGAGGCGAAATGGCTCTGCGGAATATTTCTTCCGGTTCGGGGAATTCACACCAACAACAGACGGACAGAGGAAGAATAATAATTGCGCTATTTTGTATTTCTCCTAAATTATGTAAATTTTGACTGCTGGTCATTGAAATCGACGACTGAAATTGTAGAATAGGAGCAGTCAATAACTATACGTCTTAAACGTGTTGGATCGTTCCTTGGAGAGTAAAGACCGATGAGTAGAGCAGAAGCGCTGAATTTTGCAGCTGTATACATACCGGTGAAGAACACAATTGGCAGTTCCTGCTGGGAACTGTTATATTTTTAACCAGTGACTTCCCTACACACTCCTCAGGGGGGTGTACACCCCCCCCCCTTTTTTTTTCTTTTTTTTTTTTTCTGAAGGCACCTTACAACGACTCCTCTATTTTCAATACCCCCCCCCCCCCCCCCCCCCCCTTAATTTCAATTCCTGGGGAAACCCCTGTTTGTTACGCAGCTGCAAGGACGATATATTTCGGCTGATATAGAGATAAAAAGTAACCGCGCTGGTGATTCTCTGAAAGATACGAAAAATAAGTTAAATCCAAAAAAAAAAAACAAAAAAAAACACGGGGGCTTTGTGCGCGTCTCAAGATATCAGGCTGTCGTCGTCGCTTTTGATGCGCGGTCAACTTGTCGCCATGTCGAACATCTTTTATAGCAGGTGTTGGATTTCCGACCACTTTAAAGACCCGATTGATAACGCATTTCCTTAGAGCGGGGGACCTAGAAAAGCTAACCGGAAACAAGCTCACAACAAAAGCGTCAAATGCGGAGAGAACTTCAACCAATAGTCCGTGAACTAAGGGTCGAGCATCCTACTAACACCGGTTACGTTTCGTTCGGCTGTCCTTTGAATTATCGTTTTATTGCTTTATATTAGCTTCGTCGAGGGGTTTTTGACGTGTATGAGGCACGCTTAAAAAAGAAAACCTTTCTCTGCAAATAAAGTGCACAATAACCGCATGTACTCGTGACATTTAGACATACCTCACTAAAGTAAATGGTGTTTACTCGTGTCTAATTAATCTGCACCTCACAAAAAAAAAAAAATTGCACATTAGGATTTTTTTTTAATAGAACGTAATTGAAAGGATAGCCGAGGGAAAATATAGCCGGTGAATGCAGCTCGAGTTTATTATCTAGTGAACCGGCACTGCGTAAGCGGTTCCAAGATCTCCATGTTTCCCTGTTTAAGAAAATAGCTAAAGCCTTCCGATTGGCAAATAAAAAGATAAAAAAAAAGTTTGTATTTTCCCCTTATTTCAGATTCAGCATAATTTGCGACAATCATGCGAAAAACTTTCCTTCTAAAAGAGGAGTTTTTCTCCGAGTCTGTGAAAAGGTCAAAAGACTGACGAGCTTTTCTCCGGATGCGCAAACAGGTGGCCGAGTTTTTCTCCGGGATTCCTGCGATCGCTCCGTCGCAGAATCCTGCGATTTATAAGCCGATGAAAGTAAGTTGTGCCGCTTAGACCTGCAAACTCAGCGCCTCGATGACGAATCGATGCGACCGCGTTGTGATGGAAGCTTTAGTTTGAAAAACATATAAACACGAAGGACAAGGTCAGACGACCACCCTTTTTCAAAGTCTTCTTGCACCGTCGTTTTTCCCTTCTCTCTGCAAAGCAGCCGCGGCCAGCAGTTCCTCTTCGTTACTTCATCAAGGCGCGCGGGAAACGACTCAACAGCGTGGCCTGTCTCCGAGGTCAAGAAAGGAGGGAGCCTTCACAGCAGTTTAAGGTTTCCTTTGTAAAGAAATATTCAAATAATGTTTTCAACCTAAGTTCCAACCTAAATATTTTTTTTCAGTTATTACACTCAGAATGAGTGCACATTTATTGAATCCCCTTCCCCGTTTGCATCAATCCCGTTATCCCCCCCCCCCCCCCCCCCCTCCAAAAAAAAAATGTTAAGGGTATTTTTGGAGTCCTAAAAAGTAATTTGCGTGATTACTATAAATAAAAAATAAACTGTTTGTACTTAGCATCCAAATTATAGTAGGTGTGATAATGGCATCTTAATTGAATGAATAACGATTTTCCTTTCACAAAATTACACCGCCCGTATGCCACCCGTGGCCTATGAGCAGTACCGGCGTCACGAAACGAGGCCTGCTAAAAGTTTAAACACAGCCTAAACTATTTGTGTTAAAAAAAAAAAAAAAAAACATACAAAAGGTCGGGATTATTAAGCAGAAGTTAGCTAAGTGGTGCCATACATCTCAGAAAGGAGGAATAGTTATTTTAATTTCCTTCATGGCTATCCGTAGGGCAGCTGCAAAAAGGCAACCACACAAATTGAAAAAAAAAAAAAAAGGAAAAAAATGCTGCTAATATTGGTGAATTAATTTTGCTTTAAATGTATATTAAGAGTTAAAATAAAAGGTGCTGGCTAGGTGGCACAAGCCTCCGCCCGACTTAGAGGGCTCGACCATCTTTATCCATCCACTCCATCACCCGTGGATCGACGACAAACTAAAAACTGAGTGACAACTCTTAGCTTCCATAATTACGAGTGCTGCTCGTGGTTACCCCAGCGGCATGTCATGGCTTTCTATCGGTTGATTCGCATCACGTCACCAACAGAGTAAAAATACGTTGCTCATGAAATTAGTTTTGCTCATAACTTTCATAAACACTAAGACAGACCTATACACAAGTTTAGTCACTCCGAAACTCCCCCATATTTATACGACAGTCGTAAACATGCAGCAGGGTTCCATTAGCATTTCGTCGCATTACAAGGCCACGTACCCCACGAAATGAACAGCCTTCCACAACAAACACCGGAGAATGCTCCGAGCAATGAGCCAAGGGTTTATTTATTACTTTTAAAGAGTCGCCAACCGACCGAGAATTTAGTCGGGCCTGTACACTCTTACTTATCCGACCTCACCCATCCCCAATAGACCCTTTCCGAAACTGTGAACTGATGCATAGATTATGCGCACCCGCCATTAGTCGGCCTCACTGCTTCCAGCGTGAGGCCCGTGATTGCTTCTGAGTCTGCGCAGAGCACTGACGCAGCACTCGTGAGGAATGCATTTTAATCCGAGCGCACACCGAATGCTGATGAAGTGCTCGAGTTCGATGCGTGCTCACAGTGGCAGTCGCACATAATCTATGCATCACTCTGAAATTTCGTAAAGGGTCTGGAGGGACCTTGCGACACCTAAAGGGGGCGCGCCGATCCAACTGGCGTGCCCGCCAAATGTTGGAAACCGCACCGCGGCACCACTGTCGTGTCGCACGCTTCCCATTATCACTTCGCAGCCATTCAGACTGTGGCGTTGCTCGTTATGAATGCCAAAGAAGGAATCGGGCAGCGCATCACAATTAGCCACACCGTTCTTACTTTGTCAGTGAGAACGGCGTGGGTTATTGCGATCATGCGACCAATTAGATCAGCGCACCCCCTTTGGGTGCTGCATGCCCCCTATTGCAGTAGCACCCCCAAACCCCCCTTCATTTTGGTTCTTACGCTCGCTGGCTCTCAGAACGAACCCAGCTTGCGTTGAGGCCCCTCGCACTGTAGGGTCCGGTAGTCAATCGTTCCTTTATACACCACCTAAAAGAGAGCAGTCTTGAGCATGCGCGACGCACAAAGGCTTCGGGCACACCTTTACAGAGATCCTGCCGCACAAGTGTCCATTGCAGCCTCCCCACGGGCCAATCGAGGGCCTCAAATCGCAGCACCGGTGCCGCATTACGGCACGCATCTTGGTCGGGCACTCCGTCTAAATCTTCGTTCGGCTCCGAGTACCCCCGAAGTCAGGAGGAGAAAGTGGCGAACGCCGGTCTAGATCATGCAAGTCGGATGCACGGTTCAGTCACGGCCTCGAGCCCCCTCTGTCGTTCCTTCCGCACGCCCCCGGCCACCACTCGGGCGTCGGTAGGTGCCCGGTGTCTCTGCGGTGCCGACGCGGGGGGCGGCGGGGGTCCCGTAGCGACGCCGAGGTGTCCATCACCTGCTGCTGGGCAGGTAGGCCGGATTGCGGTTCTTGATGGGCAGCGGGTGGGCCTCCGTATTGAGCACCCACTTGTCCAGGGGCAGTAGCGAGTCGTCTGAGAAGAGCAGGTACAGGTACTTGAGGGTCTCCGCCAGAAAAAAGCTCTGCTGCACGTCGTCCTTGGGACCGTCCACCTGGTACACGTTCTTGAGGCCCGAGTAGCCGCCCTCGACGCGGCAGTGCTTCTCCAAGGCCTGGAAGAGACCAAAGGACGACCGCTGAGGCTCGGTGCCTGCTCCGACGTCTGCACGAGCTACACTACCCGTTAAAGGCCCCTACACAGTGACGTCTTGTTGATATGAACACCTCAATTCTCTGTAAAAGCGTTCATAATGCAAGTTGTCCATAATAATGAGACAAAGCTGTGTGTGTTTACCCAGTCTGTCCCTGAAGATGTTGCCTCTATACCATACTTTGTTTCGTACGCAGAAGACAACAGAGCACTCTCAAAGCACGACCGCTCGTGCAAATAAAGTGCTGCTCGAAGCATGCTAGCGCTTGGTTGCACCCATCGTCCCCTGAGCGTAAAAGGGAAGCTGAAGTCAATTGGAAGTTCTCAGTTGCCGCGCGTCTCAACTGGGGTAGCTAAGCCTATGAACCTTGTAACACTGAACAACTTAGTTGAGCTCAATGACAGTTGGGAGATGCCAACGATTGCTGATTTAATGACAGTTGAGAGTACTCTTGTAACTAGAGTATATGAGCAACAGTTGTAACCTGTTTTGTAGATAGATGCAAGAGATGCAGAGGCAATTACGAGACAATCGCAGGGGTTAAGATCTTTCATTAAAGAAAAATCTTAACAGGGATAGTACATAATTCAACCTTTTAGTGCATGCAGTGATGCAGCGACCAAAGCTGGGGGGTGTGTGGGCCATCTGCAAGCATTATGCGCACTGCCCTACATCGAAGAACAATACCATTTTTGTGTCCCGTGGTTACAAAACACGTTCTTAGAGTTCCCTGTTTACGGTATTTGGCGATGTATACACTCCCACGAGCGCTCACTCACCTGGACGGCCTCCCAGCCCCACTCCCGGTACTTCTGGTCCTTGGTGAGCCTCCATAGGTAGAAGTAGGACTCAATCACCTCTGGCCTAAGAATGTAGTACTTCTCATTCTGCTTCATCGCTCGAGCCTCCAGCTGCTCTGTGAAGCGGAATGACTCTGGTCCCAGTTTCGTCGCTGCAATCAATCAGAAAGAAAAGCACCGATGCAGAAAGGTCACTACTAGATACAAGAGGGTATGCACCTTTCCAGTACCTATCACCCAGGCAAAAAATACCAAGTCACTGGGCAGTGCAGGAAAGTGATGCATCTGATATTCCATGCTTAGAACGCATTCCATAGCCCGGTTGACCAAGACAGCAGCATGCAGAAAGTGATTATTGGCATGGTCTATACATAGGGTCAGACTTCATTGGTTAACACCTTATTTTACTTTAGAAAAGGTTGGAAGTCGATCCATTAAACCTCGAAATTCAAGCCTCTGGATTCATTGCATAGTACTGTGTTGTCTAGATTAGGAAATTGTGTTTCTAAACTTGGTGCCAAGAAGAGTTGCTATTGGCAAGGAAGAACACAAGGAAGGAGAGGAGATATACTAGAAAGAAGTCAAAGCCAAAGCTAAGGTGGCTAAGCAGACAGAAAAAGTATGTTTCTCATTCTAAACTAGAATCGACAATTGGGATAGTAGGCAGACCACAGTGGTAAATGAAACAGCTCAGAAAACGCGGAGAAAGCGGAAGAAACAAACCACAGCGCTGCTGTCTGTTTGCCCTCATGTCTTTTTTCGTGTTTTATGCACTGTTTATTATGCTATTCTTATTCTCACATTTATCGTAAAAATTAACTTTTCAGACTCTTAACAAAGGCTACCACTTTTCATACCTGACAATCGACACATTTTAATAGGACCCAAAAAGACAAAGCCTATAACCCCACCCCCCTTCCCCCGCAAAACTTGGTATGAAGCTCTAATCCTCCACCTTACTAGGGTTGTTCTACTAAAATGTTCACCGTAAACATCATGACTGGCATCACACGTTCTGCATAGGTATGCACCGGCACAACTACACGACATAAACAAAAGATAGTAGGAAGCATCAGAGAGGATTAGAAGCTAATAACCCATAGACACGGGAGCACATTTTTAAAGGGACCGCAGTCTTTTTTTTTTTTTTTTGCCCCTAACTTGCCACTTCCCGGTGTCTGCAAAGTCCAATAAATATCCACTTAAGCCTACTAAACAGACATGATGCTTATGCAAGAGGCCCATATGTCTATACTTCAATGCCGAGCATGCAGACAAGCAACCAGCATATTGCAATCTACTTACGTGTACGGTCGTAAGATTCATGGCACGTGTGAGTGATGTTCTTCGCTATTTCCATGTAGCGGTCCGAGTTGAAGCCGGGCTCTGTCGCAAAGGTTCGTGCCATAAGGCCGAAGAAGCCCCCTGAAATTCAATTTGGCGGTTGACATGACAGAGCATCGTTGCACACCAAAACCGTTTTCTTCAGTGATAATGGTGATTTGGGGTCAGGAGTACCTACTAGAAATGGCCACAGCTGGCTGGCCCCAATGCTTCAATGCACATATCTAAGTTACGAGGTCAAGTCATGTTTTCTTCATATGAAAGGAAATAACCACTTGAAGGAACTATGATCAAGTTGGCGCCTCAACACCAGAATTATTGTTTAGGTTAGCAATTGTGCGACGGCCTATGCGTCTAGTTTGGTGGCCGTGAGTGTAAGAAGGGAGACGTATTGAATGATCCGTGCCAATAAAAAATACAATGTGCTGCAAGTTAGCTAAACTGGAAACACTGCAACTCATCCTCATTAAATTCAGCCCTGTGATTGAAGCAGTCACAGAACAGAAACTTTAGTCGCATCACGACGCTTGAAGTCTGCATGCATCGCAGCCTTGCCAGTCTTGGCATCTCGATACATTTGACCTTATGCTGAAAGCCCATACAAATTTGGCCATTATTCAGTTGCCAGCTAGATCAGTTGAGAACAAGCAGTTGAATTCAGCTGATCAGAGAGAAAGAGCTTGTCTAAAAATGCTTTAAATGACAACAAAACGACACAGAGCAGTGATGCCATTTCTCATAAAGAAACAGCACCATTTTTGACACAACAAAATCTTTTAGAAAGTTCGTTAAAATCTTTAGTATTAAAATGCACAGTAACATTGTCTCCATAAGTATTTACCCCTTTTAAAAAGCAGTAAAACTACTTATAAAGTCGAAAATGGGGGCTTGTATACTTCAATACCAGTAAATGTTCCTAAGACCACCAAGGGGAGGAAGCTGCTGTCCAGCCATAAAGCATAGAGCTACTGTACACCCAGTTCTTCCATTAGCATTTGTTGGGCATACTCCTAGCTACCACTAGAAACTGTGGTTAATTTCTAACACATGGTTAGAGACAACTGCACTTGAGAACAGCTTCAAATGTGGATGCTGCATTCTAAACTCTTACAGGCCCTCAATGATAACCTCAAAATGAGCTGCCAGCTGCTGCCCGCATCATCTAGTAACATTCCTTCCAATCACCACTGATAACCAAGACAGAATGAATTAAACAAACAGCGTGAAAAATCAGGTTCTCAGAGGAGCCTGGACTTGCTGGCTTCTCAGCGTCCTTACCGGCAAAGCATGCCAAGTGGTCCATCTTTGTCTCAAGCCGATCATATTTGATGTCAGCCAGGTAGAGAAGTCCGCTCTTGGAACGCTGCAACATCCTCAAGTCGATGGCCTGTTAGAATGACAGGAGACAGATATTATTGGCAAGAACATCCATGGACCAGGATGAAAAGCCTACGAGCCAGCCTGACCCATCGCTCCGCTAAATTAACCTGAAACCAAGCACCCCGCTATAATCACCTGATGCTGTTCCCGTAAGCAGCGAATCAAAGAGTGCCCACTGATTGCCTTTTCCTCTCTTCCCAATTTGTGTCAACTCAAACGTCCCAATGGTCCATGGTGCGATTTCTAGTTAACTTATCATACATTCACCACTTGAGAGGACCTTTTATTTGTAGATTTTGATTAAAATATGTTCAATTTTTGACATTTATGCAAACCAAAGGTTTCATGCAGCAACATCTTCGTGAAAGATTACAGCATCATACTTTGGAGAAATTACCTTGGCAGTCAATTTAAAGTGGGTTCTACCCACCGTGCCCATACATTAGAATGCTTAAAGGGCCCATGAAACAATTTTTGGGTTGGGATAAATCATTTTAGATTGGGATTTTACTAATAGCACATCGCTCAGTGGACCAAAAGAAAAAAGGTAGAAAGTCAAAAGTCTGACTTTCAGTGCGAAAATTTGAAAACAGAGCGGACTATTTCGTACCTCCTCCCCTTCGCAACCTTTCTGCCTTTTCACTGTGATACATCCGCGGTCCCAAAAGCGCGTCATCGGGTCCAAACTGACGTCAGACGCAACCGGACCTCGCTTATTCCCTTCACCCCTAAGCTGACATTGTGGTGGAAGCTACGCGCTTGCCGGACCAATCAGCCACCTCCCTTTCATCACCTGACTTCATTCTCTGCAGCCACATTTTCCATGCTCTCGTGGCAAGTGTGGCTGGCCCAACGAGCACGTAGCTTCAACAGCACTGTCAGCTTCGGAATGAACGGGGTGGGTAAAGCAACTTTTGTCTGAATTTTGAGCGACGGGCTAATCTTCTAGGGGGAGAATGGATGTGTCCGGATTACGCAAACGAGAGTGCGAGCAAGAGGGGACTCCCCCTTCTCGTCTTCTTTAACTGTTTGGTGGAATGCGCGATTTATGAGTTGAGGAGGAAAGCTAAACAGGAAAAAGTTGAAAAGCGTTTCATGACCCCTTTAAAAAGACAAAAAACAATAAGAGAATTCTCGATATTTGCTCAAAATTAAGAACCCTTATCAACATAATCATAGTTTAGACACCAACATGCTCAACCAACCACAAAAAAAAATAAACTTCAAATTTTTTTTTCTGCCTTTTTATATTTCATAAATTTGGAAGGAATCTCCTCTTTCGCAGAACACTTACAAGATTTGGAAACTCAAACAATGCTTAGCTGGCATGCCCTCATAATGCTGAAGAACCAGTGGGTCTCACCTGCACAGCATCCTGGACCAACCTCTTGGCCTGAACATCCTCTCCGTCCGACTGGATCCAGGCCTTGAGCAGGTACTCGTAAAAACTGTCTCCAAGGGCACCCATGGACATGTGGTCTGTGAAACGAAACTAGTGTCTCAAAACTGTTCCTTGTCTCAACACAGCCTGCTATCCATGACAGATGCTGTCCCATAGTGATCTTCATTTTAAATACAAACTCTTCCCACGACTGATTTCAAAATGTTCCTGCAGGTGGAATCTCATTCCCTCATCTATCGCCCCTCTTAGATATTTCATTCAAAAAGCATCAGGTTATCACTCCTGTCCTGAGCCACAACTAATCCTTGTCACAAAACTTGATCATTCTTGAAACCTACCCCTCTGCAATGCCCCAGAGAATAAAGATAAATAAACGAGTAAGGCCAGCCAAACAAGTAACAAAGACAATCAAACAGAGTTGCTGCACGTGAATGTGCATCAGAGATATAACCAAACCATTCTGTACGACAAAAGAGTCAGTGCCATAAATAGCGAGGGAAGTACCTGGCCAAAACCCCAAGATAATTACCAAACATTAAAAAAAAAAATAAAGAGCTCATTTGAAATCTTATTTAAATTTCTAACAGCTCTGTCATATGTGGCAAATAACTGACTTGCTGCCTTGGCCTGATTGGTGCCAAGTATCCATTGCTTCTGCCACTGATTATTTTGTCTTTCCTAGCAGGATCATTATCAATTAAAAAACGACGAGTGCTCGCGCTTGACCGCAACATCTCATGGGTTGAAAGAACTGCAATCCTGTCTTGGAGACTCCTCTGCGAAACTGGTGTTGTTCTGTCGTCGGTGCACTCACACTGTCCCCAGTGTCCGGACTTGGGGTTGAGGTAGTTCGGGTAGAGCCCCTTGGGCTTGTCCAAGTCGACAAGCACCTGCCGAATGCGCTCCACCTTCTCCCGGTACACAGGGTTGCCCGTCACGTCGCTCAGGTACACAAACTCCAGGTGCATTGTGCCCAATTCGGCGAGAATGGAGCTGCCACTGGAGGCCCATGCATAGTTTTTGCTCTCTTTCCTGCCAGAAAGAAGCAGCAGCACGATATCAGCCACGACATCCTGACGCAACGTCAGATGGATGCCATGTGGCCCTGTGGCCGTCTGCGTGCGCGCGGAGAAGACATGTCACACTCACGTTTTGACGTTGATGAGAGCATGTGGAATGCCCTTCGGAGTGTTGAAGGCGGGCAGCAAGGCCTGTGCTATCTGGTCTGCTTTCTCCTTGAACACCTAGGGTCGGAAGTCGCGGCCCAAATCACGAGATTGTCCGCCACTGGGACCACGAGTCCAATACTCACCACGTCTCCCGTCAGGGCGTAGCACGACAGCAAGCCCCCTACGAAGCGGATGTTCGTCTCAAACACAGAGATGTCGGAATTCTGCAAATGAAACATGAAAGAGCATGAGAGTCAAAAGCCTCACCTTGTTGGGAGTGTTTTGACAAAAACGTTTTGCGGAAGGCAATTTGTTCTAGAACATGTTGGCACCTCGTGTTTAGAAAAACACACATCGACGCACATGACATGCAATGAAAACAGGATACCATGTGCAAAAAAAAAAAAAAGAAGAAAATCTCGAGACAAATAAATGCAGGTCTACAGTACTGGTTTATCCCTGCGTTCCAGTACGTAGTCATTGCTGTAATGCATACTTCCCTCAGCCACCCGTCTGTTACTGCTCGAGCATTCGTTCTCAATAACACGACTATGCTCGCAGATCCTTGCATTCCTTTCTATTTCTCCAGACCTCAGCAGTTTGGAACAGCAAGACAGCTTCCCTTATATGCATGCTATAAATACCATGCTGTTCATTTCGACTGTTGATTTTTCTTATACTTTAAAACTTTCCTCTTTTCCTGCCTCAGTCTCGGGCTAAGAACAAAATCGTTAACATCCACCAGCTCGCCTGTGCAATCACTACATTATCATTGGCTATGAATACATCTACTTGCTAACAATCTTCTTACACTCTTACACCAAGCAAGTAATCATGCACACGATGAAAGGCTAAAAAATGGACGCTGAGGTCCACAAAACGACCTCCCCAAAGTGAACATCTATGGAAGGAATGTCAATGAAGTGGGAATTCGCAAATTGGGAATTTGCGAAGTGCAAGTCTGCAAAGTGGAAGTCCGCAAAGCAAAAGTCACTAAGTTGGAAAGTAGTCTACGGATGATCTCAGCCCGGTCCAAAGCACTTACAATGTGATCCAGGCTGAGATTCTCTGCGATCCAGTCACGGGCCCGCTTGTACTCCTCTCCCAGGCCCATGAGGTAGAGTGTGTCCAAGCCGTCCACAATGGTGGCCCCCATCACCGTCTTGCCAAAGATTCCCGCCGAGTGGCCAACCTTGGACACTGGACGGAGCTCGTTCTGGCCCCAGGCATACCGCTCATAGTTGTCCCACGCATGCTTCATCATCTGCAAGTGGAGGAGCAAGAGAGCATTCATTCCTGCAAGGCAACGAAGCCCCACCCAAATAATAGTAACGGTAATAAATATTCAGTAGTGTTGACGATTGGGCTAGTTGGTCATTCATATTAGCGGAAAACAAACAGCACAAGGACAAGGACAGAGTAGAAGGCTGTGTGTGCCTACCGCCTTCTACTCTGTCCTTGTCCTCGCGCTGTTTGTTTTCCGCTAGTAATAAATATAATAAGAACGACAGATCTCTGTCATCACTCCTCGGGTCTCGCTGCCTGGGGGTGGTACAAAAAGCTTTGAGGGCTCTTTTCTTAGGGTGGCTGTGCTCCTGAAAATAATATTCTGTTAGATTGTGTGGAAGATTTGCACACTGAGGCTTGCATTTGAAGATGATGGACATCAAAGCCCTTAGTAGGATATCAGGTGCCATCCTGAGACCTGGCCTATTTGATGTCGATTAGGTACGGCATTTTTGTAAGAATTACCATAGCAGCACTTGCAGAAGTACTGATGAGGAAAGCGACTAGGGTGACCACCCGTCCCGCGACTCGCGGGACTGTCCCGCATTGAGGGCTCGTGTACCGCGTCCCGCGAGAAAGTCCCAAATCTACAAAATGTCCCGCATTTCACACTGTCGTAAAATTCACTCCACAACTCACGGTGCTGCCAAAAAATGAGGCACGGGGAAGTGCGGAGGTCGCTAGTAATTGTGTGAATCGAAATGGTACGCCATGTTTTATGATCTATCCAAGCATTGCGGGAAGCGACCGTCGTTCTTGCAAGAGGACCGAAGCGCATGCGCCGTTGTGCCTCTCCCTTTGGTGGGAAAATATTGTACGAAAAAGTTCTCGCCAAAAGTTTAAATATAAAATGTTGTAATTATTTTCAAATTGCTATGCCAATGCAAAAGGTGTGCTCGAAAAAGAACATAACGTTAAAAATTTGTGTAGCACCATGCCAATGCGAAAGGTTTGCTGTGGATTCCTTTTTCTTTTTTTTTTTTTTTTTTTAGTGAAGGCAGCCACACATGCAGCGGTCGAAAAAGAACATAATGTTAAAAATTTGTGTAGCACCATGCCAATACAAAAAGTTTGCTGTGGATTTCTTTTTTTTTCTTTTTAGTGTAGGCAGCCCACACATGCATTGGTCAAATAAGAACATAATGTTAAAAATTTGTGTAGGACCATGTTGATAGAAGTAAGCGTGGACAGGAAACAATAACCAGAAAAATATTTACTGTTTCTTATTTCTATTTGATGCATTGAGTTCTGGTACAGTCGATTTTTATGTTTTCAACATCAGCACATGTAATACCATCTTTGGCATTCAAAATAATTTATCACTGGTAGTGAAAATTATTTGAGCTTAATTGCTGCAATACAATTAGCAGGTGTATAAACAGTATGGGATAATAAATGTGTTAATAGAGCCTTGGTTTGTTGTGTGCGCCTCAATAAATTCCCCCCCCCCCCCCCCCCCTCTCCCCCGCGTGTCCCGCATTTCACTAGCAAGAAGGTGGTCACCCTAAAAGCAACACCGCTTCTAGTGAAAGTTCTAATGCTTAAAGGTTAGCAAAGCCCCTAAACTTCACATGTTGAAAAATTTATGAAATCAAAGAGCATGCAAATATGTTTCCCGTCCATAGGTCCATATTCCAGCTACTAGAATTCCCAAAATTATGGGGCCCCTTTGCCCAATTTTCAAAATACTGAAGCTGCAAATATAAAGGGTTTTACAGTACTTCCGTTTATTTTATTGTGTGCAATTTATGAGAATCATCTGGCCTTTTACTGGGGATCTAAACTTGGCATCAAATATTGTATGCCATGTTGGCAAGGCTAGCATGGTTTCCACACATTGATGCGAGAGCATGTGACTTCGTTTTGCGTCTCATTGACACATGCTCTCACGCAAAGGAAACGCCAAGAAAAGTAACGCACAACTATGCTATCCTTGACAATGTGATAAAATAGTTATAATCAAGTATGTATAATAAGACGCACAGCATGTTCAACAAACCTTTAGACAAAAGCAATCCTTTTAAGCAAATATTGCAAAGGTATTCCAAAGTGATCCCAAATAATTATTTCCAACTGTGAAACAAATTCATTTCCAAATCTTACCACCGCGTAACAAAAATCATCACATTCGACAAATAACATGCAGCAATAAAGGTGACCAAAGCTTTCGTTGTCTGCCTTCTCCTTAGATAAATTTAATTTGTTTCTATTCACAGAGGAGCATGTTTTAGGGATCTCTTTGCTTACCTCAATGTGTTGAAACTGCTGAAAAAAGGTCAACTTTTAAGTCAAAGGTAGCCACTGCAGAAAGAAGCCAGAGAACAAGCTATGATCCTTGACATGCGACCCTTTGCTACACTCGACATAGCCGACCCTTTATTATCCTGGTCGCACACACAATCAATAATTTATAAATTCATTCATGCTTGACATTTGTCACTTCATTCTGTGGCTGGCAAAAATGCCCTATATTAGTTCAAGACGAGATTGAAATATGTGCATAATTACAACAAAAGCAACCATTTGAAATTAAGGCATGTACAGTATTGAAAAAAAAAACCAGAGGGTGTCAGCCCGCTTTTGGATTGATGATACAACCTCACAGAGCCTCTCAATTGTTTTTTTTTTTTTTTTTTTTGAATGACGTCGAGGTCAAAATATTTATAATTTTGTCTTTAAGAAAAAATAAGAAAAGCAAGTTAAAACAATTTTCTGCACAAAAATATTTTTGTAGGTTAAAAATGGGTAGGCTGCATTCACATTGTGTGTTACATTTTAACCTTATCTTTCAATCATGTTACCCGACCTATTGCGAGAAAAAACAAATGCTAGCATTTTAATACAAAGGTCAATTCTGCGCAACTGCGTTACTCTATATGCTGACAATACACAATGTGTAGAAAACTATCCACTCTGTCTACCCATGTAACGTGTCCATATGGAGACGCAAACTCCCTGCTCTTCAACACAGCTAAAAAACGAAATAATCAGATCCTGTCGAGCCAGCTACTTTTCAATATGCTCTTGCAGCTGATATCTGACTGAGTACTCTGTAAAGGGAAACTAGTAAACAGTTCTGTATTTAAGAAAAACAAAAAACACTGAAATCGTTTTTACTTGGCTTTCGAGATCACAAATGTCGCTTTCAAGATAGAGCTGAAGCCCCTCCTTCCCAGCGCGTTCTGTGGAAGAGCGAATCGCGATATATTAATTTCCAATTTAGCGGTTTTCCTGCTAAATTTTGCGGCCTTCTGCGTCATTTAGCGAGAGAAATGGCCATTTTGCGGGCAGTGGTATGTATGTTTAGCGGTTTTCAAGTCACGTCATCATTTTTTCTGGCTGTTTTAAATGCTTTTGATTTTACATTTATAAATTATAAATAACCCAATTTCTGTGGTAAGTTAGAGACAAGGGATTGCCGTTTTATTGCTTACTGGCAGCAAAATTGTCAGTAAGAGCAACGCTTGCAACGTCATTGAGATTTTACCATGACAAACTTCAAAACATGCCTTCCAATTTCATTTCATTTCATTTTATTACCTCAAAGGCACTCGACTTGCGAGCGCATTACATGAGGGGGGAAATTCATAATATACAATTAGAACTTCAAAACAGTATTTTCGCGTATATACTATTTACATCTTAAAATAATACGCACAAAAATGCACTGGGGAAAGCGTGCAGACAAAAGAGCAGGAAAAAGAACACATACATGATATAACATTGCAATTTCATATATCGCGACATAATTGAATGAGTAAACAAAACTTAACGCAAAAAAAGATCAAGATGAAAATGCAAAAATATACAACAGCGTGCAAGGCAAACAAATATCAAGGTAGAGACCGCTTACTAACTGCTCATTCCAATGTACTGTTCACATTTTAATTTATATGCTGCTAGGTTAGTCTCCGATACAACTTCGTATGGCATATCATTCCAATCTCTAATGCACATGACAACAGGCGATGAGGAAAATAATAGTGTGCGTGATTTGGGCGGCTGAATCTTGAGTTGGTGATCCGTTCTGGGTGATATATAGGAGGGCGGTTTGCAGTAGGTTTGCCTAAAAGTTGATGCGCTATTGAAAATAGTATGAAAAAGACATAGTCGTGACAGCCGTCGACGTTTCTCGAGAGAATGTAGACCAAGGTTGTTTTTTAGTGACGTGACGCTAGTAAACGATGAATAGTCAGAGGTAATAAATTGGGCTGCCTTATTCTGGACGGACTCCAGTCTATCAACAAGGTATGCCTGATGAGGACTCCAGACAGCGCTAGCGTATTCTAGTTTTGGAAGTATCAGCGAATTGTAGGCAAGCAATTTAGTGGACGGAGGTGCGAGAGATATATTTCTTTTCAAGAAGCCGAGGGTTTTATGAGCACTTGCTACTATGCAATCTACCTGATAAGACCAGTTTAACGTTTCTGAAAAGTGGACACCAAGGTACTTGTAAGCGGACACCCTGTCAATGTTGCGTCCTTGAAGGAAATACTGGGTAGACGATCTACTTGGCGATGTGGAAATGTTCATGTGTTTACTTTTTGAGACATTAATATTCATGAGCCAGTCGGTGCACCAAGTTCCGATCCTGTCAAGGTCATTTTGCAATATTAAATGATCGGATGTATCGGATATCTTTCTGTATATGACACAATCATCAGCGAAAAGCCTAATGGTGGACGTTAACGAAGAAGGAAGGTCATTTACATATATTAAAAACAAAAGAGGCCCAAGAACGCTCCCCTGCGGTACACCAGACGATACTGAACATTGATAAGAAAGAGAAGCGTTTATTTTTACGGACTGAGTTTTATTAGAAAGGAAGGAAGCGATCCAGTTAAGAATGCACGGTTCGATGCGGAGTCGTGATAGCTTTAGGAGAAGGCGACTATGTGGGACAGTATCAAAAGCTTTGGCAAAGTCGATGAAGATGATATCGGTCTGGTGATTGTCATGAGTGTTGACATGAAGGTCGGTAACGAACTCGAATAGCTGGGTGACACATGAGTGATGTTTCCTAAAGCCATGTTGGTTTGGAAACAAAAAGTTGAATTGATCGAGGTGAGCGAGAAGGTGCGTGTATATGACGTGTTCCATGAGTTTACAAGGCACACTAGTGAGGGATATTGGTCTATAGTTGGTAGGATTTGATGATGGACCAGCTTTAAGGATAGGTGTTATTTGGGCATGACTCCAATCGGCAGGAACAATGATAGAGTCGAGGCTTTGCTGAAAAAATAGTGAAAGAACGGGAGATATCAAGTCCCTTGTTACTTTTAAGAGTTTTGAAGAAATTTGATCTTCTCCTGGACAAATACCGACTCGAAGGTTTTCAATGAGTTGGGAAATACCTTGAGGTGTAAAAATTAAAGGGGGCATAGGCTCAATGCTGTCTGAACGCAAAACGAAAGAAGGCAACGGAAAGCGTTCATCTGTAAAAACACTGGAAAAAAAGTTATTGAACGCGTTGGCTGCATCGCCGTCCGATAGTGGGACACCGTTCTCATCAGTTAGATCTGGGTGGGCGACCCTTTTCTTTGGATTAACGACACGCCAAAACTTTTTGGGGTCGGATCGCAAAGTATCTGGTAGTGTCTGGCCATAAAATTTCCTCTTGGCGTTTTTTACTTCATGCTTGCACGTATTTGAAACAGTGTGGTAATTTGTCCAAAGTAGGGATGTCTTAAACCTCGTAGCATTCTGAAAGAGCCATTTCTTTTTATTCAGAAGTGTCTTTATAGATCGGGTGAACCATGGAGAGGCCGGATTCGATGCTATTGAAAAAGTAGGAATGTGACGTGACAACACTTGTTGAAGTTGACTTCTGATCAAGTTCCAGTTTTCATCGACAGAGCGTAATGCGTGGTTGTGTGTGTAGTCTATAACGAATTGAGCCATAGTTGTGTTTATGTCTACAGTGTTTGCACGTGAATAGTCGTGAATATTTTTCCGAGCCTTGGTGGAGCGTTGAACAGGGAAGGCTGCATTGACAGAAATAATCTTGTGGTCACTAATCTGGTCAATAATGTTGACGCCCAGCACGCACTGAGGATGTGTAGTTAGAAATAGGTCTAAGATGGCGTTATTTCTTGTGGGTTCAGAAACCATCTGGTGAAGACCGTTGATACGTAGAGTTTGAAGAAAAGCACTGGACTGAAGTGGGTTAAGACAGTTGTTATGGAGTTGAAGACTCGACCAATTGATACCGGGAAAATTAAAATCCCCAGCTACGACAAGCGGGTGATTAGGAAATGATTTAGTTATGGTGCCTACGGAATTATAGAAACAATCATTGAATTCATCATTCTGCGAATTCGGAGGACGATAGCAAACACAGAGGAGCAGAAATCGGAAGTCCAATTGCAAGCGTACCCACAACATTTCTAGAGGCGAAATGTTTTCAATGACCGAGCAAGTAATATCCTTTCTAACAGCGATAAGAACGCCGCCTCCTCTATGTGTCGTTCGGTCTTTTCTATAAATGTTATAAGTATTAGATAAGATAAGTTCGGAACTGTTGATATTGGGGCATAACCAAGTCTCTGTTCCAAATATGATATCTGGTTGACAGCTTACAGTGATGTTTTCAAATTCTACTTGTTTTGAAATGATGCTTCGAAAGTTGGCTATTAAAAATGATAATCGGGGTAAGTGTGCAATGTCAGTACTAGAATTTTGAGCAAGTCATTCGTTGGAAGCGCTAACAGGGGAACGCCCTCCGAGCTGAAAGACGGTTTGGCTGGAATGAGAGTACACATAGATCTGGTTGTTTACGTATAGCTTATCAAACTTAATTTTGTAACTTGTTCCTTCATCTCTGTACACAGAAGCGTACTCCCACAGTTTTTGTCGCGCCAGCCTGGTTTTATCGGAATAATCTTCCGAGATCGACACTTTTGGTGAAGTTACGTTTTTCAGTTTGGAAGCGTTACGAAGTATCTCCTCTTTACTTTTGAAGTTCAAAAGTTTCACAATAATCGGCCTATGGAAACCGTCTCTCCTGCGACCGATGCGATGCGCTCTTTCCACCTCGCCCAAGTTCACCCCCAAATTTCTTGTTACGAACTCACGTATGATTGTTTCAGCTTGGTTCCAAGTTTCATTATCGCTCTCTGGTAGTCCCTTGAAAATAAGGTTATTCCTCCTTAACCGATTGTTTAGGTCATTGACAACATTTTCGAGAGACTCTGACTGAATTTGCAAGGAAGAAGTGTTTTGTTGAAGCTCGCCCAGAGTTGACTTCACCGTGGTTAAGTTCTCGTTGATGACTTTAATCTCTTCCACTTTTTTTTCCAAATTACCAACGCGGATTCCCAAACCAGCGATACTACCCTTTATTTCGTCTAGCTTTTTTGAGTTCTCAAGCTGATTTTGGGCAGAGTTAGCAATCAGGGCATCGATTGATACCCTAAGTTGGTCAATCTTTTCCGAGTTCGTCGGGGGCCCGGGGTTTGATTCGACGTCGCCCGCATTTGACAAGAGCATAAGCATGACAGATGTAACGACAAGTAGCTTCAGACAACCCGCATCACAGAAACGCTGAATGTACAGGCATTTGAACATCGGAAAGTGTTTATCTCGGGTTTTCCTCGGGTGAAAACAGCCAACCCGGGCTCTGTAGGTTGCAACATCAACGCCCATCTAAGCACTCAGGGGATTCACGGCCTTACAAAACAAATGGACGACTTCGCTTTTCAAGTCTGCCAGATGAAATGGGCACAGCGAAATATGCACAAAATTCATATAACATAAAAACAATAAGATTCTAAGCCTCAAAACCGGTTACTGGAAGCTTTAAGCGACGTTAGACGAGTCAGATCCCTTGGAAAATGCAGCTTTTTTACAAAGCATGCAAATTCGGTCGCTGGAGCTTTGAACTGCCACAAAATACTGCACTAGGAACAGAACGACGGAGGTGTACAACAACTGGTATGGCAGAGAACACGTCTGGTAACACCTGATAACATTAAGATTGTGCAATAGACATTGTTCTGTGCATGGAAGTGATCTGCGTTGCACAATGCAGCTCCCTCGTAATTGTTCTTTTATTTATTGCACTGTTTTTAAGCTAATTATAGCAATAAATTGTGTGCACCCAAAATCTAGCAGTTTTTAATGGTTTTACGAGATTCTTACAGAGGGTTTTTGATTTTTTAAGTTTGCATTACTGTAGTACACAGCGATTTTAACGTTTCCACGCTTTCTACAAGCCTTCTGGCAAGCCAAAAACGCCGCACGCGTTCTCTCACAAGCAGCACACGCAAGAATGTTGAAACCTCTCGGTATGATGTCACACCAAAGAGATGTCTTTTCAGTTTTTCTCACGCCTATTGATAGGTTTGGTTCAGGTGCCTGCAATAGTCAAATTCACAGGACAAACATATGCTAGAATTTACCTCTAACTCATTTTTCTCAAGAAATTCTTCGGCTTCTAAAGGGATGCCACTGCAAGCAGATGTTGCAGAATGCAATGCAATTGTTCCACGCACAATGGGGATGGCCACGCACTCACGGCTACATGCCCTGATGATGCTTAGGGCTCGAAGCCACGAGCAGCAGCTGCTGCAATGCACTCTACGCTCGAGTTTGAAAGATGATGCAAAAAAAGCAATGCACTCTACAATAAAAAATTAATACAAAAAGAAAAAAAAAACTATAGTCAAAGAAACTTGCAACTTTTGTGACATTGTGGCTACAAAATACGGGTTAGGCACGAGTGTCATAGAAAACATTCGCAACGAAAGTTTTTTTTGTCTTTTGAGTGAATAGTTTGTATATAATAGTTCTAACCGTGGTATCCCAAACTAAACAGCGATAGTTAACTTGTGAATTCATCAAAGCATGATAAATGTGAACCTTAATATTTGTTGGTCAAAGAGAGCGACAATGACCGATTATGCCAACCATTTTTGCTAGTTTATGAACAAAGTATTCTATGTGATCGTGCCTTTGCATACATTCTTAAAAAATGGCTCCTAGCGTTTTGTGCTGGTTGTTCATTATTTCAATCACGCCACTACCAATTTTAGAATCTAATGCTTACCTAATGTGCCACTATTTATGGATCTAAATACACTAGCTTTTGACTCGGCAGATTTTACTTTCTGCCAAGTTGGTTACAAAGAGAGTCGCAATCTCAACCCAGCGCTTTCATCGCCCCCTCACAGATGGTGCCAGTAAGCTCATTCGATTTACCTGCATTGGTACAAAATAGTGTAGGGCAGTATACTTCCGATATCTGTATCGAGATACGACTGGAACTACACCGTACTGCGCCTTTCTGCACAAGTGCAGGTAAATCGACCGAGCCTAATCTGTTACAAGAACTCGGTTGTAAGCAAAGGCAAGTGTGTGACCCCAGCCTCCTCACAGTTTGCCAACCTCCTTGCGTGCTCCGTCCGTGGTGCCGACGGCGGTGTGTCGAGGTAGATTAAGGCCACTAATACATTGTACAAAAGAATCTGCAGAGAATGTCTGAGTGTTTCTTCCTTCTATGCGGTTCATACAAAAACAACATGTTCGAAGCAAGCTTGAGGCGTTTGTGGATACCATTCTGTCATGATGTTTGCAGCAAACACCATGCCTCATGTCTGATGTCCTGAAGGCAAATGAATTCAATCGCAGAGGTACTCGGATCAGTAGCAAACGGCTGAAAATTCGAGTGGGATGGTCAAGTAACCCAATATCGGAAGGGGAGGGTGCAAACGCGACGATCCCCGACCAACTGGAAGCCTTACCTCTCGGACCTTGTCCCTCCGCTCGCGGTTAAGCGTCTCCACGGGTGAAGGCGACTTGGGGGTTTCGCGTGGCGCCTCGCCAACGCTGGGGCCCTTCGCGAGGGCGGCGGGGCCGGGGCTCGCCCAGCCGCTGCTGGAAGGCGTCGACGACGTCCCAGCCTGTCCCTGGGGTCGCCCCACCTGCATCGGCTCCTGATCTTGGTCGATCTTGTTCTTGAGCTTCTCCCGGTCCTCGATTCGGTGCGGATCCTCTTCGTCGGCGGCCGCGTTGTGACGCACGACGTTCTCGTCGACTGCGTGCGGCGGTAGGAGCAGGTCGGGGCCGGCGTTCTTCATGTGCCGATACGCGTTGGACGCCCTCAGCTCGGGCAGGTAGAACACGGCGCCGATGCACACCATCAAGAAAGTGGCTAGTACTAGAACTACGATGTATTTCTCGCGAACTCGTAGCGTCTTGCGAGCCGGCCCGACGCCCGGGATGCCGCTCACGTACTTGAGGTAGGTCGGGAGAGTCCCCGTCGAAGCCATGCCGATGAATCGACGAAGAGCTTGCTCCGAGCAGCACTCCCCCGACGTGACCGACGTGACTCGGGCTCCCTACAACTGCTACAACTGCAACAACTCTTGCGACGACTGTTTCAGTCGCTCATGACGTCAGCAGAGCGCACGGCCAGCACGGCTACCAAGGCGGAAGCGCAGAACCTACAAATGCCGTGGATGCCGCAAATCCCGAGCAGTACGATTGACGCAGACGGATGCGGCGCTGGTGCCCACTGGTGTGCGCTCCGTGGTCGATGCCTATGGCTCGAGTCGCGGGGGTGGCCCAGCCCAGCAGACCGCTCCCATCTTTGAGCGAGGTCGGGGTTAGAGCTGCCTGGACACTGCCGTTAATGTGCGAGGCCAATTAAGCAATGCTGCCTTCCCACGGTGTATCAGGTATCAGTTCGAAGACGCAGTTGATTTAGAAAAGTGGCAAAAACTCCGCGACATAGAAGGAAACTCCTCCGCAGCAGGTCCCGTTACGTAGCGCTAGAGCCGGCCGATTTTGCCAATCAGCTGTGATCAACCGTGATGGCCTGTGCGGTGGCGCTGGCTGCCGAACTCTTTCGATTTTTATTTGGAATGCAAGGACGGAAATATAAATTATGAGACCCGCCTCGTCGGCCTTGGCGCTTTTGATGCTGATGCGCTTTCTGTGGGGGTTCCGGTCGAACTGTGGATTCACGGACAGATTTCTGCTCTGCAGTAGTTCTTTCGAGTTCTCAAGTTGGGAGTTGGGAGTCGTGTCTCTCGTCACATCCCTCTTTGGCCAACCCACTGATCTCTACACTAGAGATCAGTGGGCCAACCCAACCAACCCAACCTTTTGTTTCTTTATTATTTAGTTTGGTTACTTTTTACTTTCGTATTGTTCTTTCAAAAGATTTGTTTACAACGCGGTTAAGAAAAAAAAAAAGAAAAGCCAGCAGCTTCCAGTAGTTCCAGTAAAAAAATAGCACAGCTATTGCTAGTTTAAAATAATGCCGTCAGATGACAGTAACTACCGCCTAAACTCAACTGCTAGTGCTATTAGTCTAAAGTCGGCGGAAGTTGATATCTCCCAAATCGCAGTTGGAGCAGGCGCAGCGGACCGTGAATATGCCGAATATGCCCTCCTAAGCGGTGCGTAATAATACTAATGCAAAAAAAGATCGTGAATATTTGGCGCTGTGGCAGTTTCCAGGTGTTCCCGTTCTGGATACCTTTGCTTTTGCTTCTCCGTGCACTCATTGCGCAAGTATTGCGCAGCATTCCTTAGCTAATGAGGCTAGGGGCTTTGGCTTGGCCCAATATTTCTCTATTTGGAGCTAGTGATCGCAGAGCAAATGAGAATGTTTAATAACAAGCTTTAGTTTGAGTGCGATTTCAGCGTTGTACCGTTCATCCCGTTCATCGCCGTCAGCATACCGTCAGGCTGCCGTCGGGCTTGTAATGGATTGGCTCGTCGAAAAAGTACTGTTATGCCTGTTATGCTACCGTCGAGGCTGTCCAATCCGAACACAGCACAGCCAGCTGAGCTGACGTAGTCGACGTAGTGGTTGCTTGGTTGCTGCACCCAGAGGTCTACGTTCTGTGAACTGTTTTCCCTGATGCGTAGCTCGTGCCGCTTGGCATTCCGTTACAAGATAGCGCTTGCGTGTCCGTTTAGTGTTTAGCCACGTCAGGTTTACATTACGCCCATGACAACCGAGTGCTCACGTCACTAACCGCAGCTGCCGTTCAGGCTACTTTCCCTGCGGCTTCGGGGACTTCGTGTGGCCGAGCGATGCGCTAATCGGGGATTACAGAAGAAGAAAAAACAGGAGACTCCCTCTGCACTGTCGAAGATCGACGGACATTCTTCGCCATGGAGGCGCAGTACAACCTCCGGAGCCCAGGTAAGGAGCTTTGGGGACAGCCGCGACTAATCGGGCCATCGGTGCGCGGCTCATCTGTGTCGCGTTCTTCCTTGATGACAGCCGTCAAAAGGCTCATGAGGGAGGCCAAGGAACTTCATGACGCCACGGAAGAATACTTTGCCCAACCGCTCGAGGTAAGTTTCGCCGTCCACGCACGTCAGTTCCGCCTCTCCCTTTGCCTTTTGCGTAAGCAAGTGCCGATGCATGGCGTGCCCGCCGCAGGACAACCTTTTTGAATGGCACTTCACGGTGCGCGGACCGCCCGAGTCGGACTTCGAGGGCGGGGTGTACCACGGCCGAGTGATTCTGCCGCCAGACTACCCGATGAAGCCTCCTAGCATCATCCTGCTGACGGTAAGTACACAGACATTTAGAAATTAGTACACTAACACGATCGTTTAGAGACCCTGGCATTAACAACACGAGTAAAGCTATACACACTACGTCGTGCACCTCGAATGTAAGTGGCTATACGCACTACGCAGAGAGCTCATGCCATTTGGGTCACCCTTTAAGGACGGCGCGTGTATCACTGGTGAGCACGTCAACCCACCCCCCTGCCTGCATTCACTGCTGCTGCTATTTACAAAACTTAACCCGTACACGCCACTTCGCGATGTCCAGCCGGCAACCCAAGCTCCGCTGTCCCCAATTGCACCTCCGGAAAGAGTCCTACACCATTTAATTCTGCAAAGTTTCGTCGACATTTTTTTTTTGTTTTAATTGTAAAAGAGAAATGCTGTAAATATTGCCAAATACTCAACAAAGAAAAATGTTCTAGAAAAAATAAAATGCCCACTGGGGATTGAACCGGGGTCCGCTGCGTATGGAAGCAGACATCTTACCACCATGCTACACCACTGCTTCAGAAACCTTTTGTAGCCATTAGTTTTTATACGAGTTTTGCGTAGTGCATATAGCCATTTCTGGTCGAGGTGCACAACGTAGTGCGTATAGCTTTACGCTAACAACACAATTCGAGGAATTGTGTCCGGGGTCCCTCGCTCGATATTGGTCTGGACCATTATTGAACGGCGGTGACGACCATTGTTGGATGTAATTTAGTCAGCACATCGTCTGGCCGTCACCGCAGCACTTTATTAGTAGTTATTTCATTGAAAACGGCATGGAAAGGTGTGATCGTTGAGTATTCTGTTGACCCTAGAGAATGCCTGCTTCTCCGTAATAACCCTGTAGTGATGAAAAGCAGGAGATGTGGGTTCATTGATGTGTACTGCTTGCATGCAAATTGAGCACTCGCTGATGAGATGAAAACAGCCGGAAGGTTCTTCAGTTGTCCCACAACTCCAGTGCAAGGCTCTTAACCTCGATAATGCTTTGGCGACTTGGGAGACCCGCGAGTGTGTGCACAGCCAAAGCAAAGCAAACAGCAACAAGCACATACTGGAGGCTGGACTATTGAAAGACGCCCACTTGTTCTCATGCCATCAGTGAGTATAGCGGCATTTTGGTTGTCTGTGAGCAGTGCTCATCTCGTCGACAGCTTTCTTGCCATGACATTGATTCTTAAATTTTCCAACAAAACAATTAGAAACGTTACCACACTCAGTAACAAAAAAAAACCTGCTTATTTTGAGTTTTGGGGGCATTGTTGTTAGAACGTATGTGTTCTGCTTGCAGCCCAATGGCCGATTCGAGATCAATAAAAAGATCTGCCTGAGCATATCTGGCCACCATCCAGAGTCCTGGCAGCCCTCCTGGTCATGTAAGTTGGACATTCATTCTTGTCATAAGCGACCACAAGCGACATGATAAAAGCTTTACGAGTTGGAGCTTTATGGACCATATCTTTTTAACATGGGAAACGTGTGCACCAACGCATGGGGTTTATCAGCCAGGAGCTTTTTTTCTACTGTAAGCCACAAATAACTAACCATATTTCTTGATCCGAGCGTGTACTCAGTCACCTTTGGATGTTTGTCAGTCAATGTTGTGCCATTCTGTGACTCTGACTGTGTAATTACCAGCTGCTACGTTTTTTTGCAACATGTTTTGGTATCGAAAGACTGTGGAATCAACCTTGCAGCATCAGAAATTAATGGTGGATGGGGGCTAGTAGACCTCATTCCAGTTGATCTGGCTAACTCTGGCAGGTAGTGTGACAGCATAAGTAAAGAAACATTGGGTGCGAGTTAATTTCAAACCAAGAATCACTGGAGTAGAATGTGTGCTTTCTATTTCTTTCTAATTTTTCAACCAAGGCACGTGCCTTTGGATATGTATATATTTGTGCAGTCCCTGTTGGTTAGTGTATGGGACCACTCACTCCAGTGCAAATTTAACAATTTCAAAGCAAAAACTTTGCGAACCTTGAACTCCTTTTCTGATGTGAATTACTTAATTAAAAGGATAGAAGCGCAAACAAAATAAGGCTTATAAAGGCGCAAAGACAACAGGACAGGCACAAACTCTCAACTGATTTTATTATAAACCATCGTGACTTATATACACATGCTCATTTGCCCGACTTGCATCACAACCAATCACCACTCTTACAAGCAGCCATCCAGAGAAGTCACTTCTTTTTGAAGCAGATTATGAGAAGGCGTGCTAACGCATTTGTCATCTGTCTTTTTCATATAAAACGCCTTTACAGTCTCTCTCTCTCGGTTGCCTTTAAAAACTTTGTTGCATTCAAACCAGGTTTACAGCCAGCACATCTCCTGCAGTGGTCTGCGAGGTGTCCCCCCCCCCACATTGTTTTGCACGGAAAGATTATGCCCTCGTGCTCTATCGTTAAAACAGCAGCCAGTTTGCCTGATGTAAACTTTTCCACAACTTAGCGGTATCTCGTATATGACATTGCTGACACATTCAGTATGCTGCACTGCGTGCTTCTTAGAACAGAGTGATTTTCTTCGCCGTGTCAGCATCGGACAGATTTGAGAGAGTTTACAAGGGGCCGAGAAGACAATGTTTACATCAAATTTACTGGCTCTCTTTTTAATGTTGTGGGATACTTTATGCCAGTACAGAATCACGTGTACGTGTCTTTTATCTTTCTTTGTCTGGCTGTACCTTTGTAGGTTAGTTCTTTTTGTTTTTTAAAAAAAGCTCTGACAGCAGCTCTTTTTTTTCTTTTTTTTTTAAGAAAAAGCAGAAGATAAAACCGAGAAAGAGATTATAGAGGCGTTTTATATAAAAAAGACAGATGACAAATGCATTAGCACGCCTTCTTTTTATCTGCTTCAAAAAGAGGTCACTTTTCTGGATAGCTGCTTGGGGGGGGGGGGCAAGGGTGGTGACTGTTTGTGATGAAAGTCGGACAAATGAGTGTGCGTACATAAGTGACGATGGTTTCTAATAAGATCAGGTGAGAGCTAGCGCTTGTCCTGTCGTTTTTGTGTCTTCATTGTCCTCGTTTGGTTCACGCCTTTTAATTCAGAATGAACCAACTCGCTCAAACCCAAGTTTCAGTGAATTCCTTCTTTATGGACAACTACTTTAAGTGAGAAAAAAAAAATGGTCTGCAACTCCTTTGACTGAATTTCTGTGTGTTGTGTTTTGCAGTATGCACAGCACTTCTGGCTATCATTGGTTTCATGCCAACACACGGGAGCGGAGCTATCGGTTCCCTTGACTACAGCACCGAGGAACGGAAACAGCTGGCCAAAAAGTAATGACGATTTTCTCGTTTTCAACGTGGGTGAAAGTTGTCATAGAAATATCCCAAAGAATGTTTTCTGCTGGTGCAAAGCTAGGGTTATGTTTCACAGTTTACTTTCAAAGTGCCAGACAGGGTGAACTTAAAAATAAAAAGAAGAAGAGCCAATAGGCTGATATTATTGGCATATGTGCAATTTTAGAAGATAATAGTGGATTCACGAGCAGTGAAGGCCCGGAAGGGAGAGGGTGAACAGGGGCTGAAGATTCTTCGACTTGATAACTCATCTCTGAACCGGGTGGAAGACAACACTCCAAAGGACACGGACGAATGGCGAAGAAACTAGTCTGTTCCTTTTGATACCACCCTTTCTTTTCTGCTTAAAAGTTACAACATGTGGGGCATGAAAAGATGAATGAGAAGTAACCTGCAAAGTTTGGTTGCATCAGCATCATGGTTCGCTTCACCTTTCTGTCCAGCCCTTTAAGTTTGCCCGTTTTCCACACTCGCCCTATCCATAAAAAACTGGAGTAGTCTTTCTGAAAATGTTGTTACTCTCTCAGATGTGATATCATTTAAACCAAGTTTTGAGGAGCATATTTGTTAACATGTTCTTTATGCGATGACTTGTATCTTGAATAATTGTTTTTGTTGCACTTGTTGATGCATTGAGTTGTGAAAAGAGTATTTATTTATCTTGATCGTAATGCCTTTCATATTATTTAATGTCATTATATTTCTAGAATTGGACAGATCTCTTGTTATCACTGTTGTATATATATATGTATATAGGCAGAGCATCTGTCACTAGTTAAAATATTTCTTAAATGGATGTATTGCTTTCCTTGCCTGACCACAAAGTTGTGTGTGCCCTCAGGTCCCAGGCTTGGAGCTGCCCCAGCTGCGGCCCTGTGGCCCGTTTGCTCAAGGAGCCCTCGGAGAGCCCCGACGACAGGGAAGCCGCTGACAAGGAAGACAGGGCTCTGGCTGCACAAATCACTTTTAAGGTGCATATATGCCAACGTTTACAACTCTCAGTTAGCAGTTTACTTCAAAGAAACTTTCACAGCAGAAAAGAAATATCATATTTGTTCTAATGCAGGTTGACTTTTCAGAATCGTTACTTAAATATTAGAGATTGATCTATAATTACGAGCAAGCAAAACATCCAAATCCTTTGAGCTAACACAGATGCTGCCCGACATCAGCCACTTCTTCCAGCATGCCAGTGCAAAGCAGCGAAGCTCAGCACAGACCTCGATGCGACGCAGTGAAACTTGACGCGCACAGATTACAAGCATGCCACATGAGGGTGCTGCAGTTATGAAACTCCAAATAATATGCAAAATTAAATTTAGCGCAACCGGAGAAAACAAGCCACTGAGCATGGCCAATATGTGTGTACATTCTAGAGAAAGAAATGGAGAGGTGAATGGGTTGTCTCAAAAGCCTCAATCCCTTTGAAGCCTAGTTTAAAATCATGCCTGTCTGTGCAAAAACGGGGAAGAAGGCCGGGAAGAGAAAGGCAATGAGCGAGAGATTATTATGTATATTAATATGATAGGCGTTAAGGAGCTTGTGTCGCAGAAAAGCCGGTTTTGGTGGCATGACGCAAAAATCCTGATTGGTCGATAGTGTCATGGCGTCACAGCCATATGACCTCGTGCGAGAATTTCAGACAACCCACAATGCTCACATGAAATGTGACGTCATGCGTGGAATAAAAGTGAATTAAAGGTGGTCGCATGTTTGAAATGATTTCACTTTACAAAGTAATTTATTTGCCTTAAAGAAAATTTTGGAGAATTTTAGGCGGGATTTGAACCCCTGACCCTTCGATTGCGAGCCAGACACGCAACTGACCAGACCACACAAGGCACGTTCACACGGTGAATGAGAAGGCGATGCGAACAGGGTGCGATAACACTATCACGTTCCACTCTTAAAGCTGAAGCTTAAATTTCCTTAAAGTTTTTCATATGGATGTTCAATGGGACTGGCATTTGTTAACGTAACAGCCAGGAAAAAAAATATTAACCAAGAATGTTTTTTCAAGACTCTACTGATAAAGTCTGAGTTCAGGGATTCCTTGGTATGAAACAAAGGGCACCATTAGCAAGGAGATGGAAGAAACTACTTTGTACGAACTTGGGTACAACAGATGAGCCACGATGGGCACAAAAGTTTGTGTTTTGGAAGCGCTACCTAGGTCACTGCAGCTCAGTGAAGCCAATGGGATCTATACTGCATCCCGCAAGTTGTCTGCTTTACTGGCAAAAGCATAGGCACAGGGCATGGAGGTAGAAAGAAGAGGAGGCAACATACCGGCTCAAGCCAGCCAAACGAGAAAATCCTAAGTGAAGCCAGAAGTAGAGGCCACTGTTGGTGGAAACGCACCCTACGGTGACCAAAGACTCTGTTGGCGCCAAATCAGCTGTCCTTTCCGTCCAATAGTTTCTTCTGGTTTCGGTCATCGTTGGGGGTATGTCCCTCCAAACCGGAAGTCTCCCCCGGCATCACCTCTGGTGGCGCCACGTTGCCTCCATAAGCTTCCTACCTCCATGGCGCAGGGGCATGGTTTTCGAGATCGTTTTCTGGTCGCAAGTGCTCGTACACGCAAAGCCTTTTGCAAAGCTACGTTTTCGTTTCCATGCCTTTGGCAGGCTCTGAAGACGACTTCTGTGATGGAGTATGGCTTTATTGCTCGAGTGAGTGCTCGCGGTCACTCGTGCCGTGCTTACACACACTTCGTTCCAAAATCTCCTGACTGGCAATTTATGAAAGTGGTGGATTCAGTTGTCGGCTAGCTGGGCTGTCATTCTGCAAACCGATTGGATCTGTTGAGCAAAAAGAAGTGCACTTCAAAAATCGGCTGATCACAGGAAGAGAATTGGTAAAATGTTTCACAAACAAACACAAAACAGAACATAGCAATCTGGAGCAGTGTTGTCATATCTCAAAGAGATGTACAGTATCTCTAAAATATTTAGACGAATATGTCCAACATGTTTTTTTCAGTAAAATTTGTCCGACATTCTTTCAGACACTGTGTTATGATAATACAATATTCCGACTACAAAATTTGATATTTTGAAGCCAACAATTTATTCCATAACTGCTAGGTGTCGCGAGCTATTGCCGATTATTAAATTGTGGAGCTATTATGCATTCACTCGCTCGTTGGGGTTTGTTAGGTGCTTTCAGCTGCTAGGGACCGCAATTAGTTTCTGATCTAACCTATTGTCAGAGATAATCACACTTTAAGAAAACGGGCCCTATCAGTCTCAAATTAGTGCTCTTTCTTTTCCTGGGGCTTGCAAGAGGCCCCTTTATTTGTAGTTGCTTTTGTTGTGCCGTAGAAATCACTCACTTTATTGTGCATATTGCATGTTTTTACAAAGATGCAACTTGTGTTGGACGTATATTCTCAAAATTGCAGCACACGGAATTACCTGAATAAGGAGTTCAAAATGTTGAAATTCTTTATTGTCCCGTGGACAGAGGATTTTTATCAAAGTGGAAAAGGAGGGCATTGAGGGCTATCTGACATACTATATTTAACTAAACAATTTTGATACAGGGAAGCTATGGCAAATCAGTGTTCCTTTCTTATGGCCGTTTCTTAGTGTTAGCTAACAGCAGCCCAAAATGTTGTTTCATGGTTGCGAGAAATAAGGTGAGCAAAGCACCTGGCGATGGACGGATAAAACAAATCTTTTTTTGTATTTAATTACTAAAGGTCCTTTTCTTAGGCTTCATGGTCTGTTTTTAAAAAATCCATGAAAGCTGCAGTATGATGCGGTCTGTCCAGACGAGTTGTACAGCCAGGGAGACATAATATGAGGAAAACGTCACGATAAGTCGATTAACCAACTAAGATTTGTTGATAAACATTTCAATTAGTGAAGATAAACATATGGTTCTAATTGAAAACTCGCTGAGGTCATTGAACACCACCAAGTCGGTACATTTCAGAAAGACTTGGAGCATGTGGGACTTGCAATAGTGACTAAAGTTACAACTCATGCAACAGGCACAAGGCTGGAGGTGTGAAAACATGCCCACGTGGATTTTTCATCCCTTATCTTTTGCATTTTTGCACCACGCACCACCAGCCCCCTATAATATGTCCCCTTGGCCGTATAACTCACTTGCACCGATGGCATTAATGTACTTTTCAGTTTTTTTTTTCAAATAAATCTGCAAAGCCTAAGAGAAACCTCTATATCGACGCGTGCAAACAATTGCGCTCGTAGAAACTAGTCGTGGACCGAATCTACCAAACTTCAAATTTGGCAAAGATTTTAAAAATATTCGGCAAACACCTGCACACACACGAGAATGGGACGGGGCCGCGGGGCCATGGATTGCAAATGGACGCTGTGCGGTCGTGCAGTTACCATCGTACAGTGTAGTACTACCAGCGGTTACATCGAGGTGTGGAGTATATGGTAACTGTGTTTGTCAGCCTTTGTGAGTGTGGTTCTCTTCAATATTTTCTGCCTCAAGAACAGAGGATCGACCTGGAATTGATGCAGTTTACTGCACAAGTGACAAATTATGCAGGACTTTCTGGATAACTTGATTCTCATTTGACATTTGCAGTGATGCACTAACAGTGGTAGTGTGCAAAAACAAAATATCATTTCTTTTTAATTAGCATTATTTCGCGATTTTCATCTGTCCGCTTTAAACTAAACACAGAACTATTATGTTGAATTTTGCACATCCGACATTCCTAACTCCTAAACGTCTGCGTGTGTCCTAACATCAGAAACCGGAATTTTAAAAAGTTAAAAACGAGACGTTGCAAATATGAGATGCATACTTGCATGCAAGGCTAAAGTGACTCAAATTTTTAAAAAAGACATGCATCTTCACAATAACATTGCTATATGTTCTGGTGAAGGCTCAGCAGCCGTTGCATTCATTTTCGTGCTCGAGACGGTGACTCGTAGAGAAAGTAAGAACACGGTGTTACTGCTTTTGTTTCAACAATGTATGTACGTTAGTGATGCAAAACTATCAATAAATCGGCTATCAATAGTTTTTCCAAAACTATCGATAGTGTTGCTGAACTATCGATAGTCGACTATTGATAGTACTATCGATAGTCGACTATTGATAGTGTTTCAATAGTCGACTATCGGTAGTACTATCGATAGTTTTTCTATAGTTTTTCGGTAGTCGACTATTGATAGTGCTATCGATAGTCGACTATCGAAAGTGCTATCGATAGTCTTTTGGTAGTCGACTATCGATAGTAGTATCGATAGTACTATGGATAGTTTTTCCATAGTTGACTATCGATAGTTTTCGATAATCAAAACCACCCAACCTGATTATCACACCACTTCTGCAAAAAGTCACTGTAAAATTACCTGTAAACACACAAAAATGGCACCGATAGAATTATCTTGTAGAATATCACCTTATTTAGTAACAACTGTGTCAATATGCATTTAAAAAAAAACAAAAAAACCTAAAAGCTTTTTTTGCCCGGAAAAACAAAATATCAACTTTTAGGTCTGGCAACAATGTATTTTTGCCGACTCTTTAGGAAAGTTCGGCAGAAATTCAGCGGCGAATTTTCGATTCGGCAAAAGTTTGGCCCATAACTAATAGAAACTTGAATAATGTGCAGTCACCTCTTATAAAGCCTATGACAAAGTTTAACGCACTAGACAAGCAAATTAATTTGGCTGTCTAGTCTATGCAAAACAAAATTTAAATAATTATTCTGTACGCAAAACAACACAGAGCACAAGCAAGCAATTGCCAGTTAAGGTTGTGTCATCAAAGCTACTAGTATGCAGAAATATGCTTATCCTAGGCAACAGCCGAGGCAGCAAGGATTGGTGTTAGTCTAACCTAAATAAGTAAAATGTGAAAAAGTGCCAAAGCCACGTTTGTGCTAACTGTCACACAGTGTACATAATAGTATCCAGAATTTAAAAAAATGCCTCATCAAGAATTTAACCTGTCACGTAGCTGCACCTAGACTGGACGTAACCATGTGTCATCTTCCGACAGGATGCGGGCGAGAGACCCAGCACACCGAATGAGGCTGCCGCCAGCTCGGAGCCAGCACCGCCGCCCCAGGAGCCGAAGCCAGCAGCTGAGACAACAGAAGCCAACCAAGAGGAAGCGCCCGAAGCAGTGCGTCGCCGCATGGCAGCTCAAATCTTGGCACGCCGTGCCGAGCGTCTGTTTCAACAGCAGCAAGTCGCGGCCAACCGTGAGCAGGTGCCGCTGGCAGCGGTGACGGAAAATGGCACCGCCACAAGCACTGCGGGAAACGACAACATGCGCCTCGCGTATAGCGCTACCATGTGGCTTCTCGGAAGTGCATTTGTGGGACTACTTATCCGAAGGCTCTTTTTCCTGTGATTGCCTCGGCAGAAGCTGTCTGACATGTCCGTGCACGTGAGCATGGATATTACCCACTGTACAAAGCAGAAATCAGAATGAACTGGTCAACTTTCTCCGCCATCCGGAAAAACTGGAACTGGTATCTCTCCCACTATCCCTAGGGGTGGGAACTATGAGCTATGCACTAGACTGGCGAGGAGGTTCAATAAAGTGCACACAACACGTAAAACCGAGCTTGTTCTGATATGACTTTTTTGCGTAACACCAAGGTGCATTCGTTGGACAATTTTTACATTAGTGCGCTTCCCTCGTATAATGATGGTCATCTGCAACTGGCCAAATGTGGCATCAGTGCGCTCTAAGAATTTACTTGTAGGGAATGAGATGAGTACTACATATTACCATATTGTTTAAAAAACATATGCAAAAGAAAAATATAAACCAATTTTAAGCCTAAATGGAAAAAAAGAAATTAAATAAAATAAATTTACAAACATTTTTTTTTTATATGGCTAGATTTATGGTGCGAAACGAATTTGGAGTTGGCGCCTGCAGGAGCCCGCGGAAAAGCGGCTACTGGCAGTCACGTGACTGGCCTCTAGTTACGTGATGTACTCTATTCACCCTTAAGCTGAGACTAGAAGCTCCACCTCCAGCGTGAGCTCGCTGGCTTCGGCAGTGCTTTGGTTGCATGTGCTTGCGCATTCGCACTTGTGTTAGCAAGGTCGGAAAGCTCGTGCTGAAGGCGGAACTTTTAGTCTCAGCTTAAGAGTGAATGGAGTATAGACCTGTGCACCGCCGTGCTGCGCCACCGCCACTGCAAGTTACACCAGAGCCATACAGCGCCGCCGCTGAAGTTCCCAGAACCGCTACGCCACAGCCGCTGCCATACGCTGAGGTTGAGCATGCTGCTGGCTGAATGCATTTTTTTTCTTTTTTTTGCAGGAGGTAATTTAAATATTGTTTCAAATCAAGAAAAAAAAAAAACACCTTCACGAGTTTTATTTAATCAAAAAATTAACAAATCCGAAAAAAAGTCATCATCATTATCATTACTTAATGACTTTTCTCCACGCCGCTGCCGGAAGGAAACACTGGCGTGCCACCACCGTGAATTTCTGATGGGCGCACAGGTCTATCACGTGGTGCTTGCGCCTTTTCAGGAGCTTCCTATGGGCTCCAAAAGCTACTTAATAATCTTTGTTCTAAGAAACAAAGATTAATAAGTAACTTTCAGAGCCCAAAGGAGCGAAAGAGTGCAAGCACCACGTGACTATAGTGGCCAGTCACGTGACTAGTAGCCGCTTTTCCGCAGGATTCCACTACAAATTCGTTTCATGCCATAAATATGGCTTTAGAAAAGAAAATTTCATAAATTTATTTTATGATGTTCTTTTTACATCCAGGCTGTTTAAAACATTTTTTCCTATGCATATGGTTTCTAAGCTAGACACATTTACATTCCACTGTCCTAATAAAATTTGACACTAGCTTTTTAATCATGCAAGCAAAACATGAGAAACCAGTGATTAAGGTGTCTGCACTCTGGGCACATGTGGCCGTCACTCGCTTGTTTCATACTTGGAGTTGTTCCTGGGACACTGCCAAATAGCGGGTTCCCAGGTAAACGAGTACAAAATTCACGAGGCAGCTATCGCACGTTTTAACTGCTGTGCCAGATAAGCAGTGGTTGACTGTACTATGGCTGTTTGATCTTCCTCGATAGCGTAGTTGGTGACCAGATTGCCTTTGGGTATGGTACTACCCTCACCCCGCACTGCCCCAAGCAAAAACCTTAGGCAAATGGAAAATTAAAAACTGGCTTTCAGCTCTATTCATTCTCGTCTACAGAGTCGGCAAACACAACATTGTGAGGAGAGATTTAACACATTTAATGAGGGGTGACACAATGAGAGAACTTGTGTATAACTATCTGTCATTTCATCATGGCTGTGTATATTGTATTCCGTTTCGTACCTAGTCTACAATGCTATCGGAGCTATTGGTATGAGCGCATGGTTTAATTTAGCATCTTATTTGCACGAGAGCACACTTACATCAAGTGTCTGCGGCTTTAGGAGTGTTATACGCCAAGTATGAAACGAAATGCAGTTGAACCTCGATTTAACGGAGTCACCGTGACCCGCTAGTTATTTCATATAATCGGGAATTTCGTAAATTCGAGAAAGACACTTTTTCGGGCATAGCATGCTGGGGAATCCGAATTTGTTCGTTAAATCAAGTTTCGTTAAATCAAGGTATAACTGTACTATACAGTGACGGAGGTGAAAGCTTGAATGGGGTTTTTGGTTGGCTTGGGAATAGGGTCACATTTATGGATACAACAAACAGATTTTGTACAGCTTTAGATTCTGTCTTACTTACAAATGAGTTTCAGTGTAACAAACTGCTAAACCTAGAGCAAACTATCAAATGTCAATTGTTAAGATTCTATCCGACCAGAGAGAATGTCGGTTGGTGGCTCTTGTGTGCCGAAAGGATGCATCCATCCCAGCCCCTTGATGTGACTGAGGGGAGCCCAACGAAAACCACATGGCCTGCCTCTCCTCTCCCTCCTCCCAACGGGGGGTGGGGAGGGGGATTGGCAGCAAGCTCCTCCAGACATTGGCTTGGTGTAGCCATGGATGTCGGCTTGTTCCTGCTGCCAATTATTTTGCTCCTGCCACTGCCTGTGTGGCCTGCGCAGGTCAATGACTCCTCACTGGGGCTCAGTATGCAAGGATCAGGTGCGTACCTTTGCTGTTTTTGACGATTATCACACTAGACTATTCTGTTCCCACTTGTGTTTCTGGTAGAAGTATTTGGGTGAGACATATTACATGTGCACTGCGTGACACTTTTAGCATGAACACGACTTGGGCACTTTCTCAGATTTTACTCTGGAAGGGTACTGGCAGGCGTAAAGATTTACCACTTTGGTTGGTACCCCAAATGAAAAGTTTCCACCGCTATAGTAGTCTTTATAACAGTCCTTCAATACTGAGAGAGAAAAAAAATGGCGATGGCTTGTTCAGACTTAGTGTCGTAGGGTGTACTACTACGCAGTGTTCAGGTGATATACGAAGATCTTATCTATTTCGAGAATTATCACCCCCAAATAGGTGGTGATGACAGCTTGAACTCGGAAGAAACTTTGTACTAATGCTGTGATGTGATTGGTCAGAGTAATTTTGGAGCAGTCAACTACACTGCAATCCTCTTATAACAATACCGCATATAACAATGTACTGCTGATAACAATCAGTTTCTAGAGTAGAAACGCTCGGTCTCTAATCCAGGTACAACAATAATCTGTTATAACGATTGAATTTGCACTGTGCTAATTTTAGATCACAAGCACATCTACTTCTTTCTTATTTTCCCTGCTGCAAATGTTGTGTTAAGATTTACGTGTCAGCCTGTTCAGCTAAAATATTGCCTTCTTTGCTTTCCCACTCCATACAACACCACACAGCATCAGCATAGATGCAAATGGTATTAACTTTAGATTATGGAATCAGAGGTAAACCAAGTAGTACTAATATTAGAGTAGAATAATTTTGAGTAGTGCAAAGTTGAATGTTTCATTCCAAGTTCTAATCTTCGTGACTTTGTGTTCCGTTACAAAACTCGTGGCAGAATAGGTTGTACCTCGTTTCTCTGCTGTCTTTATCTGTTGCTTGTATAAACAGCTGTGATCCGAAACTGTTCCAGTATAGGCCTATGCACATTTGCCCCCCTCTTGCTAATCGAACACACTTTCAATGCTGGTGCTTGTTTTGTGTTTTTCCTTCGTCCATGTAGTGTGTCTGCTTGTGCATATCAGTACTTAAGCTATGGCTGTTTCTGGATACAATAAATAAATAAATACATAAATAAGGTTGAAGTATAACTGCGATTCATAACCAAGTTTAAAAAGAAAAAAAAAAATCTTTTGGTTTTTAAAAACGCACATCAGTGGCATACTTCACCTAGACAGTTCTGGGGCAACACAAAAGCAGCATGTGGGTGATAAACATTTTTTTTTCTTAAGAAACATACAGGTTATCCATAACTTTCCATTTGTTCAATGCAAAACCTATTTTATTTAAACTATTTGTAAACGACTTAATTTTCGCGAATCAGGCAAAAGTTGAAAATTTGAAATTATTCGCGGGTTCTGATTTTCGCGAATCAAGTGTAGCTTCCGTAGCGTTCACATATTGCCCGAATTGTTCGCAGGACTTATTTTTCGCGAATTGTAGGCCATTTGTGAAATTCGCGAAAATTAGGTCCTCGCGAAAATTTAGTCGTTTACAGTGTCTGAAAATTAAAATAAGATACTCCGCAGTGCAGTTTAGCAAGGGATTTAAAAATCCTTTCATTGGCAAAACATATAATTTCTTGAATCTTGAGTATGAAAGAAATGTTACAACTAATGACACTCCAGCGGTTCTATTTTTATTATTTGCTGTAAGGCAGCAAGTCGCCACATCAGTTTTTCTTTTTAATACCTGGTTCACATGCATGCATTACACTGATCAAAAGGTGTACTTTTCACCTTGGTACACTACCACACTGCTGGAAAGCGACGTGTTCAAGAATGGATTGTCCACTTCACAAGTGTTGCTTTTCTGCAGTGCACAAGTGTCCGGTGAGAAGCACACTCAATGGAGCTAGCTAGCTTGCATTCCCAACATAATGAGAAATATGGCATAGCTTCAGAATAGTGTCAGTTTTCATTACGAAAGTCAAATTTAATGGCCGTTTATCAAATTTATATCCAAATATCTTGAAAATTTTTAGAAGCTTACCATAATGACACGGCAACATGGTAGAGAAGCTATTATTTTGGGTAGTGTGAAAAAGTTATTAACTTTTGGCACAATGTTTGCACCTACTCCTCACATTTTGGTAAAATGTGGAAGGGTGAGCACTTAAAACAATTTGGGTAAATGCTGCAGCAATCACATCACTTCTAATAGTACAGGTTTGCGATCAATGCAAACAAGTCATGACTAAACGTTGAAGATTTGCTACCATATAAATTGAAAGACGTTTTTAGAACATTTTCATATATGTCCGTAGTAGCTTCATACGTAAGAATATACCTAGGACATTCTCGGCACACTTCATTGCTTGATGGAATGCACTGGCAACATGCATAAAGTGAATGTTGGTTGTCGTCCAAGAACTTTCTTTGCCTCTTCACCTTATTTTTGGCAGACTGTAGCAGACTCCAAAAAAGATTACAAACTTAATAATCCAATCTCACCAGCGAGCAAAGCAAGCGAGCTGTCTCGTGCTCTGCCATCTGCCTCCTGTGGACTAGTTATGGCAGTATCATACGTGTGTGAATTGCTTGCTTAGTGAGATGAGTCTGTTGTCTTAAAAAGATTTGAAACTTCTCTGTGAGTACCTCAATCTCGTCTACCTTGAGATGAAGTCGTGTTGGACAACTTGGCGCTAGTGTGAATTAAGTGAACAAAAGATGTTATGCTGGCGAGAAGATGGTGTGGAAATGGGCCATGCAGGGGAGAGGCCTTTGCTGGAAGCCCTCTTGGAACAAGGACTGCTTCAGGTTCCCCATCTGTTGCGTCAGCAAGAGGCTCGTGCCCAGGAGCTATGGAGAGCCTTGGACCAACGGTTGCAGCAGCAAGTGGATGCAGTCGAGGCACGCCTCTCATTGCGTCTTGAGAGCCTCAAGAGTGACCTGGCCAAGGTAGGCACTACTTTTGTCACTTGACCGCAGTTTCTTTTTCCTGGGACAGGGAACGACATAAATATATGTGGTCACTCTACTTAAAGCTCGCATTCATTTAGTCTTTGAAGTTCTCAAGTGTGCACAATATACTTTGTTTCATCTTAATTCCGGATACCACTGGCATTTTGGTGGGACCAATCAGACAGCATCACAAGGTGCACCAACCCGAGACTGTGGTAAGAAAAGGGAAACATCAAGCAGTTGAAGAGACAGAAAGAAAGAGACAAGGCAATGTCTCAAACTAAGCTGCTTTTCTTATCAGTTTCAGGTATAATTCATCATGGTTAACCTTCACCAGCTCGCCCGCATGCCTATCATTTTTTCCCCAACATAGTGTTCATAATATTTCTATACATGTTCTTTCACCACTGAACTAATCATGTATAGGGAAGGCCCATTGACTTTACACTGTCTGATTGGTTCCATCAGCTCGTAGCATTGGCTGCGTCCAGAAATAAGTTGAAACGAAATAGAAATAGACTTTTGGGCACTACTAGGCTCATGGTGGAGTGGAAGATATGCTTTGGCTGGTCAAATTGTTTATTGACTTCCATTGCATGTTGCTGCTGTGAGTGAGAATATAATTATGCAAGAGCTGATTTGTTTTGTCAGCTCACAGCTTTGCTTTATTGTCAGCTTAGGGTGGGCTTAGTATATATACTAAGTACAAACAAAGAAAATAATTGTGTCTGCTTTTGATCATCCAGTCAATATATGCATTTTGTCAGCAAGTGGCACCAGAAGCCACCACTGCCATGAGGACAAAGGGTGAAAGAACTACGATGTTTACAACAAAAAATCTTCTCCCAGAAGATTACCCTTCTGTTGCAAACACATTATCTCAAACAGAACTACATTTTAAAGTCTCCTCTGTCTTGAAACGTCCAGAAAAACTGCATAAGGGCAGACACGCAGGGTACAGCCTAACTTGACATATACTACAAGTACATTGCAAGTGCTCTGATGCCATGTGGATTTTGACTTGCATATTTAAGGGTGTTGTTGATTTCACTGATGCAAGAGGCAGACAACCAGCTTTGCTGTCCCTTTTGTACTACTAGCAATGCTCACGGTGCTGAATGTTGTTTGATGTGCGGTCCGGGGCCTCGAACAGGGCCTTGCGTTGCAAGAGTTGCTGCGCGAAGACTTTGGGCAGCTGCAGCGGGAGCAGCTCTCGTGCCGACACTGGAACCGCTGTCCCGAAATTGGTGCCCAGAACGGAGTGCAGCAGGGACTGCGCAGAAGCCTCGGCTCGCTTCAGGGAACCCTGAACCAGTTGCAGTATAACGTCACAGCCCTGCTTGCAGACTCCAGGTGAGCACAAGCCAACCACTGGCACCAGTGTCATGATTTATCTCTTTCATCTGAGTTGCAGAGGTGGATAAAGTTTGATAATTTTTGCTGAAAGTTTAGAACGATTGCCATATTTTAAATTTACTCGGGGAGGAGATACTGTTTGTGAACAAAGCCTGTCATCTACTTTCCCATAGAGCACACATACAGCTAATCATTGCGTTCTACATAATAGCTGTAGTGAATAACAAGGTCGAAAAAACTATTCTCCGCAATAATACAATATGTGCAGATACCTTTTTAGGGCGAGGGCGCTATCTCTATCTCACAAGCCGCTGGGCTCCTGTCGGTCACAATGATTGATTGTTCTTTGTAATTATATATATATATAATATAATATATAATGTGCTGGATGTGCTGCACACTAGCAGTGTGCCTTTCTTTGTCTGACATGGGTGTGATCGGCGGTGCGGTTCCAGGTACCTTCGCAACCAGTCCCAGGGAGCGGTAACGCGAAAACACCTGGTCGAAGCGTTGGGCAACCTAGAACAGCGACCTAACCACCTGCAACTATCCTGCGTGTCAACCACCCCTCGAGAGCCGCAACTGCCAGTCGACTGCTGGGACATGTTGCAGGGAAGGGGTCGCAACATCTCCGGAGTCTACCGCATCCGTCCCCTAAACTCGCCCGAGCCTCTGTTTGTCTACTGTGATATGGAGACTGATGGTGGAGGATGGACTGTGAGTGTTGATTGTTTGTTTGTGCATCTTCAGCACACTGCAAGTACGTACAGTGTGCCATACATGTTTCAACAAACCCAAATATTGTCCAATCGGCATCCAGCACATGAATGACTTTCTGCCTGCAGTTGTAGGACGATTGCATATATTTGTTTCATTCCCATCACAAATATATGTAATTGAGGCATGTGTAAATAGCTGATTTGGGGTTTGAAGCAGAGTTAGTGGTTTTGGTTAAATATCTCCAAATTTAATATTGAATAGTTTCTCCAGGCCTTGCCCTCACTAAACACAGCTGAGCTCGTGAAGGTTGTTCCCAAGTATGCGCTTGTCGATTACTAAGCTAATTTTAGTCTAACCATATTAACTGTTGCCTCAGAAGGTCCAATGCCTGCATTGGGATGTCAAGTAAATGACAGATTTGATGTGCAATTAAACCTATAGAGGTGTCCAGCTTTACCTAATGGGGGAGATTTATAATACTTCTTGTTATATGCAAATAACCTTTCTTCAATCTCGAATTAAAACAATAGTCACGAATGATGTGAATGCAGATTGTCAGGGCACCTCTCTTAACATATACTCTTGCATAATAGCCAATTTCTGAAAAGTTTACTGGAATGCAGATACCAACATTCACAAAGTTTTCGTTTCTTGTTAAATACATTAGGCGCGTGTGCACCATTCCACTTCAAAAGTGTGCTTTTCTCCTAAGCACGCAACTGCGATATTCACACTTTTTGAAGGGCAAACCACGCTGGGTTAGCCTCGTTGAGCGCGCTTCTTACCGAGCACCGATGCAGCGTGGAGGAGCAACAACTGCGGAAGTGGGCTCTGTGGGTGTTGCTTCTCCGCAGTGCACCGGTGCTCAGTATGAGGCGCTCTCTACGAAGCTAATCCGGTGCAGTTTGCACTTCGAAAGGCATGAATATCGCGGTTCATCTTGCAGCGAGTATTCTATAGTGTATTATTTGAAACAGCCATTGGAACATGCAAGCAATCCTATTGATTTGTTTAATTTGCTCTGGCTGTGAAACATCAGTTGGATATGTCGTACCAGCGCAATGGTGAGAGAACATTTGACGAGCATAGGTAGGGACAATAAAGTGGAAATAAATTTCTCATCTGCAGTGGAGACATCGGGTGCCCCTTGAAGCAGACTGATTTCCCACTGTCTAAACATCTATACATCAAATTTTACTTTTGTTTTACTGATCCTGCAAACTACGCCCTTTCATGTCTGCTACTGGAAATGACCTGATTAAAAAAACTCATCAGTTTATGAAGTCACTTGACCTGCACTGCTGGTTGGGAGCTATCACAAGCAGGCAGTTATTAAAATATGGACTGGCTACTAAATAAGAGAAGAATAAGATTAATCTGTAAGCATGACAGCTATGTTTCGAGGGGATGCAAGGAGCAACAGCATGTCGGTAAACTCGACAATGAAAGCAAGAACACGTAAGAATCATTTCCCATTACTCTCATTAGGTGCAGTGCGAGAAGCCTTCTGATGTGCAGGTAGAGTTCCGTGTTTTTGGAGTTTGTTTTTCGGCAAATTCGGAGAGTATTTTTCAGAGTCTATTTTTTGCCGAAAATTTGGAGTTTATCGGAGTTTATTTTTGTTTGATTCCAAATTCTCCGAAATTCTGAGTTTAATTTCACAGTGTTTTCTATTAAAAATAAATAAATAAATAATATCTGGATGTAAGCATATATCCAATAAAACAAAAATTTAATAAAGACACTTAAGACTGCTTACGTGTAAAGATGCAAAAACATTGCTACACGCAGCGCGTTCTTACAAGCAGCGCACCACGTCTTCCTTTTTCACGTGGTGCTCCGGCGGTGACATCACACTCTCCCACTGCGCAAGCGAGGCGCCCCCTTCGGCTCCACAGCTTCCGTGACGATGCATCTGCATCGCTGTGCTTCTCTTTGCGTTTTATTTCTGAGGCGCATCCACTTTGACCCTGAGCGGCTCCGCCGGCTTCCGTGACGAAGCATCTGTTATGACACGTCGCAGGATATAGGAATTTATTGCTTGTTTCTCTGTTACAGACAACACCGGCTTCGTTCCCTGGGACAGTTAGTGCTTTCGCATTAAAATAACATGCGCTTATATCAAGTAATATTTCTTCAGCTGGTTTTGGCATTGGTGACATTGCCATTGGCAATACCAATTTGTCGCACGACAAAAGTTGCACACTAGCGTTGCTTCGATAAACGTCGATACCTAAAAATGAATAAACTGGAGGTAGTCGCTGGGAAGCTCCTATTCATCCCATCCTATTCCATATCAATCTACCCCGCGACTGCATGAGGTGGAGTGGTTAAGGATGTCATAGAGAAGTTTCAACTGCCTCTCTTTCCCATTTTATGCAATCTCTATGGTCTATAACTATCACTGTTACAAAAACATAACCTCGGCCTTCCTATAATGTGTAACTATTACGGTCCAAACTGGAAAACAAAACTGTGGCTTTTGTTGTGAACCGAATATAGTGAATGATTGAATCTTGATGAGATAAGTGGTAAGACATACCTTTTAACAATAGTCCAAGATTTGAAAAATATGGTGGCATTTTCCCAGGACCATTGACCATACGGTGATAAAACTGCTAAATGCTGTTGTTTTTTTATTTGTGTGTGTGGGGGAGGGGGGGGGGGGGGGGGGCATTAGCACAAAAAGGCTGATGGCTTATATATAGACCAGGGGTGGCCAGGCTGACCCGGCCTAAGAGCCGCAAAAAAAACCATGAAACTTCTAAGAGCCGCCGAAAAGGGGGGGGGGGGGGGTAAACAAACACCGCTGCCTGGTTGTCCCCCCCCCCCCCCTTCCCCCCTAAAGCATAAAAAAGCAGCATACGGGTAAAATTAACAATGCGAATGTTCCTGGTCCTTTGTGAACTTGAACATAACGTCTGTGGGGGCTATGAATGAGGTCAACCTGGGTTTCTGCGAACTTCAACAAGAAACGATATAGAGGGAACAACCGTTACCTAAAGGGGACAAGTATCACCGGCGAGTGACAAAGGCCGCGAGACTGAACATTTCCTCGACTCCAAGCCAAAGTGCATGCATGTTTTGACAGTCCCTGTCCTTGATGCCTTTCCAATTAGGATCCGACAAATTTTCTCAAACAATGAAAGAAACAGGATCTGTGGAAACATACGAGTGAAAAGCGGTTTGACTGTACGTATGGGGGCACAAGGCTGCCAAACCGCAAGCTGTCCTTTATTCTGAAATCCTTTCCATACGTATAATATGGATACAATATGGTCGTGGGGAGGGGGGGGTGGGGGAGGGGGGTCTTCTTACGAGGGATCCGCGAGCCGCACCGTGACCAGCAAAGAGACACATGTGGCTCGCGAGCCGCGGTTTGGCCACCCCTGATATAGACCATCAGCCTTTTTGCAGTCGAATAGCCCTATTTGGCAGAGTAATTATCAGTATGAGGTATTTAATATCTGCTGTTCTAACAGCATATCAAGTACAGTGTCAAAAGTGCTGCATATCACTAGAGCTTGAGAACTAGGTGTGTTGGGTATAGACCCCCCAGAATATTAAACTTTGTGTGGATCACTATTGTAGTGCCGGTTTTTGGCAGTGGAATCTCATTAATTCAAACTCACGGATAATTCAAACTAACGTCCCGTTCTATGTGTTTTTAGGAAGGAAACTCCCGGTAATTCAACCTTGGCATTATTCAAACAAAGTTCTGGTCCCCTTCAGGTTCAAATTAATGAGATTCTACTGTATAGGTACTACATATTGTTCTGTCCTCTAACATTGTGAAGCAGGTATCCCAATTCTGTGTCCATGTCAGCAAGGTGATTGATGGACATTACAGAAAGGTCTACGAACAGCTGCATATTCTAGCTTTAGAGAGACATGTGTTATTAAATATAGCTTCCATTGAATTCAAAGTAACCAGTCTTAAACAAATTTTGAAGGTGAATAAACTCTGACATACTTGGTAAGAAATGCAAGGATAATGGAAATGGGTGTGAACACTACAACACAGATAATTACTGAAATGGGCTGCACTACATTTTTTTATATATTTTTTCAGCTATGGAATGCTCGAATTTATATTACAAAATATGTTTCCCGAAAACAAAAATTGTTTCAGAAATCTTTTGAGAGGCTGATAGTGAAACTCGAACAAGAATGTTGAATGGCCAGTCTTGTAAAAACACACTTGATGACCTCAAGGTGAAGGAAAAAAATTTTGAATATAGTACATGATAGACTAGTAAAGATTCAGTTACTTGTATATGCCATGGGTTAGACAATCTTTGGCCACTAAACATAATAGAAGTAGTCATTCTTAAAATACTGTGCCTCTTTATCACGGACACAGATTTACTGTCTTCTTTATTGCATTCTGTCAAACAGTTTTTTTGTTTTTTATCTTCAGCTCATACAGCGAAGGCACGATGGCAGTGTTGAGTTCCAGAGGGAATGGAACGACTATAAGCATGGCTTTGGCAATGTTGCTGGAGAATTCTGGCTGGGTGAGCTTAAAATTATTGTGTACATTGAGCCAATGTTAACACAGTTTCGAATTCAGCAAAGCATTTTATTGATTGGCACTATTGCCAGGGCTACCATCAAGTGATTTCATGAATCTGGTAAACTCTGCTATTGCACCATACCACAATAATCCCAATTTAGAAAGCTGGCTAAATCTCAATAAGTCTGTGTTGCAGCATCCTGTTTAAGAAGATTATGTTTGAGAAATTATTAGTGTTATGTACCGAAAAATTGTTACTTGTAATGGCGTACTGCCAGTTCCAAAAAGTGTGGCACAAGCAGTGGCATACTGCGCTGCGAATTCATTTGCTTGTTTCACATTGTAGAGCCACTGAATGTTCTCAGAGTACCGTATTCTGCAGCATCCACTTAAGTTGGAGTGTTGGGCTAACCGAGCTCTCTGACCGACTGATGTCGGCCATCTTGAAGCCTAAATGAAAAGTTGAATAATGTGTATAAAATAATCTTTACACGGGAGCATCTGAACAGCTGTTGAATTACGACACTATTTGAAGGTAATAGACGGGTTAGCGGACATTTCGTCGAACGCCGTTTCATCGAATGAACGGGCATTTCATCGAACACCATTTCAATGAATCGCTAAGGGCCGTTTCATCAAATTTCTCTGTTATGGCTCTGTACCCAGTTTTGGGGCATATCAGTGCTTTATAGATGTTCCACTCTGCATTTGTTAAGACTAAGGTAGTCACTTGTGAAATTGTTTTGAAGGTGGTGTCAAATTACTAAAAATGAAATAAAAAGCTTGAATATGCATGCTCGGTCTGGGATCCCGGTGCAGAAAGCCTCACATCAGCGCTTGAAGCCATCCAAAACCGGTCAGCACGTTTTATATTATCAAACTACCATCGTACATCAAACGTCACATCCATGAAAGCTAGTCTCTCTCTGCCCCTTCTTTCCACTCGTCACACTATCTCCCGTCTCTGTTTATTTCATAAAATTTACTATGCCAATTCACTCTTGAAAGAGCAACTAATCCGTGACCCCATCTACGTATCATCTCGCCTCGATCACTGCTGCAAAGTTGGTGTACCCACTTCCATATCAAATTCTTTTTTCAAATCTTTCATCCCAAAAACATCTCGTGAATGGAACAGCCTTCCCTCATCCATTGCGATTATTGGCGATTTTGTTCTCTTTAAAGAAGCACTAACAAGTTACTATTCATGATCTGTGCCGGACTAACCATTTTCAGCGTTTTTATACTTCCGTTGCCCACCCCGTCTGTAATGCTTCGGCCCTGAGGGTATAATAAATAAATAAATAAATTGGCATAAAAACAAATGAAAACAATTGGGTATGCGACTTACTGAAAAGCTTTACTCAAGTACATGACTGAAACCACGACACTGCAAATAAAGGACAGAAACTTAAAACACTTTTAAGTGTGTGTGCTTTATGTTTTTTGTCTCATTTTTAATTGTTTCATGTGACATGGAGAGGGGTCATTGTTTCATGGAGGCTTTCTTCTCGAAGCAGGATATGTTCACGATGGAACTTATCTCGTCACTGCACCCAGTGATATAAAAGTAGAAACAAAAAAAACACAAAAAAAACAGAGAATTAGATGAAGTTGTGTATAAAAATAAAAGTAAATTTCAAAATATTACAGACTGTAACGTTGTTCGATGAAAAGGCGTTCGATGAAACGGCTTCTATGAAACGGCGTTCGATGAAATGGCGTTTGATGAAACGGTCTTCGATGAAACGGCATTCGATGAAACGGCGTTCGATGAAATGTCCGGACCCAGTAATAGACACAGTGGCGTCAGAACAAAGAGGGCTGGGGTGATCATCTCTTTGGGCATTTCAGATATTTCTGGCAAACAGTTCAAAGGAAAGGAAGGTGTTCCCCTCTCCTTCCCAGGTCACTGGATAGAAGTGATGGTTTTTGCTGGGATCAGATACAGGGCCATGGCGGGATTCCGAAATTATGCTCGAGACTTTCAGTAAATTGGGAACATTCAGTGGCTCTTTCACATACTAGTCACTGCCACATTTCTTTCACTATGCATATTAGCAATTTCCCTTTGATATTTATATAGCTGTAGTGCGTGACAATGGCTGTCGCTGACTATGTATTCTTTCCAGGCAACAGTCACATCCACAGACTAACAGCGCAGAAGCTCTACCAGCTGCGCGTTGAACTCGAGGATTTTGAAGGCGTGCAGGCCCATGCGCTCTACACCTCGTTTGCATTGGGCAGTGAAAAAGAACAGTATGCCCTCAAACTACTGGGTGCATTTGAGGGTGGAGAGGCAGGTGAGTTCTAAACCTATTGGCCACTCGTCCTCGCTAGAAACGTCGAAGAGAATAATCCTTTTTATACAAACATTCCCCTTCCCAATTCACCTTTAGACTAAATGTTGTTACAAAAACCATCAAACTCTATTGCTGACAAATGAATTGCAGTTAATGATACAAACTTCAGAGCCATTCCGAAATAAATTTCTCAACAACGAAACAGACTGCCACTCACAGAATAAAAATAGGCTACTAGATAACGGTCAGAAATCATTGAGGTTCTGCAAGAAATCAGGTAGGGGAACAAATGTTTGACGCAAATTCCGCAACATTCAAACATTTCACAGTTTCGCAAGGTTAGAGGTGTATCGTGGTTAATAGGCACAAATCAAGAGGACACTTTGCTTCAGAACGCTTACGTGCCGGCGGCTGCTTTTCCGTCACCTTTATTTCGTCGTCTTCTCCTAGCTCGCCCACGCTCAGCTAGCTTTATAACCGATACACCTTCTCTTCTTTAAAAGTTAAACAGAAAATTACTTACAATATATACACTATACAAATACAAATAAAATATAGAGATTACTCAAAATATGTACAAATATATACACTGTAATGTCGTTTGTAGATTTCAAATCATGTTCTTTGCAGTTTGCACTTCACTTGCATACTTGATTAAAGTTCTCATCATACGTTAACCTCCTAGGTACACGAACTTCACGAGTAGACTGCCGAGGAGTGATCAGAGGCAGACTTCCTTGTAGGCACGCTTGATTTCTATTATCCAGCTGACTTGTGCTTGTGCTATTATCCTGCTGGCTTCTACCGGGACTTGATGTATCTGGGCTGGAGACAACGAACGTTGGCACTCGAGCCTCAGGGCTTTCTGCATCTTCGTCTGCGGTGTCGTATGCCTCGGACTCTAACTCATCATAAGGATTGAATTCCTCCGATGTCTTCAGTAGGTGTTGGCGGTTCCGCCGTATGTGTGTACCCTTCTCAGTTTGTATCTTGTACGATCTTGGGCCGTTGTCACAGGTCACTTGTGCTTTCGCTGACCAACCTTTATCTTTATCGTCTCGAACTCGTACAGCATCTCCTTCTTCTAACTGGGAAAGTGCTCGACCTCTTTTTCTGTCTTGTTTGTGTTTAAACACGGGTCTAGCTGGTTCAGACACGAAATCTGGCAGGAGTGTACGCGTCTTCCTTCTCATTAATAACTCTGCTGGAGCTGATACGCACTCTAGTGGTGTGGCCCTGTAGGTTAGTAACCCTAACCAGAAGTCTTGGCCAGAATGTGCACATTTTTTTAGCAGTCTTTTCACTATTTGCACACCTTTCTCTGCGAGTCCATTAGACCTTGGAAAGCGCGGACTAGACATCGCATGTTTGAAGTCATATTTTGCTGCAAACTCGGTAAAATCTCTAGCTATGAACTGTGGACCGCCGTCTGTACAAACCTCGAGAGGAAGTCCATGACGAGAAAACATGCTTGCCATGACGTCGATCACAGTCTTTGATGTAGTATCTCGTAGTTCGGCGACCTCGGGAAAGTTTGAGTAAGCATCGTAGAGAACCAGGTATGATTTCCCAGCATACATGCACAGGTCTGCACCGATTCGCGCCCAAGGTTGGAGTGGCGTCTCTCGTAACAAAAGAGGCTCCTCCTGCTGGCGATAGGCATATTGCTTGCAGGTTGCACATCGGTTGATCATCGCTGTAATATGTGTATTCATTCCCGGCCAAAACATTAATTGTCTGGCCCATGCTTTGCATTTGTTGATACCAAGGTGACCGCTGTGCAGGCGTTTCAGCATCTCTGCTCTGAGGACCCGCGGGATTACGACTTTAGCTCCCTTCATCAGGACACCCTTTACAACAGACAGTTCGTCTTTAAAAGGTTTAAACTCGCCTTGAAGTGGAGTGTTATTAGTCAGCTTGCTGACAACTTCTTGAAGTTCCTTGTCTTTTTCTGTCTCTGCAAGTAGCAGTGCCATTGTTTTGTCACTGACCAGCGTAGACAGGACAGTTGCTGCATGAAGCTCCACATCATCGCTTGAGCCTTCCTTTGTCGTCGAAACCTGTATTCGAGACAACGTATCAGCAAGAACCAGTGCTTTTCCTGGCAGGAACTCTAGCTCCAAATCATATCGCATTAACCTCAAAAACAGGCGTTGCAAACGTGGTGGCATATCTCCGATGCACTTTTTGGCTATGGAAATCAATGGGCTGTGATCTGTTTCGGCAGTAATGTGCCGTCCGTAGATAAAGTCATGAAACTTTTCACATCCGTATACAATTCCCAGAGCTTCTTTTTCAATTTGAGAGTAGCGGCATTCGCTATCAGTCAACACTCTCGACGCGTAGGCTACAGGGCGCCAATCTTGACCATGCATTTGGAACAAGGCGGCACCTAAGGCTCCTTTCGATGCATCTGTAGAGACCTTCGTTTTCTCCCCAGCGTCAAAAATGGCCAATATCGGGGCTTTTGTTAACATTCCCTGCAGCATCTTCCATTCATGCGTATGCTGTCTACTCCACTCAAAAAGTGAATCTTGTTTGTTTAAGCTACGCAAGGATGTAGTCTTCTCTGACAAGTTAGGAATGAACTTCCCGAAGTAGTTGACCGCCCCCAAGAGACGCTGCACTTGTTTTCTGTTTGTTGGTAGTGGCATGCTTACAATGCACTTGACTAGTTCAGGGTCTGGCGTGATCCCTTTAGCGCTAATGTTGTCGCCCAAGTAACAAATTTCTTCTAAAGCAAACTGGCACTTATGGAGGTTTAGCGTGAGGCCACCCTTTTTAGCTGCTTGCAAGGCTTTCCTCAGTCTTAGGTCATGTTCCTCAGGAGTACCGCCCCAAATGAGTACATCATCTATATAAACTCGTACTCCAGGTAATCCTTCAAAAATTTGAGTCATTTCTCTCTGAAAAACTTCAGGCGCAGAGGAAATTCCAAAAGGCAATCTTAGGTATCGGTAGCGCCCAAATGGTGTTGCAAACGTACAAATCCGCGAGGTGCTGTCATCAAGCGGAATCTGGTGGAATCCGTTGTTAGCGTCAAGCCTTGTAAAATACTTTGCACCTGCCAACTCAGCCTCAATGTCCTCTCTGCGGGGAAGTTGAAAATGTTCTCGTTTCAAGCTCATGTTCACGTACTTTGGATCCATGCACACACAAATTTTTCCATTTTTCTTTGCAACTATCACAAGAGGGCTTACCCAGTCTGTTGGTTCTTGGACTTTGGCGATGATGCCACTAGTGGTCATGCGGTCCAGTTCGTCTTTCAGAGGCTTGCGGAGAGCATGCGGCACTCGACGTGCTGGCTGAACCACAGGACGGCAATCATCCTTGAGAACCATGTGATACTCGTTCTTGGTGCGTCCGATGCCCTGGAACACGTCTGGGAACTCAGAGATCACTTGGTGTCGCAGGCAATTTGTTTCCTCGAGGCTGTCTATGCGGTGAACCAATCCAAAGGCCTCACAGCTCTGAAGCCCCAGCAGCGCTTGCTTGCCCTTCTTCACGATGAAGAAGTCCACGTTTTCAATCTTGGATTTGAGCTCTACAGAGAGGCAGACTTTGCCCACATGCTGTAGTTTTCCTCCTCCATAGCTTCGCAGTGTTGTAGAGCTTGGTACTGGTTGCGTCGAAACTTGAAGTTTCTTAAAAACGCTGAGAGGTAGAAGATTTGTTTGCGCTCCGGTGTCCACCTTTAGGTGAACGTCGCGGCCTCCTATCTTCGCCATCACAGTCCAGTCACGCTCATGCTTTACTTTGCGACCATCAACTGATAGAATCTCAAAGGTATCGGCTTCTTCATCTTGGCTAAGCTCTCGTTCGTGAACGTTGTCGACGCTCATCTTCTTGCCTTTGCAGGCTACCGCAAAGTGTTTTTTTTTTCCACACTTGTTGCATGATTTTCCAAATGCTGGACATTTTCTCGGCTCATGCATAGAGCTGCAGTATTGACACTTGCGTCTTCCGGGAGAATTTCTGTCCCTTCGAGTCACTGGCTCCACAAGCGTATCTGGAGTTTCCCAGGTCTTGTTTTGGCGCTCTGAAATTTCCGCAGATTTGCAGAAGTCGACGGCTTTCTCAAGTGTTAAGTCTTTTTCCCTCAGCAGTTTCTCTCCGAGTTTTTTGTTCTGTATGCCGTACACAATCTGATCTCGAAGCATCGACTCAACTAACACTCCGAAGTTGCAGGACTTCGACTTCAGTTGCAAGTCTCGAAAAAACAGTTCGAAACTCTCACCTTCCGTCTGCTGTCGTGTTCGAAAGACATAGCGCTCGAAGGTTTCGTTGCTTTTTGGAAGGCAGTAGTCCTCGAATCTATTCACGATTAGTTCATAGTCATCTTTCTCAGATTCTGCCAAATTGAACGTGTTATAGACGTCAATGGCCTCCTGGCCAGCCACATGGAGAAATATAGCTGCCTTCTGCTGCTTCGATCTCGCCTCCTTCGTCTCTGTTGCTCGGAAGTAGAGTTCGATGCGCTGTTTGAAGCGCTTCCAATTCTCCGCTGTGTCCTCCGATAGCCTTAATCCTGCCGGCGGCGGTAGTTCGACCATGGCTGCGGTTCGTTTCACTGAAGAGGAACTACTCAACCACTTCTGACACCATGTATCGTGGTTAATAGGCACAAATCAAGAGGACACTTTGCTTCAGAACGCTTACGTGCCGGCGGCTGCTTTTCCGTCACCTTTATTTCGTCGTCTTCTCCTAGCTCGCCCACGCTCAGCTAGCTTTATAACCGATACAAGAGGTATGTTTAAGAGCAACAACAGCACCTTGAAAACCGACTTTAAAAAAATTAATTTCTGGTTCCTTGAATTTGTTTTGTAAACAAATTGTGGCAGCCACCACAATTTATTTGCAAAACTAATTCGTGCATTTTTCCGCTTTCTACTGAATTTAGTAGTCGATTTCTCCACTAAATTTAGCAGGTAGATTTTGAACATGGTGAAAAATTTCGCACAAAGAGACGAGGAAGGAACTATCCTCCTTGGAAGAAACACAGAACACAGCAATGCCTCCTGAACGATGCCCGTCATAAGAGCGGCGCGCGTCCTGCCAAGTGTACCGAGCGCTCCGCATTCTTGGGTAGTTCTACGTGCCGCTGCTTCATGACAAAAATGTGGCGCTGTAGCCAGAACACCGGTGCATCTCTGCTGGAAGGGGCGTGGCAAGCAGTGCGCGGGGCATGAGAGCGTCTCGTACTCCACGTGCTCATGCAGGACGCACTTCTATGCGTGGTGCCATTGTGTGCCGCCCGATGGCATCAGGTGCGGGGTACCGGTGCCACCAGCGTCATGAACAAGTGTTATGCTATCGATTCTCTGTTCGGCACACCTTCCCTTATAGCCACCATAGCCCTATCCATCTTTTCTCTTTGCCTTCACCGAAACGACCGCGAGGGGTGCTGCCAACTGACATTATCGCTACAGGACAGCATGGGAGATTTGACGTCTGCTATTGTGATACCAGTATGGGTGTGCGAATAGTCGTTTGAATCGAATAGTGCAGTGTCATCCCTAGCATCAACAGTGGAAAGAGAGCCGGTTGCATCGGCTTTCCTTTGCACCGCAAAGGCTGTGAATGACGTTGTGCTGTACAGGGGGAACAGCACTCCCGCAAAACAGTTACTCAAGTCCACTTACGCAGCGCTGACTAACAACTCTTTGGTATATTTACACTTTTGTCTTCGTCTTCTTTGGTATTGAGAATAATTCGGTCTTTTTGTTCATGGGGGATTGGTGGCCAAGTGGTCTAACGCACACCAGCTCGGAGCACGTGGAGCGAAAGCTCGCACTGCAGAACCCAGATATCCTGGGTTCAATCCCCACCCCTGCCCGTTTCGATCTGGATGATCATTGTACCGGCGTGCAGTCGTGTATCACCCCAGGCTAGCAGTCTAACCTCCTGCTGTATAAACAACTAACGACTGACTTGACCTTTCTGTTCATTAGGATGCTAAACCGTAAACCAAAAACTAAAATTAATGTTAAATTAAATAAAATTAACGCTCAGTTGCGAGCGGCCGGCTGCGGTAGTTGCGCAGAGATGGCCGAGCACGAGTTGTTGAGGATGATGATGATGTTGTAGCTGTTCTCTTTGAATTGGGTGATTGTTCCAAACCAGGCCATGCCTAGCCAAAAAAATAGTGTCAAAGGCGTTGAACACAGACAGGCATGCACTCACAACTCTGGTGTATTTAGGGAAGAAAAGAAAGATGAAGCACGATTTATGCCAGGGGACAACGGCACCAGGGGGTAAACAGTTCAGTCGCAGTCAAATGTTTGCAAGAAGGCAACTTCTTTTTCGCTTAAAGCTACCGACGGTTGACTAACGCAGCGATCGGCCAGGCTCAAGAAAGACGCTTCATCTTTTTTTTTTTGTTCACTTAATACACCAGAGTTGTGAGTGCGTGCCTGTCTGTGTTCTGTGTTCCTTCCTCATTTGTCCTCGTCTCCTTGTGCGCAATTTTCACCATGTTCAACGTATACCAACTCGCCCAGCTTACTACTCTACTAGGTGTAAATTTTCCTTGATAAATACAGCGGAGCACCATGACGAGCCTACACAAAACACACGGGGGGATTTGCTGCAAAATCACACCAACAGCAGCTGCCACCGTAAAAGAAAGGTACTAAGACGTAGCATTAACCGCACGGTTTTTCTAAATACGGCTCAAAACAGAAATGAAAGCATTCACAACACTTTGTTGTTTCACACTACACTGGGCAAAGGGCATTATTCACAACCAAACAGCTTGTGGATGATTGAACCCCCAGAATATGATTGTCAACCAGGGGCGACACATTCCCACCAGAGTCACTAAAAAAGCTACACTGCAGAGCAATGACACTCAAGCCATCTTGGTTGTCATGGTTGCCAGTTATCTGAAGCTCTATCTGAAATCGCAGGAAATATATCTTCCGTCCACCAGAAATGTTAAAGCAGTCCGCGACAGAGCAAACCGCTATTGCCCGAGCTTCCTGGTGCCCTATAAAAAGTTCAGAAAGTCACATTTTTTTAAGTGGCACCGTCGCCACTGGCGCCCGCTTTGAACTAAACACCAAAATGGTAGCGGCCGCAAAAAAATGGAGGAATGGCACTCTAAGCACAGCTTATTGAGTGGCTCTAACCCCTGCATTCCGCAGGAGACGGTCTGTCTCCACACGCTGCCATGGGGTTCTCGACCCCCGACGTGGACAACGACCAGTGGGAGGAGGGCAGCTGCGCCAGGGACCAGCAGGGCTCCTGGTGGTACAACCAGTGTGGCAGCAGCAGCCTCAACGGGGGCTACCTGCAGGGGCCTGCACAGCTCAGCCGGCAAGGGCTGCACTGGCTGCCCTGGCCCTCCGCGCTGCGATCCTCCGCCCTCCTGCTGCGCCCCGTGGCAAGGGCGCAGACTGCCCCAACCGTCGCCCCCCTTGACGGCCCCTAGCGTTGCCTTAATTTGCGGTCAGGACACAGTCGAGAGGAGGGAGCTTGCGTTTAGCCTGTTTTAGTCATGTTAAGGCAAGACAAAGTGTAGATGCATTTAAGCAGCTATGCATAGGTGCCACGAAACTGTCCTCCAGTTTTTGTTTCCTCTTGTTCCGTTTACTCCACCTTATCATTACCATAGCAGGCTAGGTTGTTGCCATTTTAGATTCTGCTGTGTCCTTCTCCCCAGCATTGGCCTTTGTGCAACTCGTCAACGCCCGTTTCAGCGGCTCGGCATCTCGGCAATACAAAAGAAGGTCAGCGATGACGACCGTAATCTGGCGCGCGTTTTAAGCGTCTATACACTAATGGAGCACGTTAAAAATCGGGTTGTGCCGAACCCAGCTTGTTTTAAAGGGTTAGACAAAGAGGAGCGATGAAGGTGTTGGCACCACTGCCACGGCGCAAACTATGGTCACTGACAAGGTAAGAATGGCAGGGAAGAGGCACTTCCCTGCCATTCTTACCTTGTCAGTGACTATAGTTGTCCCGCCTCCAGCGCGATCTTCCCACTGTCAACAACAATTTGTCTCGTGCACATTGAGCGCAGCAGAAAGCGGCGAGCACCTGTTGGAGACTGGACGTTTGAAAGAGACACCCTGCCGTTTTCGCCTTGTCAGCGACTATAGTTTTCATCAATTTTAGTTGAATCAAAGATTTGTTTACTGTATCATGCTGACTAAGGTGCACGCTTGGGTCGAGCTTATCGTATTGCTGAAGCCGTTGGCTCTAGCCATGGGCCCACTAACCTTGGCTGCCAGTTTAGAAAATTTTTCAGATAATTTGGCAAAAGCACTCCTGCGGTGGAGTTTCGGCCACCTCTCCAAATAAAATGGTGCTGGTTAATGTGAAGCTCATTCCAGTCACTTTACAAATAAATGCAGCGACGAGACTTTGGAGCATCAACTATGTCGGATGATGGCGGAAGCATGGACAATTGTAAAACTGTGGTGCTGATGCTGAAAAGTATTGGTTGACCCAGGTCAAGAAAAGGGTCAGCTTTTACGTTCAATATAGTATTAGACGGTCAGCCAAGGGGTTGTGAGCAGCGTTGTGGAAGGCTCAAGATGCAAGTGCAAGAAGCCTCGTGTGCACATGCCCTTGCCTTCTTTGTGCGCCATTTGTGGAAGGTTGCAATAGTCCCATCCCACTCCAAATTTTTGCTGTAGCAGCACTCTATTATGCTTTAAGCCCGTGCCACATCCTTGCTCTGGTTGGCCTTTTACATAACTTCTGAACAATTGTGGAGCATGAACCAACCAATGACTGTAAGGGTTTAATATTGAGCCATATAAGCTGAGCTGTAAACATGGCAACACATATTTGTAAAGCTTTTATTAAAAAATATATGCGAAAGTAAATGCTGCCTGGAAGCCATGAAACTACTTTTTTAATGTTTTTGTATCAGGGACGTTGAGAAATCCTGATTCTCTATAAAGCCCAGACAGGAACATCTTCATTTAAGTACATTAAAATTTACAGAAAAAAAAAAACCTTTTCGAGTTTACTTTTTTTTTTTTTTTTGACTGACCAGTGAAATGAACAGTCGTGCCGTGCGCGAGTCGCAATACACAACCATTCATTTCGAGCCTGGTATGTCACAAGTCATGAAAAACCAGACACCAGAACTGCTTCCAGTGCCTGCTTTTAGCCCATGGCCAAAACAAACTGTAAAGTGTTTTTTGCAGCTTTGTGCATCCAACATTAATCAGTGCCTCGACAATGCTTACAGCATTGCAATTTGCACAGAACCTTGTTAGAGTTGGGCGATTTCCATTACTGCATGAATCGTCGCCTACGAATCGAATGTTACCAAGTAGCAGACTGGCGATGTTTAATCTGAAAGCTTTATTCGACTGGGACGTGCCTGGTGCCGTTTGGAACTGTCGGAAAGGTCTGCAAACGAATAAAAAGTACTACTATTTTAAATATTTCAACAAACATTGTGTGTCTGGCTCCTAACATTAGTGCACTAATTCTGCTCCTCTAAGCTATATGCAGCTAGTAAAATTTTGTTGTTTCAACCCGAGCTTGAAGTTGCAAGGAACTCTAGCTATCTTGACTAGAGGGGGCCCAAAGCCCCGCCGAAAGATTTGAGTGTGTATGCTGTCGCTAGCCTCTTCCTTTTGCCATGATTGTAAACTGGCAATAGCATTGAATACTATATAAAAAATATCGTTCTGTATAGCGTGTCTGAACAGGAACTTAATACATGCATCAAGTCATGGAACATGTGAGACACATATATGTCAACTCCTAAATGTGGCAGCCAGGCTCGTTAACATCCGACACTCGGCGCCCGCAAGATGCCGGAACAAGGGGGCCATGTTCAACAAATGTTTCGTTTCTCCTAAAAAGAAATGGAAGTAACGATATCAGGTCTGATTGGTTGGAGGTTGAAATGAGGAAAGTTCCCTCTTTCGTCATTTGAGCCTTTAACCAATCAGATGCGATATCGTCATTCCGATTTTTTTAGGAGAAACGAAACATTTCCTGAACATAGTCCCCCAAATCGGATATAAAAGTGTTTACTTGGTGATCTAATCCAATGTCAGGCTTTCTAAAATGCGAGCCATTTACCCAGTACATTGGCTAGTAATAGGAGCTAAAATGCGCAAACGGCAACCAGACAGTACAAACCATGCTGTCACATGGCTACAGTATGTGCATTCTGACCCTCCACTCGCTGGCTGCCAGACTGAGTGGTCTGTACCCGCTGGTCGCTGTTAGTGCATTCTAGCTTGTATCGCAAGCCACTGTATTCCACGTCTGCATAAATTGGTGGTTGACCTCCTGCGAAGCTTGTTGTGACAGCACCAGTGGAAGCATGAATCTGTCCTAACACACCGTGTGTCCACAGGGAAACCCTCCGACGTTAGAGAAAAAGTGACACAAATCGCGAGCTGCGCAAATAACACAAATGGCTCGGGGTGTGAAAGGTAGAAAGGTCTGGTTCCCAGTTTATTTCACGAACTTTGCTTCCTTCTTCCGGGGGCGAGCTGTACAGGGGAGTATAAAAAAACCGGGGGAGGACGCGCAACTAGTCTGGGTCGCCACAGGGACATCCGTGACCCACCAAACGAGCGCGCGACGTGCCTCAGACAGCCTTCAGGTCGTCGGGCAGCTCCATCTTGGGGTGCTTGTTTTCAAAGTGCTGCTTATACGTCTTTGGGTCCGGCATTTGCGCCTGGCAGGGAGAAGCGGAAACAAGGTAGCAGCGATGCCCGGCCGGACGGAGGGAGCCCCTCCGTGACAAACGATGACCCCGTGGCCCAGTGACCCAGATGGGCAGACCAACCCTTACCTTGCAAACGGTGCAGGTGTGCACCAATGCCTTGGCTGCGGCCGCCTTTTGGTCGTGGTTCTGCTGCTTCTTAATCGCGTCCGCCTTCTTTTGGGCCTTCTGCTGCGACTGGATTTTCTGCTGCCCGCGCGCCATTGTGCCGAATCCTACAGGCAGGGCAGACAAGAAAAGAAAACAAAGAACAAGTGGTCAGCCCCTTCCGCGCGACTGGCCTCGGCGACGCACGCCGTGGCCACGATCTACCTGCGACGCGGCATACACGCGTGCTCGTCCACTTCCGACACTTCCACGGCGACTGCGTGTGAACTAACCCTCCGCTTAACTGGACTCGTTCTTTGTGTTACCAAACCCTACGAGAAATGGGGATAATTTTGTGACAAAGGCCATTTGAACGTACCTTTGCTGGTTTTACGTCACCGACGGCAACGCCAAGAGAGCCAACGAAGACTCCGCAACTCTCTTCCACGCTTTCTCGCTGCTATTTTTTGCTCACCCGACGACTGGCGGCGGCTACGGCTACCGACGCTGTTTCCGGGAGTGGGAGAATATCGCGAAATCCCGTGGTACGACGTGAGAGCGCGAGATTTTACGTGATGTCTCCTTTGATGCGTTTGATACAGATGGAAGAGGCATGCGATGATTCTGTGCTTTATTTTAACTTAACCTCGTTGCCTTACTGTAAGGCACACTACAATTTATAAATTGTAAAATTAGAAAGACTAGGTATAAATAGATTCGGTAATTGATGCAACCAGGTCCGGTTGCTTCAAAGTGCTGTTGGTCCGGTCGTCACATCCGTCATATCGAAACTAAACGCACGCGAAGGAGGGGGGAAAGGCATGGGAAAAGGGGGATACACGTGCCCTCCTCCTTGCACAGTTTCACGCTCAATCACTGAAATCACGAGCCCCAGCTGAACGGCGGAACGCTGACGCAGCACTCGTGCGCGGTCCACGTGCCCTGCGCCATAGAGGACGACCTCGACCAGTGCTTTCGCTGGTCGGCCGAAAACAAATTACCCTTTAACTGCTCTAAAAGTGTTGCAATGACATTCGCTATCTCTTCCAAAACTTCGAAAACTACAAGCCAAGCCTCAAACTTAACCCTGGGTGGCTCACCACTAAAGCATGTGCCCTCCACAACCCTCCTTGGTGTCGTCCTGGACAGCCGCCTCAACTTTGCCCCCCAGGTCCACAGCGCCACATCGAAAGCAAGACGCATGCTGGGCTTTGTCACTCGAGTAACACGAGGAATGACACCTAACACCTTCCGCCATCTTTACGCTGCGCTGGTGCTGCCCCACCTAGAGTATTGCTCTGCGGTGTGGTACCCCCAGCAAAAATATCTCCAAACTACACTACGAGGCGTGCAACGGTGCCGCCTACACTTACTATCGCCGCAGTGTTTCCCCACCGTCAGTCCCACTCTCCTACAGAGAAGTACCCTCTAGTGACCTCCTGAAGACTGCTGCCTGGAGGAGCCTGCACCAGCGACAGCAAGTAGCATCTGTCCGGCTGTTCTGCAGGATCATGGGACCAAACCAACAGGAACTTTATGATGCCCCCAGGGTGAACAGAAGAACGGGTAGAGTCCAGCCCGTGATGTCCCGAACATTACGGCATGGGGAGTCCTGCCTGCTGAGGGCAGCTACGCTTTGGAGGGGGCTCCCCCCAAACCTCACCGAACACATTCCCTCTGATCCCCAAGAGGCAAAAGAAGTAGCTGAGACGCTCTTCCGTGACCCCCCTAACGGTGTTTGAAAATTTTCCCTCTTGACTTCTAACTTAATTACTTAGTTCTTTTATTTATTTACTTCACCATTCTGTACAACCTATACATGTTATAGGAGTGCACAAATCAATGTGTAAGCACACTAGTTTTTTTTTTTTTTTGCTTCTGTACACATGTATATATATATATATTCTGTGAGTGCATGGGTCGGTGTTGTGGGCACAATAGTGCATGGGCGTCAGCCTTCCCCCAACACCAGCACGCCTGTACACTTCTACTTGTCAAGTGCAATAAATAATATCAATATCAATATCAATACATACCCCGAGCATAGTTACCCAACGGGGAAAATGACGTCAAGACCTATGCACCAATACAAGCTCACCGCTAAATTTAGGGGAAAAATTGACTCCAAGAAAAATTGCCCCCCCCCCCCCCCCCTTCCTTTCCCGCTGAAAAATAATAAATATGCTCCAGTTCTTGGTCGTCGAGACCGAACACCTGCCTGTGTGTGCACTGACAAATGCTATCGTATTCATAGACCTCTGTGGTTTCTACAATTTTTTTTTTTTTTTTTTCTCTTTGCTGGGCACTTTGAGCAAGCAAAAGCCAGTCTAAAATACAGTTCAGAGGCATTCTTAAAGGGGTTCATCCCCACGCCCGTTTCGATCTGGATGAGCATCGTACTGCATGTATAGTCGTGCATCACTACTGTGTGGTGTAAAGACCATAGGCTAGCGGTTGTACCACACTGGCTAAGTTGCACATCTACAGCCTAGACACCAGACGCCCACCGAGGAAGACCAACCTTCTGGCTATATAAACACACACTTTTTGATTGGTTTTCAATTTGCACCGAACCTGAGCGCACTGAACACAATAACTTACTGAAACTTTTCTTGAAATTCACTTTAGTTTAAAAGTTTTAGGCAAATTAAAATTACAAAAACAAGCAAACTATCTCCTTCATGACGTCCCTGGGTGGCCAATGGTTGAAGCAAAGCGACTGACCAATCAACAGCGGCTTACGTTGTTGGCCGCTTCCCCTGCAGCCGAATGTGCGTCAACGGCTCGTTGCTTGCTTCAACCCTCCACCACGCTTGCTGGCATGAATTTACCAGGTCTGTCGGAGTTGGAGCTCCAAATCCTCGTTAGAAGTGCGGAGCTGGGTGTAATACCATACAAGGACACTTCTCCTAAGCGTCCGGAGCGCACTGGCGAAGCTACTCGCACCCACTCAATGATGCTCAAGTTCCGGGTGTGTCTCCTATGGTCTCGCGAGGAGACCATTCATAACTTCGCTTCCTGCAAAATGTTCCGCCGGTTTCATTCGTCGTCTGCTAGGATCCGCGGGGCATGACCTCAGAGATCTCAAAGCGAGCGTGCTTCGGGATCTCGGAGGCCATGCGCGGGGGCTCCTGCGTCGCCTCTTCCACCGCTTGGTGGCGGGTATGTCGATGGGTCATTTCTTGTTTCCGTACTTTCTAAACTGCATTTGTTTCTTTTCTCATCTAAAATACTGAACAAAAACTACTTTCATTAACAATCTAAATGGTTCACATCCTTATATTTTGTATTTCGAATAAAAAAAAGGCTTTTAGCGGCTCTGACCAGTCATAAGGAAGGAGCGGACCGGGACTGACAATGTCACGAATTAGTCACATACAGTGCGCGTCTGGCACCACGGAGCGTGTCCGTAGGAGAAGGAGGTTGCCGCAAAGTTTGGTTAAAATATGACTCACTAATATTTAGTTACTCTCTCCGTGCCCGAATCACAAGATATGGAAACAGCAAAATAACGTAAATTCTTAAAAAGGATTGCAGTGCCCCTTTAATTCCTAGGTATCAACACTACTGACTAGTTCCCTAGAAAATACCCCATAAATACTTGTCTTCCTGAACATTTCACTGACACGGAAGCTTCATTGTGCGATTCTCCTGCTTCGCTATTTCATTACAGCTGCCACATCCAGATTTTACAGGGATGTGAATATGTCAACACGATTAAAGGCTTCCGAGTGAAACTTCAATTCTTTGTGCAACTTTACTTGCATACCCTTATACATGCCATTGACATCAACAGTGAGCACACCACAGTCTGTGTCAACTACTTTGTGCTGTGTTGTCAAGGCTAACATAGCCTTAACAGCGCTCAAACATTGTTAAAGCTACACTCCACGAACGCGAGGCTTTGTTTGGCGTCTCCTTTGCATAAGGGTGCATGCAAACGGGATGCAAGACAAAGCCACATACTCTCGCAGCAGTACGGCAGCAGCACTGTGGAGGTTGCGCTAGTCTTGACAATGCAGCACAGAATAGCTGACACGGAGTATGGTACTTCCAAAAGAACGATGTTCTTTTTAAAAACATACCTAGAAACCTTTATTATAAACATAACCAAAAAACAGTGCCCTATAAATGTAGAACACAAAAGGGATGAGGCAGTGTGCAAATTCCAGTTTAAATTTGTGTTCCATCCAAACTTGAGGCAACGAGCTTCTATACACATACTATACATCCTTTATTTTTAACCTAAAAGACCGTGGGAGCTTGGAGATGTTTGAACTGATTGTAGTTGTGTTGGCAGTCAGCAGTAAGATCTGCACAGGGCAGCCATGTGATCCACCCCACAGCTGACCTTGAGCACTTCTGCTGTGATGCTTACCTGTGAACAGCAACAAAGGCAGATTTTTCAAAATGTTGTACAATATACAGCACTTCACCTACCATGTACCTAAACCCAACAGTCCCACATATGCCATCTTGATTTTTGTTTTTTGGAAAAGTAAAGATGTGTATTGAAAAGGGATCCTTGAATAAACAGGGAAAATATTATATTGGTAAGCATGTGATTAGAACCAATGATACAGTACAATCTCTTACAATAGCTCTTGGTAATAAACGAGATTTCATCATGTTATAAACGAAGTAGTAGAATGCAGGATGCAAAAAATGTTATGGCAGATTGATCAATTAATTTTACCTGGAGTCTACCCTAAATTATCAGTCATTGGATGAAATTATATGTTATATATTTAGAAATATAATGATGAATTGTTAAAGTTTACTGCTAATGGGGCACCAAGTCTCCTGCACTCCTCCATGCGACAGTGGGCAGGAGATACTTACCCTGAAGGGGAAGTGCTGATCGAGGGGGTGGCCCAACCCCAGGCAGCCATTCCTGTTCTTACCCCAGGTGTACAGGCCGCCTTTGTCTGCACACAAAGAGAGCTCACTCAGAAATCTTCAAGGCACACAGCACAATAAAAAAGAATCCAAAATCACATATGGGCTTAAGCAACCACTGTTCTGTCCTGTCTACATTCCAATGTGTCCACCTCATCTTACTTCTGCTCATAGTTGTCCATTTGAAGTTGTGTGTGCCACACAACCCACAGTGCAAAATAGCATTTTTTCTGGATGTTGTACTGCCAATACTTAGAGAGCAAGCAATTATATGTTTTGCATATATCAACAGCTGCAGGGAACTGTTTTTTGGAGTATCATTGCAAGTGGGAGTGAAAACACAAAGGCTGGCAAACTTGAAAAATCCATTGTCAATCCTCAGTCAATAATACTGGCATTGATATAATATAGCATATCCTAACAAAAGTGAATGAACTGAAGTACTTGGGTCTCTGGATCTGCTCTGCTCTTAGGTGGGATAAACACGCTAGTTTCGTTTCCTCTAACGCCTTCCGTAGACTCTTTTTTCTCAGACGAACACTAAAATCAGCCACTGCAGACACTCAACTTCCAGCGTACAAAACTCTAATTCGCCCTGTAATGCCAACTTTATTTGGGACCCATTCACACAAGTAAGTGTTAACCACATGCAACGAATACAAAACAAAGCTGTCAGATCCATTTTTAGTTCCTATAGAAAAGCTTCCATTTCAGAGCTTACCAAAAAGCTTGGGTTTGTCTCAGCCCAAGAAAGAAACCGCACATGCAGACTTCAAGTTTTATTTCAATTAATTAAGGGGCAGTACAAAACTAACGTAGATGAATCTATAACTTTTTCTACTGGGTATGCCACCCGTGTGAGGAATCAGCTTACCACTACATCTTATCAACCCCGCATCAAGTTTAAAATTTTATTTTTTTCCCTCGAACGATTGTAGAATGGAACCAGGCTTCCCTACAAAACTACTAGTCAAGACTCTGTCAGTACATTTGTTTCCACCTTGTGTTCCGATTGATGTAACTCCTTTTTACTTTTTATGGTTTCTTTTATGTTTTTCCATCCTGTTACGATCCCTCATAACAGATCAGCAGTGTTTGCAAATAAAAAATTTAAAAATATTAATCCAACACAGATAGTGATAGTATCAAACTTTTAAGCTGTGAGATACTATGGCATTGTTGTTTACTTTTCTTCACTCAAGTTGACAGGATGAGAACTTTCCACTTCTACACTGTACTATAGCAAGGCTATAGCAGGCTTAGTAAAAAGCATGACTGAATTTGGAGACCGGCTGTGCTTGCTACAGGCCTCCGTGCTCAGTAATGAAGGTTTGATCCCTATTGGGACGTTGGCCATAGAGTGGAAGCCAAAGAGGCTTGGAAAAGCAAATATCACTTCCTTCCTCAATAAATAAACAAAACAAAGACAAGTATGTCAAAAACCGGACAAGCGTTCGTGAAATACTTTAAAAGGCAACCTCTCTAAAGTTTGAAAAAAAAAAAAAAGACCAGGGTAAGGTATCATTTGAATGTAATCAGCGAGACCGAATTGCTCTCTGCTATACATTTCGTTTTTCCAAAGCTAAAACATTTTTTTTTGTGTGTACATGAGCAGTGTTCAAACATGCTGAAAAGTGAAATGGGATGCTGCTGTAGGCAATGCTAACTCCACGACATTCAGGCTTGCTATGGATAAGGAGGACAGTTTGTTTGAGGGAGAAGGATCCCATATAGGAAGGTTCAAAAAGAAGCAACGAAATAAATATCGCTTCAGACAAATTCAAGGGCACAAAAAAAAGACAAAATGAAGTGCCTGGTAAAACATTTTTGAAACAAAAGAGGTCGTTGGCTCACCTTTACATCACCGCACACGCTAAATCCTGACGGCTCAAGAGCGAAAAGATTCAATTCTCAGTTCAATTAGGTTCCTACTGAACTTCTGCAACAATACTTGATCCAGGCTGTGTTATTAAAGAATAAATTGAGGTCCGTTGTTCAACGGAAAGTACTAAGCAGCTTCATTGAAAAGTAAAAACCGGAAGAAACTGCACCACTATACTTCGTTCCATCGTAAGTCAGAGTGCAGTTGAAGGCTGAACATGTACAAGCAACAATGTACAGTGGCCCAATTTTTTTATAATATCAAGCGAGCGTTGATTGCCGGGACGGCCAGCGTCGTGCCGCGGAGGCGTGCGGCGAAACGGGAGAGATTAAGCGCGTGCGCACAAAGCCCTTTCTGGGGGGAGCGTCGTCTGCTAGGCTATTCCATTGATCGCACACAGCCCCTGCTCTATAGCAAAGGAGGGCAGGGCGCTTGCAATGTCGAAGTGCATCGCCGATACGCCCCTCCTCTTAGAATGCGTTCCTATATGATTCCGACCGTTGTTGCTATATCCGTTTGCGTCATGCCGCCCATCGACATTCTCACGACATGTTCCTGTGTTTCTATAGGCACTCGAGGAGGCATAAAAATGTGCTCGCGCCCGTTGGTCAAAGAAAGGTCTGACTACCCAGCTATATAGGCTAGATGACGACAGCAACAGCGCAGTTGATAATACAAAACGCCAAGCGGAAACCCTGTCTATACTCCATTTTACTTTGCGTTGTACCGCAGCAGACGCTATGAGCCATTTTGGCCAGTCCGTCGCTAAAAGTGTGTCACGTGGCCTTCCCGTTGGGTACAACTGCGCGTGAAAGCATGATGTCACGCGGCAGGGTGAAAGCACTGGATTGGTTTGATGGCTCGTAGCATTGTTTGCGGGTATATAGTTTAATGCATCGTTGCATTCAGTTTGTCGCGTCACCATATTTTTCATTTCTGTAAGTGCTCACAAAGTAAACGCAAACATAAAATAAAAAAAAATAAAAAATTTAACTTGAGATGACGCGCGGTTTATGCCACGCCTGAGCAGTATCGAAAAGAAGAGAAAATAAAAGAAAGCGCTCTTCAGATCTTTGCTTAAAATGAACAGGGGCTGTGTGCGGTTAATGGAATAGCCTAGCAGACGACGCTTGCAACGGAAAGAGCTTTGTGTGCCTCTCCCGTGACGCCACATTTCTCCGCGGCACAGTGCTGGCCGTCCCGCCGGTCGACACTCGCTTGATATTATTAAAAAATTGGGCCACTGTACATACTAAAAGCACACAACACCGGGCATTCACCGCATTTGATTTGTTTAGCAGATTATGGAAGACATAGAGAAAGATGACAAACACCATAACGTCATGCTTTTGGCACTGCCTGATCGGTCCTTTCAGCACATAGCGTTGGCTGCGCTCGGACTTGAGGTGAAACGTAGCGTAGAATGTGAGGCGTAAACTCAATTTAATAAAAATTATCCTATTTTTACATTCTGTACAAACAAATTTCAGACAAAAAACAAACAAAAAGAAAACAGTTTTTTCCAGATAGGTTGCACTCGTGCTCAATCTGCACGTAAAAATGATCAGATGCAGCAGACGTCGACAATTGCAAGCTTTATTAGCCCACAAAAGTGATTGCATAATACGTAAACTCAAATTAACTTATGCTGTCATGCACAAACTCCGTCGCGTCTTGCCATAATGAACAATCTAGAAAAAAGCAAATCCCCTTATACAGTCAAACCCGTTTATAACGAACAGCAGGAAACGCTACGATCAGTTCGATATAAAAGGTAGTTCGATATAGCAAAAACCATTTACTACGAACTTTCACCGATGCGTTCGCTCCTTCTCTTTCTCTCTCATCTCTTCGCTTTCAACTTGTAATAAAACGGTGGAAAAACAATTTTTACCTGCGTGCCGAGCTTTTTTTTTTTTTTTTTGCTTATCTTTCCTTCTGATTCACTTCTCTTCAAAAGCAACCCTTTAAAGATGAAGTTTTTTGTTTTTTTTTGTTTCCTGTGCGTGCGTGCAGTTTTTTTAGCTTTTTCCCCTTCTGAATCGCTTCTCTTTCTCAATTTTGTTCGCGGCTTGAGCTTTAAAAGTTTTGTCTTTCCTAGACTCTTTTTTTTTTTTTTTTACGGGGGGGGGGGGGGGGGGGGGGGGGACGGACAGGCGAGAAGGCGATTGTTTGCACGTTTTTGGAAGCCTTCCAGGGGGGGGGGGGGGGAAGTTCGATATAGCCAATATGTTGTTCGTTATGAAAAGTGCTTTTTACATGCATTTTTATTTAAATTTCCCGTGAGTTCGATATCGCCAGTAATTCGCTGTACGTGGGTTCGTTCTAAACGGGTTTCACTGTAATCTGCACTCGTAGATAGTCCGCAATGTGCAAGATTTCAACTTTTAATTCTGTATTACAGTATGAAAAACGCGATAATGAACAAAAAAACACAACTGCGACTAAGTTTGGCAATACGCCGTGTTTCTGACGAGATTCTCTCACCCGTGACGGCGGCGAAGTGTCCCAGCCCACAGTACAGCTGCGCCACCTGCACGTCCGGCGAGAAGCGGCCGGCGCCGAAGAGTGGGCGGGGCAGCAGGGTAGGGCTCGACCGGAAGCTGACCTCGGGGCCCAGCCCCAGCAGTCCGTAGCCCCAGACATACACGTCTCCTGCCTCTGGTGGGGACAAGAGGCAAGCAATACAATCAGCAGAGCGAGGGAGGCCTCTCCTGTTGTCGCTTAATGTCCATGTGAAGACTGACGGAGGTGAGAGAGTGCTCAAAAACCCCGAAAATTCCCCAAAAAACTTTCTTGCACACGTGCAAGAGTGCTCCTATTAGTCAGGATAAAAGCTAAAAGAAACAATCTTCCAGATGCGATTGCGATTGATAGGCACGCTTAATTAAACAATCTTGCAGATAAAACTGCAATTGATAAGCAGGCTTAATTTTTTTGCTTTCTCTGAAAACAATGCTTCTACTGAGCATGCATTAACACAAAGTCACCAACTCTCTGATGCAACAAAGTAAAATAAGCCTTGTCTTCTACAAAAAAAAATAAAACACTCTTCCCATTACAAGGCAGTGTTGCGTGACTGTGACATTAGTACTCATACTTATCCTGTACATAACAACTGGAACTACAGTTCTGGTCTTAGCTCGACCTCTGTCCAAAACAACTTGTTTGTCAAGGACATCAGCTGTGATGGTGCAAGATGAATGTCAAAGAAGTGCAAACAAACTACAGACACATCTGTGGCAGTCAATAAGTGCACCTTATAATAGTCCGTGCTACATGCTGCTAGGGGTTAGCCTTTCTGTGGCTGTCACCCCCTCTCCCATCCCAGGAGGGTTGTTTCAACACATTAGAAAATGGACAAGAGCTCCCACAGAAATGAAATGCTGAGAGCCGCTGGATTACTCAGGTGATAGATTGGCACTTACCATTCACGACGCCGCACATGGTTGCCCCACTGGCAGCGAAGCGCACCTTGCCGTAAGGGAAGCCCAGGTGCCGTGCCTCGCTCACCTGCCACAACGGTAAAAAATGCGTCCATTTTTGATTGGCCATCTTGTGATCAACAAATTAGTATACTGCACATAATATCTGGGGATCTCATAGGCAGTGCACGCATTTGTTACGAACAGGAAGGAAACTGAGCCTATCCCAACAGAACTAAACTCAAAGAGGTCATTAAAACTCTGTTTCTTACCAATTTTGTTTTCCTGAACAAATTGTGCATTGTTAAGTACATAAATGGAAATATCCAGCACTGTAAAATTGGGGAGTTCAACAACAATCATATAACCAAAGAAGGCTGACCTGTGGTAGCGAAAAACATTTCTGGGACTGCTGAGCCAACCCAGATGCTCAAACACGTTGGCCATTTCCCCTAGCACGCCGATGCAAGGCAGTGAAGCTTGACACGCGTGCGCCGGTATCATGCAAAGCGACAAAGCTTGAAACAATGAAACCACATCGCTAGTGCAGAACAGTGAAGAGCGACGTGAGAAATCAATACAATTCGTAAATTTTTAATATTAAAAAGAATTCAAATACCTCGAACAATAGAAGTGTGTTGCAAATCAAATAGAGTAGCCAACACTATTTATGTATGAATAATTCCAAATTGCAAATATTCGCACACCTTTACTTCGTGCTATTTTTTAGTGAATCTAAGCTGTTCAGAGCCCAATACAGTGATGTTTCGTTAATATGGACCCCCTTAACCCTTTGCTTACCGCAATAATATAAAAAAATTACTCAGATATACCGACTTTTTTACATATATAGTAGCGCAAACATATATATATATATAGATATATATATATATATATGTATATATGCCAACACCCCGACCCAATGTCTTCATCGGAATCAGAGTTGGCAGTGCTAAAGTCAAAAAGCTCTTTGGCTTCACAGTCACTGGAGGATGAAAAATTTATGTCCTCGTCATGCAAATCGGAAGGTATGTCGTGCAAGCTTAATTTTTCCCTCGTTTTTATTGCACACCTGTCGCAAGGGACGCCACTTCCAGAAGTGGATGCCGCCATTTCTCAAGCCCTTGTTGTCACCGTTGAACCGGTTTTCGTCAATATCTAGAAATTTACCACATCTTTTTGACAGTACGTAACACTAAAAAACACGTCGACTAGCCTAGTTTGTCTTTGGTAAGGGACATGCGTTTTGTTCACCGTGACGAGCCCAGCTCGTCTTCGGGAGGAGCGGTGCTGACAGTGCGTACGAACCCAGCTATACAGACTATATGAATACCCCGCTGTACAGACACGATTTCAGGGGACAAGGTGGGAAAATACATGCATTTTTGCCTCAATATTGTGAACAACTCACATTATGGACGACTTTTGAGAGACTGAAGGTGTTCATAATAATGAGACATGACTGTGCATCCAAACCAAGATGCACAAAAGAGCAAAACAATCTCGCCCCGAAAGGTGCGAGATGTGCCTGGTGTGAGAATGGATGGCGAGTAATTTCAGGTCGATGTGGCAGCAACGCAACTTTTCTGGGCAGCAAGCTCACAGACACTGCACATCCCACTCCGACGTCTCTTAGAATTCAGGACTATCGGCGCCCCTCTTATTTTCATCATCTAACAATCATTTAATCGTTGGGGATAACGATCAATTGGTCCCAAATGTAAAATACTGATAAAGTTTCTTAAAGCTATACTTTATCAGGACATGACATGTCAGACAACCTTCTCAAGCCTTAAGTTCCCAGATTCACCCATACACAATTTACGATGGCGTCATTAACCGTCATTAACCCTTTGTTGACGAGTCTTGCCTGAAGGCAACAAACCAGATAAGAATTTTAGAGCACAGCTCTTAGGCGCCCGTTTCCAGGTTGAGTGGCATCAGCGTCAATGTAACCGCACGTTGCATTATGGGACGTTTCCCAAAATGACGCCACACATGACGTCACGTGTAATGTCACGAGGGTACAATTCTTGCGCTAAATTTTACGGGAAAATTTTTCTGCTAAATTAAGTGGGGAAATTTTATCCTCGTGACGTCACATGTGACATCACGAGTGACGTCATTATGGGAAACGTGACGTCGTGCTAAATGTAGCGAAAATGTTTCCACTAAATTTAGTGGGGAAATTTTCTTGCTAAATTTGGCAGGGGGAATTTTATCCTCATGACGTCACACGTGATGTCATTATGGGAAACAAGACATCATGCTAAATTTAGCAGAAATATTTCCGCTAAATTTAGCAGAGAAATTGACGTCAAGTGACCTTACCATTAATTCAGTTTCCCCGCTAAATTTACCAGAAAAATGTTGGTAAATTTCCCGCTAAATTTAGCAGGAATATTTCCTCGCTAGGTTTAGCCCAGAAATTTTCGCTTAAAGGGGCCCTGCAACAACTTTTTGACTGATTTTCAATTTGCACCGCACCTGAGTACACTGAACGTAGTAACTTAATGAAACTTTTGTTTTCTCGAATTTCGCTTTATTTTAAAAGTTATAGGCAAATTAAAATTATAGAAACAAACAAGCAACAAATGACCTCCGTGACGTCGTTGGTTGTGGCTTGAGTAGCCGTGAACTAGAGGAAAGGTAGTGAGCTCAGCGGGCGCCCACGGCTGCCGCACTCCGTGTCGACGGCTCGAGAGAGAGCGCCACTAAAGCATGTGTTGGCTAGGATGTATAAGCGGGTGGCCAGGGCGGCTCGCATTGCATTTGCTGCGCAATTAAAGACTAATTCGGCATGACACTTCATTGGCCACAAACGACAGCAAACACGATGTAAAAATCAGTTCAGAACGGGAGCCACTTCATGCTGCCATACCTGCCATACCGCCAAATGGCCAAACCGCAAGCCAAACCTATTCGCCAAAGCCCTTCGGAACGCTCGGAACCGGTCGGATCCTAGAGCCGGTAAACGACCACAGCACCACTGCATACATCCGGGACCTTTCTCTGCTCGCTGCTCGTCGGTGCCTAATCCCACTACCCCTTTCTAGTATGTGCCGCCTTTTCTAGCGCTTGGTGGCGGGCATGTCGATGGGTCATTTCTTGTTGCCGTACTTTAGAAACTGCATTTGTTTCTTTCCTGATTCTAAAATACTGAACAAAAATTACTTTCATAAATAATTGAAACGGTTTGTGCCACTTATATTTTGTATTTCGACTAAGAAAAAGCTTTTAGCGGCTTTGACCAGTAGTAAGGCCAGGAACAAAAACCTCACATATCGCTCGCTTTCGGCACCGCGGGTCGCCCCCGGAGGTGGAGGAAGTTTTTGCGTCGTCTAGTTAAAATATGACGCACTAATATTTAGTTACTCTCCCCGCGGCCGATGGCTTGCCCGAACCCCAAGAGACATGGAAACCGCAAAAACGTTAGACATTTAAATATGATTGCAGGGCCCCTTTAATTTTGCGAAAGTTTCCCGCTAAATGGGAGGGGAGCAGGAGAGGAGGAGGGGAGGATGCGGAGTGGGAGGAGGGGCATACCCTCCCCTCCGCACCCCCCTCCTCCTCAAGAGCTGCGCTCCAATTCGGCATTACATAGAATCGTAAACATCTTTAATTTCTTCTTGTTTAATAGTTCTGGTTTTATGGCTTTTTTTAATCTAGCAGTCTGGCAAGTCTTGAAGGTCAAAACTACAGTGCCATCTAGTGAAAAGATAGGCAAATATTTGACGAGAAAAAATAAGTTTGGTACGGCAGAATGGTGAAAAATATAAATAAGTGTTTTTCTCTTGCCACTGACATTTTAAGGTGGCCGTTTTACTAGATGCTATCGTATGTAGGGATGCCGCGAACTTTTTTCGAATCGAAGTTTCGATGATCGAATCAAGCGGTTCGAAAGGTTCGAAAGATTTCGATTTTTCGAATTTTCTATATCGTAAAATTCGACGGAGGTCGAATTTTCGAACTTGTTAAGCTAAGAAGTTCGACGCTTTTCGAACCGTCGAACTTATTACGCTAAAAAATTCGATCTTTTTCGAACTTTCGAACTTATTGCGCTGCAAGGTTCGATGCTTGTCGAACTTTCGAACTTGACTGACCAAAAAATTCGATGAATTTCGAACTTTCGAACTTATTTATCAAGAGAATTCGAAAAGTTTCGAACTTTCGAATTCTGAAAAGTCAGAAGTTCGACGACTTCGAACTTTTAGGGTAAAAGTTCGACGTTCGTCGAACTTCGAAAGACCGGCGGACGGTTTCATTTGATTTCAGGTAGTGGTGTACATTCGTAATTTTTTTTTTCTCGAACTTTTACACGCGGTGCTGCGTTCCTTACGAAAGACAATGTCGTTTATTTCAATGTTCTGGCATGCTTAGGTTTAAAGAAATAAATCCCCGAAGGGGCGAGGAAGGACGACGGGTTTTTGACGATTATCGTTTGTGCCAGATTTGAAGCACGCTGCAGCCGGAGCTATTTATGGTAGATATGTTATACTTTTTTAAGAATGATCTATGTATAGCCTAGGTAAGTGCCGTCTTAAGAGTTAAGATGTGATTATTGTTATTCAACGTGAGTTTCGAAGAAATGTCCAAACATGTATCTGCATGCAATTATGACCTAAACTTGATATTTATTTTCGTGTAAGTTGTTTGAGGTACCGCATTTAAATTAACACCACAGACAGTACATATCACTGCCATCTGCAGAATACAAAATAATATATTCATTGTTTTTTCACGTTAATGAATAAATTAACTCATGGGAGAAGATTTCTAGTAGTGTTCAAGTTCAGCACGTCATTAAAAGAAAACTTTTTTTTTTTTCGCTTCACGTTCCTGGGACGTGTTTCTTTTAGCCGGTACACATTTTGGTAAAAGAAACTTGTTTCGAAGTTCTGAACCTCTGAATATGCAAGAATAGAACACTTCCGACGAATTCTTGATAGTTTTTTTTTTTTTCCTGCTTTTTATTCCCGCATTTATTCTTTTTTTTTTTTTTTTTTTTGTTACTATCGGCACAGGTGTTTAGATCGAAAAGACAGCTTTGAACTTCCGAACCACTAAGCATGTGACGAGCAGTGCCTTCTGACAACGAGTTTCTAACAATGACCATCTACGCAACCTTATATGCAGTGAAGAGCGACAGTAGCTATACATATGCATAAATAATTTCAGATTAAAATAAGCTCGACCACGCCCTCTTTCCCCGCATTGTTTTCTTTAACAGTCCGAAATACCTGCAAGGGGAAGGAGGCTGAAGCACCCCCCCCCCCCCTCCCCCTTCGCTACCCTCTTTCCCCCGTTTTTCCTCTTTCGACGCCACTTGTATGGTAGAACGCTCCTCGACCTCGAGTTGTGTCGGCTTTCGTGCTTTTTGCGAGGCGATTCCTCCGTCCCAGAAAATAAACCTCCAGGACAATTATAAACTTCACCAGATCGGATTACTACCAGCGTGCAAGGGGTGGCGAGCTAGTTTGCCAGGTCGCATCAAGGTTTTTCTGAGCCTCAACCTCCTGCTCGCCCCTGGCCGTTTCGAACTGGCTGAGTCTCGTAAAACAGTGTATTCGTGCAATCACTACTGCGTGATGCAGGTTGAAGACCCCCCCCCCCCCCCCCCCCCCCCCCCCAGGGCTGGCGGTCACAATTCTGCACTGGCAAATATTCTAGCACGTCCGGGACACTCGTCGCCTCATTTAATTGCCTGACCAACTTCGCAGAATCTAGATATCACACCCTAACTTTTCTAAACTTGATTTTGTGAAAACCAGTGAGTCGTGAAAACGTTATTTGAAACTGAAACTGTGGAAAAACTTGAAAATCGGACTTCGACCTTTGAAAACTTGGATTAGAGAGAAATTCAAAATCTTCGAAGTTTTTTTTTTTTTTTTTGAATTTAACGTTAAAAAAGAATCGAAGCCTTCGAACTTTTCGAACTTTATGCAAAAAGAAATTCGAAATCTTCGAATTGTTCGAACTTCATGTCTATAAAAATTCGAAGCGTTCGAAGTTTTCGAATTTTTTTTACAAAGAATTTCGAAATCTTCGAATTTATCGAACCTGAAGTAAAAAAAGATTCGAAATATTCGAATTCGAAATTTTAGAAACCGTGAAAGCTTCGAAATTTTCGAATTCGAAACACCGCTGTGGTCAAAAGTTGCGAATTTTTCGAAATCGAACCTCGGTCGGTACGAAAATATCGAAATTTTTCGAAATCGAACCTCAGTTCGCTTCGCAAATATCGAAACCTTTCGAAATCGAACCTAAGGTGGTTCGCGACATCCCTAATCGTATGTGCAGATATTATTGACATTTTACAGTGAAGGGAGCCATTTTCAAACTTTTGCCTGGTGTTGCCCACAGGCAACAAAACTATAACTTGCAAGTTTACCTTTTGATTTGTTTTTATTTCAGCTCTGTCATTTTATTTGATCTTGTTAAACATTAATATCGTAAAAAAATAAATGTTCTAAGCAATTTTTGCATATCTCATCAATAAAGGGTTAAGGACACTTACCCCAAGAACATAATTCTTCACATAAAATAATAAAGTAGAGTTCCGAGGCACCACCTGGGGTTATATTCGCTGCAGGTTTGCGTGTTTGACAAAAAACGAAACGAAACCAAAAGCGGGGTACCAGAGTGGGGCACTATGATGTCATAGTGCGTGGAAGTTGAAGTGACTCCCTGCGACTGTGCACTCAAAGTTTTTATGCATTCTAAGAATTTCAGTTGTCACGAAGATCTGTGCTTCGATGGCCTATAATTTCGAAAATGTTTCATGCACTGCAATGTCACCAAATGTGGCCACGGAAAAGAGAGGAAGAGCTGCACTGCATTGAACATCTGATTCTTGACATGCAATTTTCTTGCAAAAAAAAATAAAAAATTCGAGACAATTTTTTTTTTTGTTAGTTGGGCTATTATAGACAGTGTTTCCAGTGAAACTCTTGGTAAGATTAAGTACCTTGTCAGTGTTTCCATAAGTGGCAGAGAAATCTATACATTTTGACTGTATGCAACTTTAAAAACGGAAAGCAAAAGGCAACAACAGTCCCCCACCTGCTTCTCGTCCGTCTGTCTTCCAAACTGGCCATATTCAGAACTGCCCCAGCCAAACAGGTCTCCGCTTTCTGAAAAAAAAAAAAAAAAAAAGAAATAAGAAGAAAGAATTTAGGAAATTTAATTAGAGTCTCTAGACAATGTTTTCTCGAGTTGGAACAGAAGTTAGTTGTGTAGAATGTCTAAAATAGAAAAATAAGTGAAGAAGATATTTGTGTTAAGGACAGATTTTTATATAAAATTCCAATAAAAACAAGGATGTGAGGGATTGATAGAGAGCTGATGCTGTTCAATTCAACTTGTTCCTCGTATGATAAGCAAGCAAAATATGTTACCAAAAATGTTAGCATTCAAATGCAAAAGGACTTCTTTTCGAAGATCTGCGAACCTTCCAAATAGCGATGTAAGAGCCAATGATATAATAATCACTTCTTACTCTTGTATTGCACATTGTCCTAAAGTGTACTTTGGTTGGTATATCGTAAGGTTACATCACCGTGCCCTTTCCTACTGTAATGTCCCCGTCACCAGTGTAGATATTAACCAATTTGCTACCAAAGGTGGCGAATCGCCGGGCGTGGCCTCAGGGGCCGTATTGCCAAGGCCGGCGATTCGCCGGACCGCATGAATTTCTGTTTTAAAGAGCCATTCATGGATGGTGCGTTATGTAGACTTGGTGTAGTGTAGTTATATAGATACATTGCCAACAGATGGTGAGGGTCGTTCTGTTCTCTGTGTTTGTTTGAGCTTGTTCTTTCGTGTGTCGTCTTTCCTGCTCGATCGCTGCCTGCGTGGAGAAGATGGCAGCATCCAGTGTACGGTTTGGCCTTTCTGACAATGAGATCATAGATGTCCTCTTTGACAAAGATAATGACAGGACGTCTGGTGAGGATAGTGAGTTTTCGGAGCCTTTTGTCGACGACGGGAGAGATTCTGACAGCAGTTCTGAGTCCGAATCACGACAAGAGCACACTTGTTGTGCGACACCTAAGCGACCAAGGATGGAGTGCTTCAAGATCTTTCATACGAGGAAGAATATGTGAGGACCTAGTGATTTGTAGACTGGAACAGACCACACTTAAGCATGTAAATAAACATGCTTTCTTGTTTTTATGCACTGAGTTTTACTGTAAAAGCTTATTATACAAGCAAAACAGCCACGCCTAGTGTGGCCCTATTTTAGGAGAAAAATATGCGGTACGGACGGCCCGGCAGCGTGCGACGCACGCGGTAGCAATTCGGTTAAATAAACATTTAAATTCACTCTTTAGGAATAAGCACAGACAGATTACTTTTTAGAAACTGGAGTGAATGCAAAGTTTCTAAATGCATCAGTCAAAATGAGAAAAAAACAAATTATGAGTTTTACTCATGGGCTTAATAAAACAAAATACTCTGCTTCCAGCATAGCGGGACAGTATCTTGGCCACAACGAAAACATCTTTTAGTGGTCACAAACAGGAACTGCATATCAGATAACAGAACACACAGATATGTAGCAGATAACTTATTGCAGCATAATAGACCAAGTACAATTGACTGTAAAACAAACGAGAAGGAAAAAAGAAAGAAAAACAACAAGCTTATTTGCTATGTTGAGTAAAAGGCTTATGTAAGAGTCCTACATCAATTTGCAGTAAATATATTTGCCTTTTTACTATCAGTTTTGTGTTATTAAAAATGCAGTGTTAACAAATGTCTTTTTTTTATCCCAATAAAAACCGTCATAGCATCATTATGTGCCTTTTTTTTTCTTTCCTTCTGCTCCAGATCATGGTATTCCTCAAATAATAAAAAATGTCATAGAGCTCCTAAACTATGTTGCCGATTGTTTTGCTATTCATTACTTTTATTTCACGTGCCAAGCTTGCCAACATTTTTTTGTTTTGTTTTCTTCTCGAGCATTTAAATGTGTCATGTTTGCTTTGTCGTTGTGATATTTATTTAAGATGATTTTTTCCCCTTTAATATAAAAAAAAAAAATAAAGAAAACAGTTTTAGCCTCTCCACTCTGGTGAAGAAGGAAGACCAGCAAAGCTGTACTATGGTGGGAATGAAGGAATGCCCAGCCACAAGTCGGCAAGCCAGAGTGGAAGGGCTCGAAAAGTTGCGCCATCTATGAGCGACGGCGGCAACCAGAGTTTTGTGTCAACGTTTCTTTGCGGGGGACACGATCCTGGGGAAACTAGCCCTTAACAGCTCCGCTGAAAAAACTTTCAGCCTTCCCACTCTGGTCAAGAAGGAAGACCAGCGGAGCAGTACAATGGAAAGTAATGACCGGCCGCAAGTCGGCAAGCCAGAGTGGAAAGGCTGCCGCCATCTATGAGCGACGGTGGCAACCGGATACGTGGCTTGCCGCCATTGCTCATAGATGGCAATAGGTGTCCAGGGTTCGGTGTCTTCATTTCTTTGCGGGGGACACGATCTTGGGGAAACTGGCCCTTGCTCTTATGAATATAAAGGACATAATTATAACCAACATCGAAAATAAACTATATACACTCGGGCTATTTCTAGATTTGAGCAAGGCCTTTGATTCAATACAACACAATATTTTACTGTCAAAACTTCAGACTTGTGCTGTACGTGGCGTAGCGTCTGACCTAATCAAGTCCTACCCCTGAAATCGTAAACGGCTTGTACATGTCGAAAACGCCACTTCTCAGCAATTAGAAATAAAACATGGAGTGCCCCAGGGCACCATACTGGGCCCACTGCTTTTTCTCATATATATAAATGATATAACAGACATCCCAAATTCCCCACATTTGGTGATGTACGCTGACAATACCAATGTTTTCTTCTGCAGCAATACAAAAGCATCCTTAGAACAACAGGCAAATGATTATCTTCAAAAACTTTCAGAATGGCTGGAAATAAACACGCTTAAACTAAATGTGGACAAAACAAAGTACATTATATTTGGACCTATCAATAAGCACGACAATAGTGTAATACATCTGCAATATAATAGCACCCCCATATCTCAGGTTATAGAACAAAAGTTTCTCGGCATCTGGTTTAATGAAACATTTACTTGGAACACTCACGTGAACAAATTAAAAGGGGACCTATCGAGAACAGTAGGCTGTTTTAGTATATAAAATCACAAATTTATTACCAAAGTGGCTTATCAAAAACTTATATTACTCTTTGTTTTACTCAAAACTTTGTTATGGAATTATGGCATGGGGGACAACCACTTCCACAAATTAGAGCAAATTAATTATTCTCCAGAAAAACGTTTTGCGAATTTTAGAAAACTATCAAGGAAATGTTTGGGATTTTTATACCAGTCTATATTTTACAAAACATAACATACTTAAAACAAACCAGATTTATTACTTTTAACTTATGCAGACAATATACAAAGAAAAACTTTATCAAAAGGATGAAGTGCCACTGCAACCTTATCTTCTTAGAAACGCCAAACACAAGACTCCTAAGGTCAGGACAAACTATGGAAAACAAAAACTAAATTACCAGGTTCCTTCATTACTAAACATTTTTGAAGGGTGTACTGATTTTACAGTATCATTTAATAAATATAAAAGTAACGTCAGACACACCCTTGTACACAACGAGATATTATTATGCGTAGTATATTGTTTCGTTTCGTGCCTATCTGTGTTGCAATGACAAAGGAGTTTGTTACATGGCTGTAACCTTTTGTGACATAGCTTTTGTTATTTTCTGTTCCTTTGATCATTTTGTGATTATACATTGTTTTGTTTTCTTATTTCTTCTAATATATATTCATCTGAGGACAGATTAATCCTTGTTTATATTCACAAAATAATTTCTACGATATTGTGTAAAAAGTGTGCATGTTTGCTGCTATGTGGATATAGGTATGTATTTTGTTTACGTTCTTTACGTATATATGGCAATTAATGCAAGTTGTGCTGTTATGAACTGTGGGGGGGGGGGGGGGGGGGGGGTAGAGGCCCAGTCAGGCAGAAAGGCCTTTTGTCTCTACCTCCCTACCCGTGAGAAACCAAATAAACTTCAAACTAACAGCTCCGCTCTAAAAAAACCACAGAGGAAGCTTACATAGAGAGCAAACAAGCCACAAGTATAGCAGCACATTCCTTATGGCTATTTTGTAGACACACAATCACCCGATTGGGGCTTTGTAGCACCTTTCATAGACAGGAGTTGAACTTGTAGACAACAATGTAATAAATCGGCTTCGTGGTTTCATTTCTAACACAAACATTTGTCGGCAAGAAATACACACATCCGTTGGTAAACACTTTGTACCTGATAACTAGGAATGGTTTGCTCCTTTTTTTTAACGAGCTTTCATACACCGTTTCAGTGCAACACATACCAATGCAACGGTTAAAAAAAAATATTGTTGATGATAGTCAGTCATTTATGTGTGCCTGGTAGTAAACCAAAATACACCAATTGTTCCAAACTTAAAAAAGAACACCAAAAAGTGACTATTCAAGAAGATATGGCATGCGGTTATGGCTTCACAATCTTTTCGGCCCTCGAAGACAAGGACAGGAGCTCCCATCGGGTCTTTCGTACTAGCATCAACACAGAATTTCAGCTGGGATACCAGTGTGTCCGGAAAGGCAAGCACTCATAGGCCACATACCTACCATAGTTTATTAACTTCCACAAATATATCTAGATGTTTCACTCCATCCCTTTATTCTGAAACAAAATGCACATTTCAGTAGCTGATCAGGCGAGGCCACAGTAACTGGCAATTCTTGCTGCAAAACATCCATCCAACGGCTCGACACGAAAGCCCAACAAGAGGGGCATTGTTCACTATTTCTATAATTTGAAGGTTGAAACCTGCTCTCAGCATGCAGTTGACAGGAGGAACCATTGGCACCAGCATATAAAGACAACCAGGTGTAAAAACTGGCTGCACCTCAGCGCTGTTTTTTTTCGGTCTAGAAAACCGAACGACATAAAAATGTGTCTGCCTCAACGGCAGACTCCTTTGTCTCGCACACAGTCTGTGCCATAACCACGAACCGAGAGATAAATTGTTCCGGAGGCACACTCACCAGAGACGGCGAGAATGCAGTCGACGCTGCCAGCAAGCTGAACAATCTTCTGGCCGTCCAAATCCCCCTTCACCTGCCGCGGCATGCCTTGACTCAGCGTATTTCCCAACCCCAGCTGACCGTCCGCTCCCCATCCGCAGCTGAACACCTTCCCAGACGACGTCAGGAAGAGCGTGTGGTCTTGTCCACAAGCTACCTGCGGAAAACGCCACGATATGGGACTGCCCAACCACTTTCGCGTCTCTACCTAGTTTCACCGTAACTTGGCAAAGAGCGAACGCCACGGCCCGTCTTGAGTCAATCAGAGCAATGGGGGCGAAGCATGTGACAGCCCTTACCGAAGGTACAGGGGCGAGGGCGTGACCCAAGCAGTTGAAGAAGAAGGGAAGGAAGAACTCTCCTCTTAGCCAGACCCGCTTCTGTGTCCCCAGACGTCGCTTTTGTACCGTTTGGCGATCAGCTTGTCGCTCAAAATTCCTACAAAAGCGGCTTTCCCCATTCTCTCCACGGCACTGCACGCAACTATAGTGAGATGGAGCATAGTCCCACGTCTTCCTCAGACAACCTAAATGGCTCACTGAGACTTCACTGGGCCTTCGCCATTTGCCAAGCTGCGGTGAGACGGAGTATATAGTCACGCGGAAAGGCCAGCGCAACAGTGGTCTGGAGGGGACACACAAATTATTGACCAGGAACCCTGAAAAGAGGCTGAAAATCTCAAAGAGCTTTTTAGAGCGCAGCTCTTAGGGGCCCGTTCCCGGCTTGAGCGGCGTCGCCGTCGCCGTCGCCGTCGCCGTCGGCGTCGCCGTCGCCGTCGCCGTCGGCGTCGCCGTCGCCGTCGGCGTAACCGCGCGGTGCATTATGGGTAAATTTCCCCGCTAAATCTAGCGAAAAAAATTTCCCCGCTAAATCTAGCGGAAAAATTTCCCCGCTAAATCTAGCGGAAAAAATTTCCCCGCTAAATCTAGCGGAAAAAATTTCCCCGCTAAATCTAGCGGAAAAATTTCCCCGTCAAATCTAGCGGAAAAAATTTTCCCGCTAAATCTAGCGGAAAACTTTCCCCGCTAAATCTAGCGGAAAAAATTTCCCCGCTAAATCTAGCGGAAAAATTTCCCCGCTAAATCTAGCGGGAAAATTTCCCCGTCAAATCTAGCGGAAAAAATTTTCCCGCTAAATCTAGCGGAAAACTTTCCCCGCTAAATCCTAGCGGAAAAAATTTCCCCGCTAAATGTAGCGGAAAAAATTTCCCCGCTAAATCTAGCGGAAAACTTTCCCCGCTAAATCTGGCGGAAAAATTTCCCCGCTAAATCTAGCGGGAAAATTTCCCCGCTAAATCTAGCGGAAAAAATTTCCCCGCTAAATCTAGCGGAAAAAATTTCCCCGCTAAATCTAGCGGAAAACTTTCCCCGCTAAATCTAGCGGAAAAAATTTCCCCGCTAAATCTAGCGGAAAAATTTTGGTCACGTGACCCGGGGGTCACGTGACCTGGGGAGTCACGTGACCCCCTCCCGAGGTCACGTGACCTCTGAGGGGGCACGTGACCCCCGAGGTCACGTGACCCCCCCCCCCCCGAGAACACGTGGCCCTCAGTACCCTCCCCTCCTCCTCCTCAAGAGCTGCGCTCCAATTCGGCGTTACAGGGAGTGGTAAACGGCTTTCACTTTTTTTATTTTACATTTCTGTGTTCTTAGAGCTAGGGTTAAAAGAGAAATGAAACCAAATTTATATATTATCGCAAAATCTTTGGAAAGGAAATTCTAGCAGATTGGAAAAGAAAAGTTCCTGCAATGTCGTGCAAGAAGAAAAGACTCATTTTCGAATCACTCTGCTCTTGGGCTGCGACCCAGCATTTAGAAAGAGAGAAGGATCGACCGCAGAGAAGAAGAGACAGAAGTAATAGAAGCTTGAAATTTGCCATCTTAGCCAACAATAATGCGAGCCCATCAAAAGAAAGGAACGGGCAAAGGAAGCCTGAAAAAAGGATGAAAAATCTGCCATTCTTTTGCCCAGACGACATTTACACCAATGTGCTTCGTGTTATTTGACAACATGCAAGAGTGCGTTGTCAAACAACATTCCGATGCTCCCACAGCAGCCCATTTCAAACTACCGAACAAGCACGTTGGTATCATCCTTTGCACATATACCTTGCATTTCGCAAAAATATCCACCAGGACAACAGTGCGCCCTTGGCAACTCCAAAAGCACAACCATCACGTGTGAGAAAGGTGCGAAATAAGAGTTGCCCCTTTGCCGTACTAGCGTGGCAAAGGCAGTGGTAACACAATGTGATGTGCAAGTGTGGAGAACCTCTGTAGACGTGTGGAGACTGGACGGTACAAAGCGTGTAAATGCCACTTTCTCAGAGCCTGCTCGAGTGCGAGATACAGTAGACAGAGCGTGCGGAAACAAAACAATTGGAATGCGGTAGTGTCGAGCAAAGCCCTGACGCCAGCTCGCGGCAAAAGAGGAGGAAACGCACGGAACTACTTCAACCTACTTCAGCCTGGAGCATGCTTGTTTCATGGAGCAGAGGGCCACTATTGAGGAAGATGTGTCAGAGTTTGGCTGGCATTCGGCCCAGTCGACTTCCAATGCTGGCACCAAATCATATATCGTTATCGTTAGGTGCCAGTCATTTAACACATTTCGCATTAAAAGACATGTCTGCCCAAAGCAAAACAGGGAAGGGCTATCTCAACCGGCCCGTCCAGTGACAAAATGGAACCGGCTCAGGTGCTGCTGTATTGGGATTGGCGGAGGTTACCCCAGATTCAGTCGACTGACAGAAACATAGAAACCCCGTGCTGTGCGAGTCCTGCTAGAACGGCAGAAATGATCCATTGGCATGGCTAAGAAAAAAGGCCCGGTGCAGAAATCACTCACGTCCACCACGTCGTCCGGGATGCCCTCCACACGGTACACAGTGCCCTCGTTCTTGCGCTTCTCGTTGGGGAGTGCAGGATACCCACACTGGCCAAAAGCATTGTTGCCCAGGGAAAATGCTGCAACGAGCCAGAACGAAGGGAGCATCATCGTAGCCCCTGGCAGTGCACGCACGGTTCTGGCTACAGAAACGGTTGTGAAGATGTACCAAATTTGCTCGATTCCAACACTTACTTCTTTTTTCCTTTAATCAACCCTTGACTGTTTTTTAGAAGAGTGTGCAGATAGACAATAATTGAGGTCAACAGAGGCAGCCCGGGATAGAATGATGACAAGGAAATGTCAGTATTGCGATACGAGCTGGATTCTCGGCACGGCAAGACATCATGCTCAGCGTCGCAGTGTACATAATGTGTTTTCATGTAGAAACCCCCTTATCAATGCCTCATTATTAAAATCAAGCTCCTACCACTGCCTATAATGAGTGGCTCTCTCCGTGCTCAGCAGGAAAGTGGATGCACGACCCTTATTCGGAAACAGCGTGCAATAAGTGACATGAAAGTGCGCTCTTCCAGTAGTCTGCATGATGATACCTTTGCAATGGTTCTTCAATGATCAGTCGACTTCTGAACGTTCTCTCCTTGTATGTTGCGTCAGATTACTTATTCTGGATGTAACAATGATTGGGTTAGGTCTCCCAACAAAGTACCACCAAATTATTTTTTGTGAACGAAGGGGGTTGTAATGAAAGAAAACTAAACATGATACAACTGTCCTGTCGCCATTTTCGGTGTTCAGTGTTGACAGGATGTGGCTCTAGAAATTCGCATTTAGCTCACTGTGAACCAATTTGCATCTGATTATCTAATCTGCTCAAGCACAGGCTCGATACATAAAATCCACTTAAACGTTCAGTAGAGAACCTAACAGTTGCTCGAAATTATGAGAAAATGCTATTATATGAAAGGATGTTTCAAGGGGACAGCTTTATCATGATTGGTGCCCATCAGGGTTTTCCCCACAGTGGGTGGCAGCGGTTTTGCCACCCACAAGTCTGGCTGGCTGCCCATCTCTACTATGTCCAGCCCACCTCTATATTTTGCCTCCGCTGTACAAGATGATGCTGATTTTGAAAATGCACAAAGCCCCAGATTGCTGTGTTTGGCAGACGTGTGGCACTAAGCAACAAAACTGCATAATCCCTGCAAACAAAATAACTGCTGGGTGCTAGAGAAGGTGCCAAAAACACCAAAAGTTACATCAATTAACACCCTCCCCCCCCCCCAATCCTTCTCCTCCACCCAAAACCCCGGAAAGTGTCAAATGTACACATCTAAAAAATTTACTGGGAGAACCAAAACTAAAACAATGATCTTAGTTTCCCAGTAAATACCCAAAAGCCGCAAATAGCAAGGGTCCAGAGTTTTTCAGACTTCACAAAAAAACATCCGGCATGGCTTTCACAAAAAGGGGACCCCAGCTGAAATATGTTACGTCCCCTTTGACTAGTGTGAGCTATTAAGCAGAGCAAGACGAGACATGCGGCCTCACCACCCTCTCTGTCCGTCAGCACCACAGTGTGGGAACGGCCACAGGCCACCCTCACAATCCGGGTAGCCTCACTGCGCAGGGGGAGGGCAATCGGCACCGGCTCTGTCAGTACCTCCAGCGGATGTCCTGGAGTTAGAAGAGGAAAGGGTAGGACGGTTGACGTTAGCCACTCAGCAAACATTCTCCCGACATTAAAGGGCAATTCGCCAAAGTTGGGAGTGTAATTTTACCATTTTTCTCCTGCATTTTACGAAAAATTTGTGCCCTCTTTTTTTTTCTGACCTACATTTATTGAATTCTTCAATTTATTAACAGTTCTCTACAGGAAGCCAGTCAAAAAAAGGTGACTGTGACTCGTCTGTGGTGCTGGTTCAAGCACAACACAGGCAGACAGCATGGCAGTCGACAGAGCAGAAATGCATCTTCGGAATAGAGCGTTGATGACCAGAAGTACTTGCCTTTCCTGACACACTGGTATCCCAGCTGGAAGTCTGTGTTGATGCCCGTACCAAAGACACGATGTGAGCTCTTGACTTTGTCCTCGAGGGCCGAAAAGATTGTGAAGCCATAACCGCATGCCACATCTTCCACCTGCAATGGTAAAGACGAAATCTTTAGTTACTCGACGAGCGTGAAGTACCACCACGGAGACAGGAATGCCAGCATGGATTAGTATTGGTCTTTCATTGGTGGGTGGTCGGTCACTGGTGAATGTGCGGTGAAACAAACACACCACATACTTTGTTTCATCTAAGTACACACGAAGGAGAAGCTAAAAAAACAAGCACAGCTTTCAGGGTGCCAGCTATGTATGCATGGTTGTAAAGTGAAAGTGACATAGGAAAAAATTCCGACGCTTGTAGTACCGGCTTTACTCGCAGCTATGGTGAAATGAAGTATAGCACTGTACACAACAGGTCATTACACCTGGCAGACGTTTAGTCGAGCCTAACTCCAAGCATGTGCCGAGCAGGAACAGGTTCATCTGTGATCCCTAACAAATAGATCCCACTGATCCACTTGGCGGTGGGAGTATTTATGCAATCAACGTACCTCAGTAAATGGATCAAGCGGATGACACGTGGAGCAACCTGCAGGCATCCCTGCACAGACGATGCAATGTTCTAACTCTGCCACTCCACACTTTGTCTTGTTACGCGGAATTTAAGCTACCTTCTTGTTCGCGTCGCAAAACAACCAATCAAGGAGGGCAGTTGTTTTTGTGAGGTTGTGCTAGATAAACTTAGAAGTTGTAACATGCTTGAAACATAGGCGCCTATGAGGGACGACCAGCCTGCCAGTCCGCTCACCTTGAAGACCTCGGCGAAAGGGGTCTTGTAAGGTTTAGCGTGGGCAGCCCTCGGCTGAGCCCCGGTCCGCGGTCGCACGATTCGGTCGTGCCCGAGAGCGCCAGTCAGGCAGCTTCCCCAGATGTAGACTCGCTTCCGACGCTTGGCCTTCTCACCGGCGTACTGGAAAACCACCGCAGTCGGGTCGTCGGTGACGCCTCGAACAGTCTCTTGTGCCTTTGCGCGGTTACCTCGCCAACTGTTTGATGGAGCCGACAGGAGCGGGCAGAGCAACGGCTGGAGTCGTTGCCCGGCCGGCCTCACGCGGCTCAGCGTCGCCGACATTGCGATCTCGATGCGCTGGACAGTTACACAAGGCACTGTAGTTACACGGACGACGGCGACCGCGATGCACAATTGGGAAGGTAGCTCGTCCGATGCGGTGTCGTACGCAGTGCAGGAAAGAAGGGCTTCACGGACATCACACGAAGACCTCGCTCGGTATCGGAGATCGGCGAAAACTGCCCGCCGGCCTTCGAAGGCCGCGGACAAAACCTCGACGCTGTTATCAGTTGTCACCAAACTCCCAACTGATTTCAGTCAGTTTCAGTCTTCAGTTGCTTCAGTCTTCAGTCTTCAAACCGTTGCTGCCGTTGCTTCGAGCTACCATACGACCATACTGACCATACTTCGAGCGTAGGATGGCGCAAACAACACTAAATATCCACTTTTTTTTTTTTTTTTTTTTTTTTTTTTTCTTTTTTGAATATTATTACGGAGACTGGAGGTACAAAAAGAATGACTGCTCGGAAAAACTTCGAAAGTGTGCCGCTGCACTTTTGTTTTCTTCTTAAGAGCTAGTTTAACGAAACATGGCTAAGCTTTTAGAACTTTTAGACGATATGCGACATATGCGAAATGAAGAGCGACGCCTAGTAGCCCCTCTTGGTAGCTGCGAGAAAACGAAACTAGTGACCCGACCGGCAGAGAGAGGACAAGCGACCTCACTTCGTGCGAGAGATGCGATGCCAACGCGTTGCTACGTTCTGCTGCCGGCGCAGCGATTAAAACTACGTTTATACTTCAACGTAACGTCGACGGGCGCAGCGTAGCGCAGCGCACACTGATACTGATCGGTCGCGAAAATCGAGTTCCTGGTCGCCGCGCCGGCCAATTAAAGGCGCGTGTTCTGCGCTACGCTGCGTTCACTGCGCTCAACGTCGGAGTATAAACAGCCAAAGCTTCGATTTGTGCGTGACGTGAACGCAAACGTCAAAAAGGTTCAAATTGTTTTCTTATTTTTATTTACTTTACACGCAGTTTTTGACAAAAACAATCTGTGACAACGCGAAGAAATATGCGGACGTTATCGCACGGCGTGAACCCATTTACAAATATTGAACTGGGCCCTAATTTTTTTACAAAGTTTTACCAAATTAGTTACTAATTTTTTTGTTTGTTTACTCAGTGGTGTTGGTAGGGTATGTTGTTGGGCTAGTAATAGCGCTTGTCCTGTATACTTCTTGTCCTTATCTTTTTTTTTTTTTTTTTGCGCTATTTTGTATGTTTAAGTAGTTGTGGTGGTTTGCGTTTTTCTCGGTGCGGAAGCAGCTCAATGTATGCGGACAAGACCAAGTCGCCGCCAACCATGATTGAAGATGCGCATGGCTAACAGTGAGCAACAGAAGCTGAAAACACCAAAGTCCTTTCTCTCACTCAGGCACGGATTTGGGGTCGAATTTTTAATTTTGACGAAAAAAAAAAAATGTTTTAGGGAAACCCCTTCTGTGACAGGGAGTGCAAATCGCACGTTTGGGCGATGTTTTGTTCACGGGTTATGGACATTTTAATAAGCCGCCGAGACAGAAACTGACCTTTCTCTCGCCTGTCGGAGGTGTCATGTTATACTCCTTTTAACTTTTTACCTTTTACATCTGAACTGTTAAGGGCTAGGTTCCCCAGGATTGTGTCCGGTATGTCGACACAAACCTACCTGGACAGCTACCGCCATCCATAAGCGGCGGCGGCAAGCACACATCCAGTATGGTTTCCGCCGACGCTCGTAGATGGCGCCAACCGTTCCAGCTATAATTCTTACAGTAAGCTAGGCCAAAAAATTCAGCAATCCTTACCGGGATTGATGTATGCGGATGATATTGTACTAATGGCTAACAACAGGACAGAGTTGCAGGAATTAATGAGCATCTGTGGTAGGGAAGGAGAGGAATTAGGTTTAGAATTCAGTAGCGAAAAATCGGCAGTCATGATTTTTAACGAGGATGAAGTTGAGAGGCTGAAGATACAGAATATTACAGTTGAGAGAGCTAGTAAATACAAGTATCTAGGAGTATGGATATGTGATGGTGCAGAATATCTCAGAGACCATGAAAAGTATATAATAGGTAAGGGCAACAGAAATGCAGCTGTAATGAAAAATAGAGCACTTTGGAATTACAACAGGTATGAGGTGGTGAGAGAGATTTGGAAAGGGGTCATGGTGCCTGGCTTGACTTTTGGAAACGCAGTGCTATGCATGAAATCCGAAGTGCATGCGAAACTAGAAATAAAACAGCGCGGAGTAGGTAGACTGGCTTTGGGGGCACATTGCAAAACGCCAAACCAGGGAGTACAAGGAGACATGGGATGGGCATCATTTGAGAGCAGGGAAGCGGTGAGCAAGGTAGAATTTGAGGATAGGTTGAGGCTAATGGACGGGGAGCAATGGGCACGAAAGGTTTTCAGCTATTTATACATGAGGAGTGTAGACACCAAGTGGAGACAGCGCACTAGGAAATTAAGAGGAAAGTTTTTGGGCTATAGCGAAGATACGGAAGAGCAAGTCTCAGTCAAGAAGAAAGTTAAGGCCACAGAAAGAGATCGGTGGCTAGAGGGAATGCAGACAAAGACGGCTCTGGAAAGCTATAGATTAAACAAAAGAGTTATTGCCAAAGAAAGCATTTATGACAATTCTAGGGGAAGCTCATTGCTGTTTGAGGCAAGAACGGGTGTTCTGCGAACCAGAACATACAGAGTGAAGTACCAGGAAATTGATACAGTGTGCACTGCTTGTGGAGAGGAGAACGAGACGGCTGAGCACTTGATACTCTACTGTAAAGGGCTTCACCCTATGCCTACCGAAGACAACATAGATTTAATAAAGTCATTGGGTTTTAGAGACAGCGAAGGGAGAGTGGATTTCAAGACTGTAGAGATTACCAAGCAAAGATTAAGTGAATGGTGGCAGAAATCGAGAGAAAACTAGGTATTTTCTTATTCACTGATGGCAAGGGGGTTTCATAGCCTCACTTTCTTTGCACTGCGAAGTGAATATAGATTTCACATTTAAATATCCTAAGCTTAAATGGTAAAACAAAATGGCTAGGTGGCGTAAGCTACCGCCCGATCCAAAGGGCTCAGCCGTATTCATCCATCCATCCATCCATCCATCCATCCATCCATCCATAATAGAAGAATGGATAGTTGGGCGCGTTGGTGGGAATTCATCGTAGGAAACAGCGCGAAAAAGAGACGACGACAAAGAAGCACACACTGTATCGAGTACAGCTCCGCTGGTCTTCCTTCTTCACAAAAGTGGAAAGGCTGAACGTTTTTTTTTTTTTTTTTTTGGTAGTGCAAGATAACTTTTTTTCGACCACTCTCAGAATAGGGATTATTTATGGTCAATAATTTTGTTGCGATTATTTAACTTCACTTTTGTTTTAAATATTGTCAAAGTGTGTCCCTTTGACAATATTGGTCAAAGTTTGACCAGCTCTTCGGTGTGACCTATTTAAGATATCGTAACATATTTAGTATTTTCAGAAAGCTGAGAGTATACTTTTTCTATTGATAACAAATTTAATGTTGTATGTAAAAGAGAAAGGGCAGTGTATTCTCGTAAAGCAATGACTATTTAATTATTTTTTTTTGCAAATTGGAGGTCAATTAAAAAAACATTTTATTTGGCAGATTTTTTTTCTAGCTAGCTACTGTAGTGCTTTATAAGGTAATATAAATAGAAAATGTAATAATTTGTTAGTATGGCAGCTATAAAAGCTTAAAATCTGCTTTTGTTTGACTGTTGCGTCAGTAAATCATCTCACTCGCCAAAATACACTAATTCAAAATTTGCGCCTCTTATTTTTTTAATTGACACCTGCGAACACACTTATTCTTTGATAAATAATTTTATCGCGATTATTTATATTAATTATATTTTAGAAAATTTGCCAATATGACGTTTTTGGATGATATTTGTCAAGGTTTACCAGCTCTTCCGTGTGACCTATATGAGGTGTCTTAACATAATTAGTATTTTCAGAAAGCTTAGAGTATACTCATTCTAATGATAATAAATTTGATGTTATGTGTAAAGGAGAAAGGACAGTATTTTTTTCGTAAAGCAAGGACTGTTTGCAAAAGTTTGCGAATTGGAGGTCGATTTTCTGAAAAGCCTACCTTTTATTTGGCTGATTGTCTTTCTCTAGGTACCTCTTGCAGTACTTTATAAAATAAACAAAACAGAAAATGGAATATTTTGTTTGTATGGTGGCTATAAAAGCTTACATTTTGTTTTCTGGTGACTTGTCGCACAGTAATACAAGTGACTCACAAAAATACACTAACTCATAATTAACTCCTCTGAAAGTTTTAGTAGCTAGCTACCTGTAAATTTTTTTTTTTATAAAAAAAGGTGCAAACGGCGAGTTATGCGAAGAAAGCGTCTAGGGCGTAATATCTTTAATGTTTTTTTCTTTTTTTTTTTAATTGACAAATTGCCTTTTTGCGGCAATGTTTGACAAAGTTGAGCAAGCTGTGCTGTGTGACCTAATCAATTTATGTTTATGGTCTGTACATCACCGTAAAGCTTCAATTAAGCTCTTTTTCAGAATAATTTGAATATGTTTCGCCAAATATATAATGCGGAACATTTGCCTGGAAAAACAAATATTTAGAAAAAATTGCAGTTTAAAGTCTATTAAAAAAACACCTTTTATTTTTTTTTTATTTACAGTTAGGTTAATATAGTAAGTGTTACGTATGCCAACGCAGTCTGTTTCAACACGTTTATTGCCAGACAGCATCTGCTGTACATACAGTTCGCGTATCTCTTATATAAGTAAAAACGAATAAAAGATTACCCGGCGGCGCTGCTTATCATGGCAGGCGATAACACGCGCTCCGCACTGCTGAGACATCACAAGGCCAGCGTAGAATACAAAATCGCTGATACAACAGTAAGTAACTATCAACAGAAAATATAATTAGGACTTGAATCTCGTGCTATGAGAGTTTGGAACGGGACTTCGCATAGAGGCTCAACTGAGCAGAATTTTGACCTATGTAGGGTTTTCTATTTAATGTTAATACTTACCTCAATATCTGAGCGTAAGAGCCAGTGAAGCAACAATATTTATCCTAACAATATTGATTTGCTTGGCGCCCCAGAGGAATTCTCTAACGATCTGCATTCCCCCGAATTTGGAGGAAGTAAGCGCTGTGCCCGCACTTGTGGATACGGACTTCTAAGTAAATTTTTTTAAGTGCACTACTCACAATTTCCTTAATGTTTATGGTTGGATATTGAGGTAACTGCTAACGATAAATAGGAAACCGTGCATAGGCCAAAATTCTGCTCAGCAGAGCGCCTGTGCGAAGTCCCGTT